GATGTCAATTACAAATCCGAATTTTTTATATCGATTTATATTGATGGAAAAAATTACAACCACTATGTTGGACATTATTGTGAGAGCTAAATCATGATTTCTGTTTTTTTTTTCTTTGTTTTTTTTTGAAACAAATTTACTTCGTGGTTTTTGTCCATAATTCATTTACAAGATACGCTATATGGGGAAAAGAAAATTGTTGTTTGCCATGGATCGTCATCATCATTCATCTTCAATGTGTTTTTTTTTCTATATCTGTTTTGTGCATTGATGATGTTGTGGCTTGTTAGGCTGTGTGTACACATAGACATAGACAAATGATATAATTGTGTAATGATTTTTTTTTTCGTTTCATTTTGAAATTGGAACAAACAAACAAAATAAATGGTCAATTTGTAATGACTATAACTATATCATAATAATAATAAAAGTAAAAGCAAAGAGAAAATGAAACTTTAATTAAATCATTTTATTTTATTTATTTACATCATTTCTTGACCATTTTCTGAAATTTATCATCATCATGATCATGATCATCATTAGTTAAATTTTTTTTTGTTATCATCAAATTTGAGACGGATCTTTAACTATTTTCAATGCTTCTCCATTGCTTTAGGTGTATATACACAGCCACACAGTAATACCAAGTTAGAAGCATAAAAAATTGATAGAGATCAGTTTCAAGTTACACAACATGATGATGAACTATTAGATACATTTATTAAAAACATCCATTTGATTGACATATGATGAAATTGGAATATTATGATACGATTTTTATCTGTTGAAACGGAAAACAAAACATTATACAAAACTTCAAATAGAACAAATTAACAATACATTTTGCATGCATGAACACACAGTGACATGGTGAGCGAAAAATCATAAGTTCCAAATAATTCAAATTCAAAAATCAAATGGTATTTTGTTGACAATCCAATTGAACGGAATGGCTACAGCAGTAGCAGTTATTTTCATCAATTTGTTCGGCACCATTTCAGCTATTTGATGATTAATTATCATCATTAAGTTTAATAATATCTTCTATATACACTTATGTGCCATAAATTAAAGATTTTTTTTTACGTACCATAATATACTATTTATCGTTTCTCTTTCCGTCCATCACTAATAAAACCTGAAATGTTTTTGTTTTCTCATCAGACACTCAAATTCATGATGATGTGATAACCGTTAATAAATCGAACATTTTTCCAATCATTTAAAATGTAGATATTATTATTAATATCGTTTAATCTAAAGACTAAAATGATCTTAAATATCTTCTTGTAACTACTGTAAAATCGATCACAATTTATACGATCATGTCGATAAGTTATTGAGCGATAACATTACTGAACACAATTGATTAATCGTTTGAATTAAATTGATTTAACTTTCTAGTGAACGAACAAATAACTAGCAAAGTAAAAGTAAAACATAAGATATTTTATAGGGAAAAAAATATTCACCAGATGTATATGTGGAGAACAAGGTAAAAAAAAGGTAAATGTTGTGTCTGTGTAAGTAATGATTTATTGTTACGAAAAATTTTTTATAACGAGTTGACCGGTGGACAAACCCCTTATTGAATTGGATACTATTTTAACATCTATCTTCTAATATTTTCCGTACATTTTAATGTAGTCTTCGATGTTGTTGTTATTATTATTGGCTATCTGGATAGTTTTTTTTCAGTTTTTTCCCCTTAAATTTACTAAATTAGACTAGACAGTGGAAAAAAGTCATGAAAAAAATGGATTAACTTTTGCACTCATTTCATTTCATAGATTGTGAACTCGCGTTGTTATACACGCCAACACAAGCACTGGATTAAATATACTTTTTTGGGATACAACTTGGATCTAATTTCAACAGCAACAACAATCGTTCGGAAGCTATTTTTTTCAAAGAAATCAAAGAAAAAAAAAATCGCTGCATAAATAGAATATAAATTTTATCTCGTATTTCGAATGGAAAAATTCTTTTTTTAGGCAAAAAAAAATATGATTTTGAATTTATCCAAGGCGATCTTTTGATTATCGTTGGCCATTTATTTATTTATTTATTTATATATTCATACCAACGCAATTAATAACCGCCTACAGTTTGAATGTAGAACAATAGATTGAATAGAAAAAAAAATATTGATTGATTATATATCAAATCGTCAACTAATGTCATTGTTTCTTGTTACGTTAATGATATATTTGTATATGAAACGATTGATATGAATTTTTTTTTCAAATTAACATTCTTTATCTTCTTTTTTATAAAAAAAGAAGTTTTGAATGACATTTCCAAACTAGGTGAACACCTTATCAATCTACTATAATGATATAGTGCATGATGATGATGATGATGATCGAAATTATATATTACACATATTGAATGATTTGTTTTTACCATTCAATCATTCAAATTCATATAGATACGAATCGAATGATGATATTTCAAGGTTGATTGATTCTATTCCATTTTATATATACAATATAATTCCTATCCATGTTGTGTTGTTTTTTCTCTTGACACTTTTTTTCTCATTTCAAAAAAAGTCCTCATCATCATCATCATTATCATCTAATTTTAGTCATACACAAAGAATAATAATAATTCATTCAAATGACATTCATAATTAATCAACAACCTACAACAATAAACGAAATGGCAAATGAAGAAAAAATGGATCATATTTAAAAAAAAGTGTGAGAAAGTGCACACATGTCTTGTAATAATAAATTTTATTACATTCATCAAACACTTTCATGAATGAATGAATCTATAGAATGATTTTGTTTTTTTTTGTGTGTGTGTGCATGATGATGATTTCTAAAAATGGACAAACATTAAATTTTTTTTTTTTGGCCATCATAAATATTGGCTGTACGAATGGATGATTACTGATAATCATTGATTAGACAGTACTTTTTCATGTTTTAATTTCATTCATCATTTCCGAGTAAATAAATTAATGAATAAAGTAAATATTCAATGACCATTTTTGTTATGTCAATAAATTCGAATCATCAATTATCTTTGATTTTCACCTTTTTTTTATTATTTATTTCACCACATTTCAACCATATTACCACCTGTTGAATTCTTTTTATTTTTATTTATTTTGTTCTTGTTTTGGCTATATAAATCTAGTTCAATGTTTCTATATTCAGTTGTTTAAATAGTACGAAAAAAAATCATTTATTTTATCCATTTTCCAGATATTCGAATCGAATCTAATGAATGAAAAAACACGATCCATTTATATACCATTTTATTATTATTATTATTATTACGTATCACTATCGATGTTGATGGCTATTATTGTTGTATATAAAATGCGGGATATATGAAATGCCATTGTTTGATTAACCTATTTTTTTTTCTTCTTTGTTCTTATCATTTATTACTCTTTTTTTTCTCTCTACCTGTATCTGTAATGTGTTTTGAATCATTCATTTATTCATTCATTCCTACTTCTAGTACGATTCATTCTAATTAAAGAAATTCGAATAAAAGTTTCAATGTCATGGATAGATTTGTGTTTATTTGAAAGGGATGGTGAAAACAATTCCATTTTAATAGCATATGAATAAATCATAGTCTCTATTTTTGTTCAATGAAAAAAAAGAATTATAAAATCAGACACAAATAACAATCGATTTCCTTATCTTATCAATATGGTAAATTTTTTTTTCTATCACCATCATCATCAATGTTGTTTATTGTTATTCTGTTACTAAACTGTTTGGAAAAAAATTCGAATTACATAATGATTAATACGATACGTATAAAAAAAACCAAAATATAATAATAATGTTGATGATATTGAACTTTATTGACCTTTAAAAACGAAGAAAGATTATTACAATGTTAGCTGATACGAAAAAAAATGATTTTACAGGAACTTTATGATAATAATAATTTGAATTTCCTATCAAAATAAATTGATCATCATCAACTAACTTGAACAGTTTTTTTCGATTTGAATACATTCACATTTCTAGCAAAAAACAAATGATTCTTCTTCTTTTTTTTTTGATCGGCCATGAATTAATGTTCATTTTCCCATGAATCGCATGATTGAAAATAATTTCATAGTTTAATAGAAGTGGAGAAAAAAAAATACTTGGTCACGAAAAATAATTCAAACATCAATGCAGTTATGAAGATAACTTCATTGATAAATTCAGTAAATCTTTGGTCAAGATATTTATTTATTTTTTTATTTTGCATCATTTATTTGGTCAACAAATGAACGATAATTTTCAGATCCAATCAGATGAAAACTTTTAAGATTCAGTTGTTGCTCTTTTTTTTAACTTTATCCATGCACAGAGCAACCCTTTCAGTATATTTTTTTTCTTTCACTTTGTACAAATTGTGAACCAATCTATGATAACCTTGTTTATAAACATATTGTTCATATTATTCTTAAAATGTGATTATTTCTAGGTCAAAGTTAATATCATAGTCTCGAATATATAGCTATTTCATTTGATTGTTTATCTATGCCTAACAAATAAAAACAGAGATTTATTGTGGTTCATGAGTGTAGGTGCCCCTCAAAAAAAAAAAAAAAATTTAGGGTGATGTGATGATGATAATGTGGATTGTATTGTTCAAAATCCATCGGGCAATTCATTTATCAATCCATCATCATCAAACCATCATTATTATTATTAGGATGTTGCTGTGTTGTTGTATTGGCCATCAAATCAACACAGGTTGATTGTTGTACTTTTTGTATATACTGTCTATATACAATAGACAAGTGATTCTCATCCTTTGAATTTGTTGAAAATTTTTAATCAACGAATGAACCTGGATTCCATAGTGTGAGTAAGTTATTTTTTATGAAAATTAAACAAACTTAATGTTAAAGGAAAAAATTTATTATTTTGACGACGAAAAAAAAAAATGACATATCGCGTGAATGAATTAATTTGATCATTTTTTTACTGAGTAATTAAAATTAAATTTTGATGAGATGTTGAGACAAAATAAATTCATCAAAAATCAAACAAAAAAAATAATCAATCAAATTGTCATCGTTTGTTGATCATTTCGATTCAATCACCCAGGCAATATTCAATCCGGATGGACCAAGATTAATTCGACTATAGTAATGGAAAAATATTATTTGACAAAAAATAAAATTATTTTGATATAAAAAAAATTTCTTACCCTAATAGGCCAAAATTTTTCATTTTTATGTGATGAATAAATATTAATAAAGCATAGAATAAATTATTTCGGCCAGGTGGAATCTCAAAATGTTCGCCTTTTAACATTAATGAATAATGTGGTGGATAAATTTTTTCTTGTTGTATGTATGTATCAGATTTTATGGATTTCATTGGTGAAGAATTTGTACCCGGGCTTCCTGCCGATGTAGCCGCTCTAAAATGTTGACTTGAAAATGGTTTTCCTTCTGGTAATGCCGGATTGAAAAGTAAACGTGAATCCATATAGGTACAAAATACATGAAGAATTAATTCAGCATCGGTTAACAATGAATCCTGTTTCCATGGTCGATAATTATAACTTCCGCCACCATCCCAAAGAAATTCGATCATACAACCACCTTTAGCTAAATCCTTTAAACGACGTACTAGATATTCTTGTACTGGTATAGTATTCTCAAGATTGCGAACATTGGAAATATCTAAGAATGGACAAACTTGTTCCAAGGTAGGAAATTCTGTTCGACGATTTTCGGCTAATTGTTTTAAATTTTTTAGAGGAGTTTCGCCAATCATTGAATCGATATAACCTTTTTCGACAATCAATTTGTTTATAGATTCAATCTCTCGACAAAGTCGAACTAAAATGGTCTGTGAAATCCATTTTCGAATGTTTTCAACCATCTGATTGAGAAGAGAATCGTCAACATCTAATTTTGATAGAATTTTTTCTAGTGTTCGTGTACTCGAATTCAATGATTCTGATTTTTCAAGACTACTTCCACTTGGTGGTGAATGAGTTTTGATAGACGATTTGTACGAAGGAGGTGTTAGTGCTCTGGAAGGTGAATTATGAGCCCAGAATATAGAAGAATCGTTGAATAGATTGCTGGACGATGAATTGTTAAATGAAACATGTTTAGTCGGTGTGATTGAATTATTATGAAATGAGAGATCACTATTTTTTGAAGTTTGTAAAAATTGTTGTCCTATAGTGTAATGATTTGCATTTTGACCATGAGATAATGTTGAATTCATTTCATTCATTGTTTGTAAAACTGGATTAACATTTGCGTAACGTTTTTGCGCTTGTAGCAATTCTTCCAATTCTTCTTGACGTTGTTCGTGTTTCTGCAAATATCGATCTAAATCGGCTTTCGATGTAATAACCGATGAAGAACATGTGGGCGATAAACTTTTATCAAACGAATCATTGAGAAATGATCTTGATCTTCGAAATCGTATGCCATCGATTTGTTTTTGTGAAAGTGAATTATTCAGACTTGCATCAGATCGTTTTGAGTATGGTGAATCGGCAATAGTTCCTGGATTAAAAGACCAAGAAGTTGGTTTAATATCATACAGTGAATTACTATCATGGAATCGTGTAGACAACGCTGTCGAATCCAAAGACGAATGTCCGTGATTAGAAAGATTTTCATAACTTATTTCGAATTTTGGTGTAAGAGAAATTTTATGTTTGCTTTTAAATTCTTGACAACTATCATTCGTAGTTGTCACATCTTTTAATTTAAAACCACATTCGTTTTCATCAATTCCAAACAAACGAAATTCTTCTGGTGTCATTTGGATGGGTTGCAAAAATCTTTTAAACCAGACGAAAAGATATGTGTTGTAGATGAAATTGATGAGAAACAAAAACATGAAGAGAATTTCTAACGGAGAATAATTGATTGATACAAATATGAAATTTACAACAATTTATAACAATTTACCTAAAAATGTCATCATATTTTTGATGAACGTTAACGATGAGATCGATGTAAACACTGAACATTGGCTACGTGAATGGATGAAATTAATTAGAGCTGATTAATTGTCTTGAAATTCACTTACAATTCTATTAGACATAATATCAGAAACGAAAGATTTATCCCGGCCCATAATGGTGCATTTCGTGCTGTTGAGACAAATTGTCTCTGTTTTAATATTTCTGCAGAATTTCTTTAAAGAAAAAATGAAATTATTCTGGTAAATTATGATGGAAAATGGCAACTTACATCATTTTCGGGTAATTGACTTTTTAAATTGAATCTATCTAATATTTCAGATGAAAGCATGAATTTCATCAACTCGCGCTATTCTGATCAGATGGTATGCATTCGTGCATAGCTTCATATACAATGTGTCATTTGGAACAATTTCGCAGCTTGAAAGTTCAACCGAAAATAATCGAATTGATCAATTTCTTTTAATGATTTCTTTTATTACTTGAATCGAAAATTTTTATACAAAATTTTTATTAAAATAAATGAAAAACTAAATAAAAGGACTATGCAATAATAAATCAATCAATCGAACAAGTGGCTCCAACAGCTTCCAATGTAGTTTTCAATTTTTCTGCTTCTTCTTTCGATAGATTATTCTTGACTACTTGTGGAACAGATTCGACAAATTTTTTTGCCTGAAAAAGAGATGATTATGGATGATAAAAGTGATTGAGTGGTTTAAAAGGAAAGCAACATCCACAAAAATTTACCTGTACTAAATTGAGACCTTCGACCAGATTTTTCACTTCTTTGATCAATGCAACTTTTTTGCCTTCATCAAATTTTGTTATCTTCAGATTGAATGAAGTTTGTACAGTTTTCGAAGCCGTATCAGTTTCTTCATCAGCCTTATCTCCGGGCATTCCTGCCATCATCGCTCCGGCAGCAAAAGACATCATCGGAGCATCAGGAATTTTGAGCACTTCTTTTAACGCAACATTCAATTCGGCCACTTCTAACAATGTAAGCTTACCAATTTCATCAACAATGGCTTTGATTTTAGGACTTGTCTCAGTAGGTGACAATATCTGATTACCATCAACAACCGATTGAGAAGCGGCTTGTGCTGAACACAAAGATCGACCAACATGCATTGTTCTATTAATGACTTAAGTGAAACAATGAATACAATTGAAAACAATTTATACCTGTTAGAGATGAATTGACGGTTCAATCGAGATGTAATTGATAAGATTTTCATGGTGAACATGTTTTTATCTAAATGAAAATGTTATGAAAAATCACAAATCTGTGTAAAGATATCAGAAAAACGAAATCTGGAGATCACATGTACATAGCAGTATCGATACAATCGATAATTTTTCATAGTAAAATCGAAAGTCAGAAAAATATATTTTTTACGAAATTTTAATCGATAAACTTCTATGAAATTGGAAAAAAACAAATAGCTGCATAAATCTTAAAAAGAGAAAAAAATACAAATAGAATATGATTAGGCTTTGTTTGTATATAATTGCACAAAAGTGAATATCAATAATAAAAATTGATTAAAAAGTTGATTAGGAATGTATGTTGCAAATTGTTCCATAATTAGTCTTTTCCATTGAATAATAAATGAACCTCGTTTAAAATATTCGTGTAGAATAAGGCGAAAAAACAATAAAAATTTAATTGCCATCAATCAAAGGGAAGAGGGGCTCGAGAATCCCAAGTTTTTTCGACTAGTATGCATATTTTGACTTGTTTCTTGAAAAAGTGTTGAATGCTTGATGTTGATTCAATTGCTGATGGCTATGATGATGATGTTGATTTAATTGACCAATTTGATTATGGTGATGATGATGATTATCGTCATCATTGGAATAATTGTAATAACCATTCATATTGTAATTATTGTCTGATTTATATTTCTTTGAATTTTCATTAAACATTTTTTGTTGTTGATATTGAGCACTTGAATACTGATAATGTCCGGATTGATGATGTTTATTTGATGAATCAACAAGATTATTACTATTATGATGATGATTAACAGTTACCATTATATGATTATTCATTCGTGATTTTTGGCTCGGTAATGTTAATGATTTGTTTGAATATGACAACGAATTGGAAGAATGTTGTTGATAGCCATTCTGAAAATTATAATCAAATATTGGCATTCGAAATGCCCAATGTGGACATTTTGCCGTCATCATAGAATAGCTCGATGATACGGATGATTTTTGATAGAATAAAATATAAGCATCTTGTTTGACCTCGAATTTTTCCACTGTTACTTTTGTATCATCGAATAGATACCAACAATTGTTGATTGAATTTTTACAATAGGCTAAAAATATAAAAATAATTCATTTAAAAATTTTAACTCAATTTTCAATCTTTACCTTTATAATGTCCTGATTGCATATTACCTTGATGACAGGAAACGGCGAACAAATCATAAGTAGTTTCATCCAATCTATCAGTACCCTTACATTTATAGGTGAGCTTATTCGATGAAGATGTTGATGATGATGACCTCCTATTATCATTATTTAATGATGAAAACGATGGCGAATGATTATAACCATTCATATCTCCATTGAAATTTTCACTGTATTTTTCCTGTACATATTTCAATAGATCTAATGAGATGGTATTTTTTTTCAATCGATTAATGATTGTTCAAATGTAAAAACTTTAATCTTACCAAGACCATTTTCTGGATAATCGACCATCGTATTTACTTTAAGACGATTCATATTATTTGTATAACGGAATCGTTTCAAATGTAAAATTAAAATATCTGGAAGACTCCAAACGTTCAATTTTCTAAGACACGATTGTGATGAACATGATGAGCATTGCCACGAATTTTCACTTGTCAACTATAATTTAAAGAATGATAATTATTTTAAAAAATTTATCTCTCAAAATATATCTTACATTCTCATCACGAAAATATAGATCCAGGCAATCTTGCAATGTTGTTCGATTATTAATTTTTGAATGTTCTTGAGCCTTTTTAACCGATTCATCTTCATAAATTCTACATTGAGCTGCTATCACATCGAAAAGTTCATCACAAATAAGGATGTTTTGTCGCAAATCTAAATCCCATTCAACGATTAATTTTAAATGATATGGTCCTCGGTATTGATTCTCAGTCATTGATAAAGCGTTTTCGACCATTTTTACAAACAAGGGATGATCAACATTCGATTCTAAACATTCTTCTTCTCGTGAACCGTTGACAACTCGTAATCGTAATGTTATAAAATTTGATAATTTGTGTAAATCCACATTTTCAAAATTTATGATGTATTTGGACATGGTTGACAAAATATTTTCTTGTAACTTTCGAAAACCAATTACACGTGAAACTAAGGTTGAAAATATCGGGCCAAAAATCGGTCCTTTTTCTTCGATACGGTTCAACCACACAATCGTTAACAAACCATCTTTATCCTGGTGTGACAATTCAGGCGTTTCCAGTGCATATATTGTTTCAGAATCTTTGAAAATCTCTTGACACATTTTGTAATCATTGGCAAATTCGACCAATCCATGTTGAGCACTCGGCTCCTGAAGTAACAGCAATCGACGTTCAGGAATCTTAATCATACGGCTAATTTTATCTCTAAGATTGCGTAGAATTATTGCCGCTTCAATCGAAATTCCATATTTGACGATGGAATGATCAAGGAATGTAACATTGATAAAAATAGTGAACCGAAATATAACAGACAAAGATATCGATGTATATGGATCAAAAGTCTTGGAGCGATGACCACACGTTGGACATTCAATTGTGGAACGAAGTTGACCTTGGAATAAATCCGAAATAATACTGCTTGAATCGTTTGTTTGACATCGTGCTAAAAATTCCTTGGCCGCCTTTTCCTCATTTTTATCTTGAGAAACATTTTTATAATGATGATGACTAGGCGTACCTTTCAACATTGACACTATACCATTTTTAATTGATTTATATGATGAATTAGATATTGACAATTCTTCATGACATGTATTCAATAACCATAATAGAAATTCTTGAGCATCATGTTGATCATGGCCTTGATATTGTTTGTTATATTTACCACAGATGTGTTTAAATTTGAATGAAATATCACTAGAATATTTATGAGTCCAAAGGCTTTTGATGAGAAAAACTAAATATTCAATAACTTCGCCACCAGTCGCTGAACGATTTTGGACGAGATCTTCACAATAATAATTCATACAAAAATATTCTGCTAAAGGAGCAGTATTTGAGAGACATTGAATGATCGAATTTAGATAACAGGTATTTCCATGGTTTTGTATACCGCAAACACCTGGTATATATTCAATTCCAGATGTAATTGATGAATGACGATTTAAGCCAGTTTGATCATTATTATGGTCATCATGGTGTTGGTCACCATCGAATCCATTTTCATTGAAAGTCAGATCACCTGGGCTAATGATATTATTATTGATAATCTCATTTGTTTGAATTTGAAGATTAGTATTTGAATTATCAACTTGATCAATCGAAGTTTCTATCGATGATTCTTTTCTGCATTCATTTAAAATTGTTGAAGATGTATCTGTGAATTGTAATTGTGAAGGTGAAGGGCTTTTACTCATGCTAGGAATATTACCATTCGGAATGTTTTTTCGCAATTGTTTTGATGGCGATTTGGATAAACGATGAGCATGATAATCATTATGGGTTGAAGGCGGTGGTTCTGAACGACGGCTTGGTGATGAAAGCTCAGAAATGTTATCTATCGAACCGGAAAGGGTTTTCTTTCTCCTATCCATATGATGATGTTTCTTGTTTTCTGGAAACGATTTTGATTTCCTAGGATTATTCAAGGAAGATGAACGTTTGATTTTCGAATTCTGATTTGTTGAAGATTGTTTACGCTTATATAAGAAACGAAAAGTTCGAATTATTCGTATGAAAAAATTTGAATTATCAGTGGATGCTGTATCATCTTCAGCCAAATTCGTTGATTTCGATTCGCTATTCTGCCGATTTTTTGAGGAACGTTTCATGAATGGTAATGAACTATGAGAACGTTTTCCTCGTAGATTATTAAGCTTAGAAGACAATTTTTCTTCAGTTTGATCATAATTGTTCTTCTTGGTACTTTTTCTCCTAAAACTTAATATTCTAATTAATCGTGTAAAATTGGAAGTAGATGTTGATTGTTGATTATTTGAATTCGATGCGGTTCCATTGTCCGTTTCATTATTGCCGTTCCGAATTTTGTTAGAATTTCGTTTCAAACTCTCAAGTCTTCTTTTTATAGGAAGCTTTTCTTCGGTCAGCGGACTAGTTTCGATTGGTTGTTGATCATTGTGATCACGATCGATATCATCAATATTTATTAATTGAGACATTTTTTTTCTTTATCGTTAATCATATTAATGATTACTGTGATAATATTGTTCACAATAAAACGATTACTAGCTGAATTTGATCATCGTCATCAATAATGGCCACTTTAGGCATAAAATTTCAATGTCTTTGTGATTTTGTAAAATGGAAAATTAAAAAGAACACAACAGAAAAAATCATTTAGATGAAAATGCCGAAATCACATCGAGGCCAAATAAAATGGATTGTAATGTATCTTGAATATGATGGATATTGCTGTTGTTTTTTTCGATAATGTTTATGATTTATATTGGCCGTGGAAACAAAATTGATCATCATCAACAAAGGATAACAGCAACCAAACTCGTGGTTATGGTTATTCGATTACAATGTTGAATCCATAGGTTTTCATCATCATCATCATCATTGACAACGCACAATTCCTTATTGAATCTAGGATTTTTTTCTTATACTATTATCATCGGTAACAGCAGCCATACACAAAAAAAATTATTAGATAATGATGAAAAACATGGTGTAGTTGCCTGGAAACAAAGGAGAGAAAAATAATCAGTGTTTTAATAAGTAAAAAAAATTGAAGAGATAATTAACTAAAACTTTTTAGAATGAATAGAATGGAACACATCATTGCCACCACCACCACCATCATCATCAACAACAGCATCACAATATATTTTGTATAATTGAATCATATATACAACATTCCGATAATTGACATCAATCGAAGTTGGAATGCTGTTTGGACATACCATCATCATCACATGCATTGTTATTTTAGTTATTTTCCATTCTATTTTTTTTCCAATGCAATTTTTTACCAAATATTGTTTTGTTGCTGATTAAATGAGCAATATTAGTATGACAAAATATTGCGATGATGATGAACCACAATAATAATTATAATAATGAAAATAATAAATATTTTATCATTATATTATTGTAATCAAAAAAAAAAGTTATCTTTCTTATCCTCTTGATACTATATAACACAAAGGTAAATATAGTAAATCCGATCATCATCACCACATCTATAGTTCATAAGTCGTAAACTGATACATACCTATTCGATTGTAAATATCGAATGTCAGAAAATAAGATTCAACTCAAAAAAAAATTATTTTTTTTTTTTTGTAGATCATTGAGATTATAATATTTTGAAGAGGTATAACTTTGAATTTGATGATTAATTTTTGGTCTTTTCTTTCTTTTTCGCTTTCCAAAGAAATGTATAAATTATTTGCACTATAATGTTGATTATCACAATGGCAATTATCGTCAAGAAACAAATAAAGTTGAAATGATCAAAAGAATGAAATTTGATTTTGTTAAATAGATATTGTATCCTTATTCTTAATGAAGATATTTGATACGGATTTGAAATTCAGAGGCCACCGAAATATACATTGTGTGTATGTGTTTAAAGAATATTCTAGTATTAAAAATTAAATTAATTTTATAGTAATAAGGCAATCGTTTTCTGTTTTTATTTGTCAATTCTTATCATCACAAGAAAATGAGGTGTGTGTGTGTGTGTTTGTGACTGTCAATAACGACAATTTATAATGGAAATAAAAGTATTCGAGTAGAAAAAAATCTGTTGTTGATTGATGATCAACACACCGAAAGAGACGCTGAAATAACGAAAAATAAAACAAGATAGATACAACTAATCAAATGAAAATAAAAAAAAAACAAAATCAGGACATCATATTACACACGTACAAAAATATAAACATATAATATAAACACGCATACAAACACCTGTCAATTGGATATATATCCCGTAAAATGAGAAAAAAAATGCCGATCCATACTATTTGAATGGTCCAAGGATTCAATGTATACAAAATATATTGCATAACACATTATTTTTTGTAAAATTTATTTATTTTTATTTTTAATTCCTAAAATTAAAAAATTTTACATTTCCACCACATTTTCAATGGCAATGAACCTCGACGACGATAAAGCCATGAATCGAATACATTGAATTGTACGCGTTGAAGATCATGAAGATATGCCTGTATGGCCATCATTGGTAGAAAAATTAGTCGATCGGATTTTTGTATTTTCGGTGTTTCATTTCCATTTGAAACGAGTAATTTTTGACCATGTTCTAAATGACCTTTAGCATTTGATGCAATTAAGTATATGGCTTCTCGAAGAGAATCATTATCCTGTTGACATTGAAGAAATGCTTCATGTGAACATTTACTTTTCATCAATATATCATTCGGTATATAACATCGTCTATTTTTTGCATTATGTACAATGCCTCGAAGAATATTGGTCAATCCTTGTGCTTTTCCTAAGTGATTGGCTACATGATCCAAAGCGATACGATACCCTGCATTCTTTTGCCCTTCATTTGATAATTGAATAGATTTTTCATTCAAAAAATAATACAGTGATACAGTCGATGCTTCACAATATTTTTCCAATTCATTTAATGTTTGAAATGGATATTCTCCCAAGTATTTTGGATCTCGTCGAATTTGAATTAGTTTTGAAATCCAATGTTTAGATAATTTTTCACTTCCGGAAAGTACCTAAATAAAAAGAGCGAATAAAATGTTTGTAAAAGTTGTGAAAATAATTCAATCATTCATTTACCTTGAATAGTTCAAATGCAAGAGGAAAATTTCTATATTTCATCAGCGTTTCATTATCCGTAACTTGACTAGTAGAGGAAATTGAATAAATTTCATCGATAACATCTTGCCAAAACTGAAACCGAATTTGAGCTAATTCATTTGTCCGGGTGATATCACGAATTTGCGCCAATTCGACATTGAAAGCACGAAGGGCGAATGCTGTACGACGAATTTCTTCATCAGAAATGAACAAAGTTGCCACGAAATTTTCATAATCAAATTTTCTATCATTGTAATTACAAATACATAATTGCCCCATATGTTTATTTGGTTTTCATAAATCAAATAAAAACTTTACTTTACCACATTTATACAATGAACTTCAGTTGGACTTAAACGTTGATTTGTTGAATTAGTAAAAAAACTATGATTATTAAAAGAATAAATGTTTTTACATGATTTTCCATTGTGATTCAATAACGAAATCTTTGAAATTAAAGATTCTGTTTGATATAAAACATTTTTCATCATTATAGATTTTGTTCAGAATTTAATTTAAGAGATTCACATGAATCAGGATCACGTGAATGACTCGTCAATAAATAACAGTACACAGAATCGAATATCACAGAGAGGAAAGTGAGCAGGGTAAACTGCAAGATTGAGTGCTAAAAAGCCTCCATATTTGCAGTTTACTATCCATGCTCACAGGCTACTCTTCTTATTATGAGGTTACGCTGCTTCGTTGTAATGTAAACTCCATACTTGGAGGTTATTTAGCAGGCTAAACTGTAAAGTTACATATTAACCTCCATCAAAGAATGGTAAACACGCTTTCTTATTGGAGGTTAACCTCCGATTTTGAATTTCATTCAGTTTGTTCGATATTATTCTTCATTTTTTTCAGGCTTTTAGTCAAAACTCTGAAGATGTAAAATTATCATCACGAAATTCAAAGGCATGTTTTGAACTTGGTCTTTTTTGAACGTTTTGATTCAATGATGCTACTTTTCAGGAAAGAGATGAACACAACATTCTGGATGAATGGTAAATGATTGAATTTTCATCAACTCATATTCTAATTACCATTCCTTTTGTTAGACATTAACAAGTGCACGATCGCCTAATGATCAATCAGTCAAAGTCAATCTGGCCATCTCAACTTTTCGTCATCATCATCATTTACGAGAATATGGATAACCAAGTAAAATAAATGTAAATTATTCAATTTTTATCAATTCCGATTCTAATTATCTTTTCCATTCACAGGCATCCATTGGATTATCCAAATTCTCTGGCTTCAAATTATCTCAAAAATTTGACCGTTTCATCAATTTGTGGCTTTTAATTTGAATTTGTATTTGTATTTTTTATTTTATCTTATAATAATTTTTTAATTTCCGGATTTATTCCGAAAATCAATAAAACAATCGTTTAATGAAACAATCAAAAAAAATCGGGATACTATCGATTGTCATGATAGTCACGTGATTTGTTGAAACTAAAAACAATCGAAAAAAATCGGGATACTATCGAATAAATCGTTCACCACCCGATTTTTGCTACATTGTTCATTTCTATGCTTCCAACATTGTTACTTTGGCTGTACAAATTTTCTCTCATTTTTTTCGTAACTATTTTCTATGCTTCTTCTTCAGTCCTCACTTCTGAGAGTGTTTACAGTATTTACAATATTTACAGTAAAACAACGCTTAAAGCGGGGTTACGTTCCAAAAATATTGAGCGTAAAGCGAAACAACAGGGCAAAGTGGGGTTATTTTTGCATAATTTACATAATGCATTTTTACTCTTCATATACAATGTAACAATGTATTGCAATGTAATGTAATTGCACAGCGTTATATCGAAACAGCGCTAATCGGGACAGCGTTAAGCGAAGTATTTCTGTAATGTCGTAAAATATGATTGTTATATACGACCATAATTACGTTCTATATTATGGGGGAGGATAATGGTCTGGGGGAAAATTACCCCATCATTTATAAATTTGCCCCCCCATTTACACACATTAACACATATACACGCATATACACATTCGACGTCGGTTCAAATCCCATCGCGGCCGCCTGGGTTAATATAAAAAATAGTCAGTGTTGGGGGTGGATAGTGGTTTGAGCATAATCACTTATAAATTTGCCTCCCCCTCGCTTATAAAACCTATTTGTTGGGGAGGATAGTGATTGCCGATCACTTATAAATTTGCCCCCCAATTATTCATATACACATTTACACTTGCGCATAAAGTAATTTAAAAAATAGTCAGTGTTGGGGGTGGATAGTGGTTTGCGCACAATCACTTATAAATTTGCCTCCCCCTTGCTTATAAAACCTATTTGTTGGGGAGGATAGTGGTATGGATCATAATTGTTCGATCATTTATAAATTTGCCCCCCAATTATCACAATACACATTTACACATTACACATAATTAATTTAAAAAATAGTCAGTGTTGGGGGTGGATAGTGGACAATCACTTATAAATTTGCCTCCCCCTTGCTTATAAAATCTATTTGTTGGGGAGGATAGTGATTCGGAGCGCAATTGTCCGATCACTTATAAATTTGCCCCCCAATTATTCATATACACATTTACACTTGCGCATAAAGTAATTTAAAAAATAGTCAGTGTTGGGGGTGGATAGTGGTTTGCGCAAAATCACTTATAAATTTGCCTCCCCCTCGCTTATAAAACCTATTTGTTGGGGAGGATAGTGATTCGGAGCGCATTGTCCAATCACTTATAAATTTGCCCCCCAATTATTCATATACACATTTACACTTGCGCATAATGTAATTTAAAAAATAGTCAGTGTTGGGGGTGGATAGTGGACAATCACTTATAAATTTGCCTCCCCCTTGCTTATAAAATCTATTTGTTGGGGAGGATAGTGATTTGGAGCGCATTGTCCAATCACTTATAAAGTTGCCCCCCAATTATTTATATACACATTTACACATTACATATAAATTAATTTAAAAAATAGTCAGTGTTGGGGGTGGATAGTGGACAATCACTTATAAATTGGCCTCCCCCTTGCTTATAAAACCTATTTGTTGGGGAGGATATGAACCATAATTGTCCAATCACTTATAAATTTGCCCCCCAATTATTTATTAAACAAATTAATCTCGAGTATCAAAATATGACTTTATTGATCGAACGACAAAAACGAATTAATAATTACAACTATCATTTAAATCACACAACACTTCATGTGTTGACTTTTTGGCCACATTACAAGTGAACACTATATCTGATCCTTTTACCGAAGTTAAATGAGCAAATTGTTTCAAAAGTAATGGTGATTCTGTTAGAAAAAAACAGAGGAAATAAATTAATTCAAGTAAAATGAATTCAATTAGTTTTAACTTACCATTTCCGTTAATAATTAACGTGTGGAATATTAACAAAATGATGAATTGAATAGACCATTTTAAAATGATATGACCACTAAACCGACAAAACATTTTGAAAAATTCCTTATGATTATTATGATGAACAGAAAGAGACAGCATTATGTGAAAACAATCAAACAATGGTAAATTTAGATAAAAAAAATAATGATTTAAAACTGAATCAATAGCGCCGCGTTTTGGCCGAAAACATGATCAAAAACAAACAAACAAACGGAAAAACAATCAACTACCTTTCACTTGAAGCAATGTCCATTGAATATCGATTCCAAACTGATTGCCTACGATACAGGAATAATTTCCAGAATCAGAAGCTTTCAATTTCAAAATGGTTAAAAATGATAGAAAATTATCTGTTTTAATCTGATATGATAATTCCGGATTTCTATGTCTAAGTAATTCTTGTTCATTTTTAAACCATTTGAACGATAGTGGTGTTCAACCACTGATAACCGAAAATGGAATATTCAATACTGATCCTTCAGATTGATTCAATTCTGTTGAAAACAATTTAGAAATTCGAGGTGCATCTGAAGGGAAAACAAGGGATTTACATTAGAAACGTAAAATTAGAAAAAAAAATTCTCCAACCTTTTGAAGCATAAATAACCGTGAATGAAATACAGAAAAACAGCAACAATTTAAACATTGTGAATGTTTTTAAACATTTCACAACACAACACAACAACAACAAAATGATAATCAATTCAAGCAGAAAAAATGAAGATGACCAGAAAAATTAATTTTGGTAAAACAAATTATGCATTAAAAGGGCCACCTATTGGTCAAGCAAATCACGATTATAATAAATAGCAATCAAACCTTGTATGACAAGTTTTGTTGTAATCGAATCAGTACCATGAACATTCCTGGCATTACATGTATAGGTTCCGGTATCATCATTTGAATTAAGACGTTTGAATACAATCGATGACATTGTATCATAAATAACAATTTTATATTCAGTCGAAGATAATTTCTTATGATCATCTTTGTACCATTCAAAAAATATTGATGTCGATCCTGATGAAATGGAACATGGTAATATGTATGATGAATTAATGGAAAGATTAATTTCAGATGCAGGAAATTTATTCAAAATTGGTTTGGCTAAAATTATTATCGAAAATAATTATTCAGAAACATCGAAAACAAAAATTCAAATGAATTACCAGCATCAATTGAATGAAAGTAAAAAGTTGAAAAAATCACCGTTAATAAAATTATTATCTCAGAAACAATGTGTGTTCATACTCTTAAACTTAAGTATACATTTCATGGGTAAAATTATTTTATGCAAAACAAAAAAAAATTATAACCCACAAAATGGTAGAATTAGCGCCATATATTGGCCAATAAAAAACATTGAATAAATTGTTCAAACCTGTAACCGTTAGTTGAATCCAAAGTTTATCGAATCCGAATTTATTGGTAACAACACAGGAATAATTTCCCACATCATTGGAATCGATATTTCTCAATGTAAAAAAAGAGAAAATATCTTTATTTTCAATTGTCGATCGTCCAGTATTGGATAATTCAACACCATTTTTGAACCATTGAAACCGTAATGGTTTACTGCCTTTGGCTACATTACAAGTCAACACAAGATCTGAACCTTTGGTTTGTTCATTTTTTGAATAAAGTTTAACGAGTACTGGAGATTCTAGATTTAAAAAGATAAAATATTGAATTAATTGAAGCAATGAATAATTGACAAACAGACTTACCATCGCTGTGAACAGATGAAATAAAAATGATCAAAGCGAAAAACTTGGAAATAAAATTCAGCATTTTCACAGGCAAATTTCTTGTAACCAAACATTGAATGTGAGTAACACAATCGAAAAAAGTATTTTGGACAGAAAATTCAAAATCAAGTTTTCAATAAGATAATTAGCGCCGCGTTTTGGTGAAAATTATGATGAAAAATTTAGAATTTAATCTAAACCTCAAATTCGATACCACAATTAAATTAAAAGCAAACCTTGTCTTGTTTTTTTGTAATCGAATCACGATTATCTCCTTGATGCCATCGTAATGAAATAGAATTTGACGTGGTTTCCTTTTGCAATTAGAAGTTGTGCAGGTGGTATATCTCCATCAAGTGTACGTTTCAGCACTACTTGTGATTGTGGTCCACTTCCGGCCAAAATTTAAGTTTTAACAAAGATTTCATATTTTGTTCCATGTGATAGATCACGTAGGAAATATTCATAAACCTCGTTTTCAATTTGATTAACTTCTGCACAGAGACACAGAGACGAAAGTCTGCGGTGTACACTGCAAGGTGAAATTTATCATAACATGAGACATATTGGTTAACATTTGTCAGTACCAAATAATCATCATAACTCGATATGGTTGAGAATTTCATGATCATTTCATCAAAAATGAACAAGACGAAACTTGAGAAAAAACGAGCATTTTTGCACAAAGACAGCGAGTACAAAAAGTCAACACATAAAGTGTTGTGTGATTTAAATGATAGTTGTAATTATTAATTCGTTTTTGTCGTTCGATCAATAAAGTCATATTTTGATACTCGAGATTAATTTGTTTAATAAATAATTGGGGGGCAAATTTATAAGTGATCGGACAATTATGGTCAATACCACTATCCTCCCCAACAAATAGGTTTTATAAGCGAGGGGTAGGCAAATTTATAAGTGATTGTCCACTATCCACCCCCAACACTGACTATTTTTAAAATTATTAATTATGTGTAATGTGTAAATCTTTTCTACATTTCGTTCATGAATATGTTTTATCAGAAGATGGTTGAATTGTTAAATTAGCTGATTTCAAAATTTCAAAACCTGTTTATGATTCACGTGTTCGTCCATGTCTTTCGAGAAAACAATAACATCATCAATGTAAATTTTTGACGAACGGTAGTTGAAACAATATATTTCCAAGACGAGAAAAAGTTTGTGCAGCAGTTGATAGCCCAAATGGCATAACCAAAAATGATATAACGTGTTTCAAAACGAAACGCTGTTTTTTCCCCTGATCTGATCTGCGAAGCGGTACCCGATGATAATACCCAGATTTGAAATCCAATTTTGAAAATATTTTCGCTTTATCGAGACCAAACAAATTTCTTGAACTTTTGGTGTTGGTTGTGCGTCAAATTTCGAGATAGCATTCAGCTTTCTATAATCAATTGCCAACCGTAACGAACCATCTTTCTTTTTTACCACCAACAATGGACTACAAAACTCGGAATGAGATTTAACAATAATGTTATTTTGTTCCATTTCAACCAACATTCGACGGACTTCATCACGATATGCATATGGCACAGGATAAGGTTTGACATTGACCACCTTATTTGTTTTTAATTCGATAGAATGCTCTACCAAATTTGTACGTCCGATACCTTCGAACACATCCATGTACCGATTGATTAATGCATTTACCACACCCGATTGTTCAGATTCATCACAAACATTTTCATTGTCCGCATCATCATCCACAGTAAGATGTTCGACCGCCAGTGCACAGACTTCTGCATCCGTTAGATCGTGATCATTGACATTGTCGATTTGATCTTCCGAAATCAGATTAACACGACGACGATGAGTGTAATCTCGATCGCTTTAGCCAATGCTAATTTTATCAATGGGGTCCAACTTTATCCGGCGTACACCCATTGACGCTCTTGATGATTCATCCAATGATTGACCTTGACCACGTTGTAAACGGAAAATGACCGTATGTGTAATGTGTAAATGTTATAAATGATTGGGGCAAATTTATAAATGATCGACAACTCGCCGTCGATGGCGCCGAATCACTATCCTCCCCAACAAATAGATTTTATAAGCAAGGGGGAGGCAAATTTATAAGTGATTGTCCACTATCCACCCCCAACACTGACTATTTTTTAAATTAATTTATATGTAATGTGTAAATGTGTATATAAATAATTGGGGGGCAAATTTATAAGTGATCGAACAATTATGATCCATACCACTATCCTCCCCAACAAATAGGTTTTATAAGCGAGGGAGAGGCAAATTTATAAGTGATTATGCGCAAACCACTATCCACCCCCAACACTGACTATTTTTTAAATTACATTATGCGCAAGTGTAAATGTGTATATGAATAATTGGGGGGCAAATTTATAAGTGATTGGACAATGCGCTCCGAATCACTATCCTCCCCAACAAATAGGTTTTATAAGCGAGGGGGAGGCAAATTTATAAGTGATTTTGCGCAAACCACTATCCACCCCCAACACTGACTATTTTTTAAATTACATTATGCGCAAGTGTAAATGTGTAAATGAATAATTGGGGGGCAAATTTATAAGTGATTGGACAATGCGCTCCGAATCACTATCCTCCCCAACAAATAGGTTTTATAAGCGAGGGGGAGGCAAATTTATAAGTGATTTTGCGCAAACCACTATCCACCCCCAACACTGACTATTTTTTTATATTAACCCAGGCGTCCGCGATGGGATTTGAACCGACGTCGAATGTGTATATGCGTGTATATGTGTTAATGTGTGTAAATGGGGGAGGCAAATTTATAAATGATGGGGTAATTTTCCCCCAGACCATTATCCTCCCCCATAATATAGTATCCATAAATGGGTATATATAAATGATATAAATCCCAATATTTACAGGAATACAACCCTTTTCGCTGTCCCGATTAGCGCTGTTTCGATATAACGCTGTGCAATTACATTACATTGCAATACATTGTTACATTGTATATGAAGAGTAAAAATGCATTATGTAAATTATGCAAAAATAACCCCACTTTGCGCTGTTGTTTCGCTTTACGCTCAATATTTTTGGAACGTAACCCCGCGTTAAGCGGGGTATTACTGTATATTTGTATTATATCACTGTATATATGTAGCATTACTGGCTGCGCATGCTCCTGCCTATTTCTACTTTCCCCTATTTCGACCGAGAATGTCGGTGAGAGAGAACGAGCACGTTTTTCAGCCGAAAATTCCGAGTCAGGAACACTAACACACACAACTCGACAACAAATAAAAATCCGATTTTCACAAACGACAAAAAATTCATATTCTTTTTTATTGAGAATAGGAATAATAATGAAATTTTGATCGCAGTAAACTATTTCTACTTAAGCTGGGTTATTGGTTAAAATAACCAAATAAACAATAGCGAAGCAAATATTATCAATATTTTAACCAACAAGCAAATTTTCTTTGTTCGTTTTCAACTAAATTTTTTTTTTGGTTTTGTAATTTCATCATCATCGATCTGCCAAAAAACATACACACATAATCATTCATCAACCAATTAGTGAGATTGAAAGAAAAAGCCAACGATAAAATTTTTTTCCCTTATAATGGATGATTTTCCCAATAGACCACTGAAGGTTTGGTATGCGTGTGTGTCATTCGATTATTGATCATAAATTTATCATCAAATTGTTGATAGTGGTAGTGGAATCAAAATACAAATATTTTCCATATAAAACATATATTTAGCATCATATCATTTATGATGCTGTTGATGATGATGAAATTTCATCATCAATATAATTTTTCATTGTTTTAATTATTTAGCTATTAGTATAGAAAAATTCTGATCGAATGAATCCAATTCGATTAATTAGATTAATAAAATCTCAGGATGTCATTGAATTGTTCATTTTGTCTACAACAACGACGGCGATTGTTTTTTGCAAACAAAATATTCTTATCAATTTGTCTGCAGAAATATTGTAATGAAATCCTTCTATAATCTGCTAATTTTCTAATTTTTCATCCATTCACACAGGCACAAGGCAGTAGTCCACCAGTCAAAAAAAGTCGAATAGACGAGCCATGTCAGATAGAACATATCTTGTTACGTCCAAATATTGGATCCGTTGAGAAAGTCACCAAGGTAAGATATCTTTTGATCATTAAGAATTCAATCATTTAATTGATAAATCTTATTTTCATTAGCAAATGTGGGTATATGACAGTCAAGATAGAATGGTTTTACGTGATGTTTCATATGTGCCCCAATTATATAAAATTTTTGATGAAATTCTTGTAAATATTGCTGATGATAAAATTTGTGATCAAAAAATGACCATTATTAAAATCGAAATCAATATGGAAAGTGATGAAATAATTTTTTTAACAATGGCCGTGGAAGAACGTTTCTGATCCCACATCAAGATATTAATGGTGCTGAAACAATTGTTTTCACAACAAGGATTTTTGGCAATATTTTATCATCATTAAATTGTATTAATAATAACGCTACAAGTGTATATGATTACACAAATAGGATCCCATTATTAGTGGTAATTGATGGTTCCATTCAAAATTCACAGCTAAATTAAATTTTGCTCGATACACTAGTGGTGGATTCATCAAATCAAGCAAAATTTTTATTTACATCGTCCACGAAACACGACACTTGATTTTGATTTTCAACATAACGGACAAATAGCCAATTGTCATTGTTTCAAAAATCATTGGCGAGCTTATTGGTCCACTATTGATCAATGTCATCGAAGACAGTGAAGCTCCTACTTTTTTCAAAAACCAAAAGGTTTTAAAAAGACTACTAGGCAAATGGTTATTACCTAAAAAAATTGATGGTCTAATGACATCGTTTGCTTCTGCATCGGTTCAGCTATTGATTTCACCAATAACATTTGATGATAAAAACAAGTGGCTGTTGCCTCAAGATTGAAATATATCGTTTTTAGATATCATATGATTGGAAATTTGTTCAAAGAGCAAGTCATAGACGTGGACTGGTTTAATCCTAGAAAGGCAACCATATCGATATTGCGGTAAAGGGAACCTTTCTATGGTTAAAGTTGGAAGTCAAGTAATTTGTTGTAGTTTTTGTGACGTTCCAATCTTTATTTCCACAAGAGGAGTGTTGGAATTATTGAACAAATAATTCCAACAGTTTTACATAAACAATTTATGAATTTGGATCATTTGATTCAGTATCATAAAAATCAATACTCCGAATATTCGATACTATTTTTATTGACGTTACAACATAACCACAATATAACAATCTTATTACAACAAATTGTATTACAATAACAAATAATACAACATAAACATAAAATTTATCTACCAGAAGTGTATATTAATATTGCTCGATATACTTAAAGAACAAATGTAATTCTAACAAATTATATTTACATTTACATGTTTATGAATGTTTGTCGCATCCTTTGATGCTCGATCATTCGGATTTCGATCTGTGGGATTGTTATGGTTATGGTTTGTTCGATGTTGACAACGTCAATGATGACAATTCTTATACTGATGAAAATGATCATCGTGATATACATTACAATGATTGTCATCATTATAAATATTCTGGATTATCCAATGAAGATAAAAACTTTGTAGATCCTAGATCGAAATCAAACCCACGTCTCCAGAACATTTCTGTGAAAATCTTTCGCTTGACGATTACTATTTGGACTTATTGTGAAAATTTAAATTATTTGTCTTTATTATTCCTGCACCAAACTTCTTTATTATTTTGAAGATCAAGACAATTTCTTCCTGTGGATGATTTAATTTATTATTGTCAATGAACATACAAAACATACATACATTACATACACAACAAAATATGTGATACTTTTCTTTTATTTTCCATTTTTTAATTACTAATTCAAATTTTATTTTATGATTATATATTATCAATCAATTGTTGCACATTATTGTTTTAAGTATTTTTTTTTTTTGAACCAATTGCTGTTAAAACCATCATTTGCGCTTCACTGTCTCCAATGACATTGATCTTTAAGAAATAAGATGCAAATTGTCTGATCAGACAGTGAATGCGCAAGTATTTTTAAAATTTTGTTTTCAAAAATTTCAATCATAAATAAAAATTTCTTAAATAAAAATTAAAAAAAGTTTTCATGTTATTAAAAAAAATAGGAACCGTTCGTATGCATCGAGTATTATGGCAACGAGAATATCACATATATGGACAATGAAATGAAAAGATAAAGATAAATGCGACTAAACCACCATATAAGACTTTTTTCACATCAGTGGAAAAAAATGTAGCAAACATATCATCACCGTTTATAAGTGAAAACAAACATTCCAATGTTGAACTAAGCGTACGAAATTTGAGATGAGGACCCAAAACGACCCAACCACAAAAACAAAATCCTCTGTAAAATGATAAAATTTTTAAACAATTTTTTTTATAAACTAATGATGAACAATTACACTAACCCATAAACTAAAAATGCACAGAGACAGAACCGCAAAACGTTTGGAAAAGATTTCTTCAATGTTACAATAAGAGAATGTTTTATGATTGAAAATAGGCAAAATAACGTAATAATGAAAACCAAACCAAAAGATTACCAATGCCTAAAAATAGCGAACAGCTAACAGAAAAAAAATTATAACCAATTTAATTTGAAACATAAATATTTAACAAACCTATTCATCTTTTTTACTGATACAATTGGAATATCACCTTTATGGTTTCTACAAATTGATAATAATGATGAACCATTGTTGTAGTGAGAATCAATTGAATGCAAAACGAACAATATTTAATAATAAATATGTCGTGGGATCGTTTGTGAAAATCGGATTTTTATTTGTTGTCGAGTTGTGTGTGTTAGTGTTCCAGACTCGGAATTTTCGGCTGAAAAACGTGCTCGTTCTCTCTCACCGACATTCTCGGTCGAAATAGGGGAAAGTAGAAATAGGCAGAAGCATGCGCAGCCAGTAATGCAACATATATACAGTGATATAATACAAATATACAGTAATACCCCGCTTAACGCAGGGTTACGTTCCAAAAATATTGAGCGTAAAGCGAAACAACAGCGCAAAGTGGGGTTATTTTTGCATAATTTACATAATGCATTTTTACTCTTCATATACAATGTAACAATGTATTGCAATGTAATGTAATTGCACAGCGTTATATCGAAACAGCGCTAATCGGGACAGCGAAAAGGGTTGTATTCCTGTAAATATTGGGATTTATATCATTTATATATTCCCATTTATGGATATTATATTATGGGGGAGGATAATGGTCTGGGGGAAAATTACCCCATCATTTATAAATTTGCCTCCCCCATTTACACACATTAACACATATACACGCATATACACATTCGACGTCGGTTCAAATCCCATCGCGGCCGCCTGGGTTAATATAAAAAAATAGTCAGTGTTGGGGGTGGATAGTGGTTTGCGCAAAATCACTTATAAATTTGCCTCCCCCTCGCTTATAAAACCTATTTGTTGGGGAGGATAGTGGACAATCACTTATAAATTTGCCCCCAATTATTTATATACACATACACACTTGCGCATAAAGTAATTTAAAAATAGTCAGTGTTGGGGGTGGATTGTGGACAATCACTTATAAATTGGCCTCCCCTTGCTTATAAAATCTATTTGTTGGGGAGGATAGTGATTCGGAGTGCAATTGATTTGCGCACAATCACTTATAAATTTGCCTCCCCTCGCTTATAAAACCTATTTGTTGGGGAGGATAGTGATTCGGAGCATAATTGTCCGATCACTTATAAATTTGCCCCCAATTATTTATATACACATTTACACACATACTTATATCTAAATATAAAAATAGTCAGTGTTGGGGTGGATAGTGGACAATCACTTATAAATTTGCCTCCCCCTCGCTTATAAAACCTATTTGTTGGGGAGGATAGTGATTCGGAGCGCAATTGTCCGATCATTTATAAATTTGCCCCCCAATTATCACAATACACATTTACACATTACACATAATTAATTTAAAAAATAGTCAGTGTTGGGGGTGGATAGTGGTTTGCGCTTAATCACTTATAAATTTGCCTCCCCCTCACTTATAAAACCTATTTGTTGGGGAGGATAGTGATTCGGAGCGCATTGTCCAATCACTTATAAAGTTGCCCCCCAATTATCAAATACACATTTACACATTACACATAAATTAATTTAAAAAATAGTCAGTGTTTGGGGGTGGATAGTGGACATTCACTTATAAATTGGCCTCCCCCTTGCTTATAAAATCTATTTGTTGGGAGGATAGTGATTCGGAGCATAATTGCCGATCATTTATAAAGTTGCCCCCCAATTATTTATTAAACAAATTAATCTCGAGTATCAAAATATGACTTTATTGATCGAACGACAAAAACGAATTTAAAATTACAACTATCATTTAAATCACACAACACTTCATGTGTTGACTTTTTCTACTCGCTGTCTTTGTGCAAAAATGCTCGTTTTTTCTCAAGTTTCGTCACTCGTCTTGTTCATTTTTGATGAAATGATCATGAAATTCTCAATTTTATCGGGTTATAATGATTATTTGGTACTCATCACAAATGTTAACCAATATTTCGGGTTTGTCTCATTTTATGATATTTCACTAACTTTCAATTTCTAGTTTTACTGATTTCTCATTGACATGAGAAAAATCCATAGCTATTTGGTAAGTTTGGATATTGTATACTTGATAACGCTTTGTTTTTTCCAGATTTATTTCTGAAATTCGATTTTTCATCATGTTTGTTATTGATTTGGCGGTTTCTGTCTTCAGTGGCATCAGATTCAAGAAATGCTCGGTAATGTTCAACTTTAAGTTAGGAATAGGATAGGATAGGCTAGGTTTAGGAACATGATCTGAGCTTTTTCCTATTGGATTTGATGCTAGTTGAAGTTTTGAAACCAATGAAGCAATTGACAAGCATGATTAATTTTCGAAGATTCACGAAATGAAACACATAGTTGAAACTGATAATGGTAAGCAAATGAATGAATTGATTGAACGAAAAAACTAATATTTATTTTTATTTAGGATCACCGGCGAACATTTTGGAAATTGAATTGATCATGGTATGTAAATTGCTCAATTGATTACCCAAACTAACAACTAATTTCTTGACTCGTTTTCTAGATTCATTTTGGAAAAGGAAAACTGAATGCCCATTACGATAGATTTTTATTTACATGGTATGTGATTCTTGATGGAAATGATTGAAATAACTAACGAATTTCTTAATTTAAAATCGACAACTAGTCTTGGATCATAATGATTGGATTGGCGGACATATGCTCATGGTCATTGGTTAATTTATAAATGGATCACTATGGACAAGACAAAAATTGGATCATGTTTAATTTGGTTTTTTAATTATTGTCATTGCTTTATTAATTTAATATTAATTTTGAATAAAATTTTTTAATCCTAATATGGGGGTAAAATTAATGAAGTAAATGGGGGGCAAATGAATTCAAATTTGGAGGGTAAACTGCAGGGTTTCAAAAAATTCAAATTTGGAGGGTATATATGGTGAAGCGTTCATATACAATGTTACATAAGCTGCAAGTTTGCAGGGTAAACTGCAAATTTGCATTTTTGTTAACACTTGCAGGGTACACCGCAGACTTTTGGCTCTGTGTACTGAAAAATTATTTTTTATTTTTAATTTTAAAATCCATCAAAATATTAATTCTGACTGTATATAAATGAATCTTGCTGTAATTTTTCTTCAATTAGATTCCAATCGACAATATATTCCATTTCATTGGCCACTTTTTGTAATTGTTCCAATTTTTTATGCTGTTTATTTCCGCTATTTTGTTGTTTTTGACAATGTTTTTCCCAGCAAGCAATAACCATATGAATTAAATCCACTTTAATATCATTAGTTTTTTCTTGATCATCCAGATTAATGGATTCCTGTTCATTTTCTTGTTGTACACCATTTATTTGTCCATTGATTTTCAACGGAAAACTCGAAAATTTCGAATTGAATTTCTGAGCCAAATCTAGAGCTCGTATCCAATTCTGTAATTGAAGATTAAGATGAACTGCACGCAAAAAATATCCTTTTTGAATCAACAAATTTTCAGCCAAATCAAAATTGCCACAAAGTAATTCGGATTCAATTGTTATCAGCTCCTGTGATGTTAAAGTTTTTATACGATTAAGATAGAGAACTTTGTCTAATTTATTGATTGCAGCATAGGCCACTTCCGCAATCCTATATTGCTTCTGCTCTAAACTCATCACTGCTAATGTGGCCCACAATGAATCACGTACATTACGCTCTACCGGTTCAATTTCATGTATAGATTTGTCCAAAAAGTTACACATTCTTATGGCTTCATCAAGACGATTTTCAATCTTATGTTTATGCAACAGTATTACAAACGGATTCACAGTCATATAGATCTTTAAACGATCTTGTCGTTCAATCGTAATTCGATTCTGACTGAATTCAATGATTCGACTATTTGAAGAAATTTCCTGACTTGTCAACGTTAGTATAACATCTTGTAAGAGACTTGAATCCATAAATACGGCATTTGGATGTAGCCAAATGGATAAATTTTTTTGATTTTCATGAAGCGATACCAATAGATTATAATCAACATGCCAACAAATATCACGAATCATTGGCGATAGTTTGAATGATTTAATATTTTTTGCTACCAAATTAGCATTGCTATGTGTCCAAGAAAGAATGTAAAGATCAGAATTTCTGTCCAGTATGGCGCACAAATGATGGATAGCATTATTGCTAGTATTTGATTTATATTGATGTTGTTCAGTATTCAATTTAATATTTATAATTCCTAATTGATGTTGATATTGATCGGTTGATGGTGCAGTTATTCCAGATGACTTTTGTACAATTTTTGCTTGATTTTCCAAATCAACTAAATGAATCGTTTGTATATTGATCGCATCTCGATATGCTAATATATGATCATTCATACTGTAAAGTAAAAATAATGGAAAACTTATAAAATTTTTGAAAGAATTACATTGATTAGATAATAAATCAAACCTGACATGATTGGGAAGTAAAGATTCTTGACGCATATTGAACAATTTGATTGTTTTGAGAAATCTTCCATCATAAGAATAGAGATTCGCAGCTAATAAATTAATCAGAGCAAAATATTTATGTGATTGTTTTATCATTAATCGATTCAAATCATTAGATTTCATTTCGAAATGATAAGGTGTAGCGAAATTGTTCACCTTATAGAGGAAACATTGACTTTTGGTGACGACAATCAGATAATCGAATTGCAAGGAAAATCTTAATATTGGATCTTTGAATTCAAGAATTTCTTGAAATTCATTTGTAGAATTGTTTACTTTCAATGAACGTCTGGAAACATTGGTTGCTTGCCAGAATTTTGATTCTAATATTCGATCAACAACGGAAGCGAATAAAACTCTTCCACTCGAACAAACACAACAAACTTGTTGAATATCAGGCGACCATGATACAAAAACCAATCCTTCCATTGATAGCTTTTCCACTGATAAACAATGACCAAATTGATCATGAAGTTCTAATGAATTAAATGTTGATGCAGTGAATAATTCACCATCCGATGACCAGGCGACTGAAGTCAATGCAGATGAATGTTTTACACTAACATAGATCATTCGACCAGTTGTATCCCATATTTTGATACGACCATCTTCCGAAGCTGTCAATATTCGATTATTTATTGGTGACCAATCAATACAAATAATAACACCTTCATGTGCCATCCATTCTAAAGCTTTTGATTGTGGTGATAGAGATTTGATAATTAAATTGGCTTGATTAACATAAGCCAATGAATTACTATCCGGTGACCATGACAAAGCATATACTGGTGAAGTATTCGAAACATGAATCGTCGAACGAAGCATTCCTACTTTGGACCATATTTTCACTAATCCATCTTCACCGGCAGTAGCCAACGTAGAACCATTATCATTTGACCAACGTATCACAATGATTGCGCCTTTATGTGCTTCAAACGTTCGATCTAATTTCGTTCCATTCCAATTGATTGGTAATAAATAGAAACAACCATTTGTAGTCCCTATAGCCAATGAATTATTGGAACTGGAATCAATTTTCAACAAATTTAACATTGATGAATCAAATGTGGATGAGCCGTGATGTGAAAAATAATGCATTGTTGTTGGTATGGAATCTATCGGCAATATTATTGTTTTTATCGGTTCTGTATGTGTCAATATATGCCAGAATAATAATTTTCGATCATCACCACAAGTAAGAACCAATTCATTGTTAATCCATATTGCACAGCTCACATAGCCCGAATGGCTTAATCTTGAACTGGAATAAATATTATATTTCATTGAAGTATTGATTATCGATTTTTTCAAATAATAAAACACAATGGATATGATGAGCCAACTCTTTTGAAATTATAAATTCAACTGAAAAAAAATTTCATAAAAAATCATGTCCAGAATGGCCAATGAAAGTAATTTTTTATTTTCATTCTGAAATTGCTCTCGTTACCATGGCAATAAATTGTTATTGTGTGTGTCTGGAAAATTAGAAATGTCATAATCGAAAATTTCTCTATATTTTTTTTTAACAATGAGGAATGTTTTATAGTGTTACAAATAAAATCATCGCTAAAAATTTTTTATATTTTTCCAGAATGAAACAATTCATTGTTGTTGTGACGGCTGTTGTGGCAACTGTTTTTCCGATTGTTGTCTCTTTTCTGTCGGTGTTGTGTTGGTTGAAGAATCGATGAAATGAAGAAACGGTTCAGTGGATTCAATATTTTGTGAATATGTTGCCGATAAATTCGAGACATTTATGGAATTTGGATAGACGAAAACTTCTTGGTTTTGTATATTGACAATTTGTTCATTGCCAAATGCAGCTTGTCTAGCTTTTAGAACATCCAAAGGCAATGAAATGAAATTTTGTATGATCACAATAGTTGGTCGAAATGTTATTGTCACTGGTTGACGAGTTGTTGCGGCAACCTGGCTGGCGACCTGTCCAATTTGTTCAACAAAACGATCGGCAGAAGGACGATATGCGACTTGTGGTTCGAATTCACGACGAATTGGAGGATAGATTCCTTCTTGTGTAGGCACTAACAAACTGGAACCTCGAACAGTATATGGTTCTATTTTAGGTTCTAATGATGACGTTGAGGTGAAAGCGGTAGGAACAACAGACGGTTCACGTCCAGTTACAGATATACCGGCAGCTAGTTGGCTTGGATCTCTGGTGGTTGGTTCTGCTACAATAACACCACTGGGTTGTTGATCGGAAGGTTCTCTTCCAACAATCGTTCCATCCACTGCAGGTGCTGCTGACGGTTCTCGCGCTTTCCGTTGTATTTCAATTTCTATATCTAAACCAAGGCCTTTCTTATCAGCAGATTGAACGCCGGGAACAGGAGAACTGGTTAGTCCACTAGGTTCTCGAGAAGATGGTTCACGTTCCAATCTGGAAGTTTCCATTCCAGGTGTTACAGCAGCTCCAAGTCCACTAGGTTCACGACCAGATGGTTCACGGCCCAAACCGGATGTTACCAATTCTGGTGCTGAGACGCCGGAAACAAGTCCACTTGGTTCCCGGTCAGATGGTTCACGACCCAATCCGGATGCTGTTTCAATTCCTGGAGCGGAAACACCAGGTCCGAATCCACTCGGTTCTCTTGCAGATGGTTCTCGACCTAATTCTGCTCCTAATTTTTAGTGTAATACATTCATTAAATACATGATACAAATCAGAAAAAATATTTTAAAATTCGAAATTATGAAACTCACCAGTCGGTTCACGACCCAATCCGGATGCTGTTTCCATTCCTGGAGCAGATACACCAGCTGCCAGTCCACTCGGTTCCCGCGCTGATGGTTCACGACCCAATCCGGATGCTGTTTCCATTCCTGGAGCAGATACACCAGCTGCCATTCCACTAGGTTCTCTCGCTGATGGTTCACGACCCAATCCGGATGTTGTTTCCATTCCTGGAGCGGATACACCAGCTGCCAGTCCACTAGGTTCTCTCGCTGATGGTTCACGACCCAATCCGGATGCTGTTTCCATTCCTGGAGCAGATACACCAGCTGCCATTCCACTAGGTTCTCTCGCTGATGGTTCACGACCCAATCCGGATGTTGTTTCCATTCCTGGAGCAGAAATACCAGCTGCAATTCCACTAGGTTCCCGCGCTGATGGTTCACGACCCAATGCGGATGTTGTTTCCATTCCTGGAGCAGAAATACCAGCTGCAATTCCACTAGGTTCTCTCGCTGATGGTTCACGACCCAATCCGGATGCTGTTTCCATTCCTGGAGCGGATACACCAGCTGCAAGTCCACTAGGTTCTCTCGCTGATGGTTCACGACCCAATCCGGATGTTGTTTCCACTCCTGGAGCTGATACACCAGCTGCCATTCCACTAGGTTCCCGCGCTGATGGTTCACGACCCAATGCGGATGTTGTTTCCATTCCTGGAGCAGAAATACCAGCTGCCATTCCACTCGGTTCTCGCGTTGATGGTTCACGACCCAATCCGGATGCTGTTTCCATTCCTGGAGCGGATACACCAGCTGCCAGTCCACTAGGTTCTCTCGCTGATGGTTCACGACCCAATCCGGATGTTGTTTCCATTCCTGGAGCGGATACACCAGCTGCAAGTCCACTAGGTTCTCTCGCTGATGGTTCACGACCTAATTCTACTTGTTAAATTTAAATGTAAAAGAGATTCAATAATTAAATGATAATAAATAACTTACCCGAATCGGTTTCTAATTGTTTTTTCCTCATAATATCAATTTCGATGTCTATTTTTCTAGTCATTTTTTGATCTTGTCCAACATCAGTAGTGGGAGTGCCAGTGGTTGATAAATCAGCTTGAAGTCCAACACCACTCGGTTCACGTGCGGATGGTTCACGACCCAATCCGGATGTTTCCATTCCTGGAGCGGATACACCAGCTGCCAATCCACTCGGTTCTCTCGCTGATGGTTCACGACCTAATTCTGCTCCTAATTTTTATTATTAACGTCGATTCATTAATTACATGATACAAATCATAAAAAATATTTTAACATTCTAAATTATTATGAAACTCACCAGTCGGTTCCCGACCAAATCCGGATGCTGTTTCCATTCCTGGAGCGGAAACACCAGCTGCCAGTCCACTAGGTTCACGTGCGGATGGCTCACGACCTAATTCTGCTCCTATTTTGAATGATAGAAATCGCGATAAAAAAATGTTTGAAAATTCTAAGATATTATGAAACTCACCAGTCGGTTCACGGCCCAATCCGGATGCTGTTTCCATTCCTGGAGCGGATACACCAGCTGCCAGTCCACTCGGTTCTCTCGCTGATGGTTCACGACCCAATCCGGATGCTGTTTCCATTTCTGGAGCGGATACACCAGCTGCAACTCCACTAGGTTCCCGCGCTGATGGTTCACGACCCAATCCGGATGCTGTTTCTATTCCTGGAGCGGATACACCAGCTGCAAGTCCACTAGGTTCCCGCGCTGATGGTTCACGACCTAATTCTGCTCCTATTTTGAATGATAGAAATCGCGATAAAAAAATGTTTGTAAATTCTAAGATATTATGAAACTCACCAGTCGGTTCCCGACCCATTCCGGATGCTGTTTCCATTCCTGGAGCGGAAACACCAGCTGCCAGTCCACTCGGTTCTCTCGCTGATGGTTCACGACCCAATCCGGATGCTGTTTCCATTCCTGGAGCGGATACACCAGCTGCCAGTCCACTAGGTTCCCGGGCTGATGGTTCACGACCCAATCCGGATGTTGTTTCCATTCCTGGAGCGGATACACCAGCTGCCATTCCACTAGGTTCACGTGCGGATGGTTCACGACCCAATCCGGATGCAGTTTCCATTCCTGGAGCAGATACACCAGCTGCGAGCCCACTCGGTTCTCGTGTTGATGGTTCACGACCCAATCCGGATACTGTTTCTATTCCTGGAGTGGATACACCAGCTGCAAGTCCACTAGGTTCACGTGCGGATGGTTCACGGCCAATTGTCGATTGTTCACCCAATTCTGCAGTATCACGTTTTTTTCTAATTTCAATCTCGATATCTAAATCTCGGCCTATTATTCCTCGTCTTCCATCTTGTTCTGAAGTTTCGCGTCCTAATGCTGACGGCTCCATGCCCGGAGCTGAAATTCCTCCTGTCAAATCAGTTTGTTGTTGCATTATCGCTGCATCAGGTTCTCTCGCCGATGGTTCCCTACCCAATCCGGATGTTGTTTCCATTCCTGGAGCGGATACACCAGCTGCCAGTCCACTCGGTTCTCGTGCGGATGGTTCCCTACCCAATCCGGATGCTGTTTCCATTCCTGGAGCGGAAACACCAGCCGCCAATCCACTCGGTTCCCGCGCTGATGGTTCACGACAAAATCCGGATGCTGTTTCCATTCCTGGAGCAGATACACCAGCTGCCAGTCCACTCGGTTCTCTCGCTGATGGTTCACGACCTAATTCTGCTCCTAATTTTTATTATTAACGTCGATTCATTAATTACATGATACAAATCACAAAAAATATTTAAAAATTCTAAATTGTTATGAAACTCACCAGTAGGTTCCCGACCCATTCCGGATGCTGTTTCCATTCCTGGAGCAGATACACCAGCTGCCAGTCCACTCGGTTCTCTCGCTGATGGTTCCCGACCCATTCCGGATGCTGTTTCTATTCCTGGAGCGGATACACCAGCTGCAAGTCCACTCGGTTCTCTCGCTGATGGTTCACGACCCAATCCGGATGCAGTTTCCATTCCTGGAGCAGATACACCAGCGGCCATTCCACTAGGTTCTCTCGCTGATGGTTCACGACCCAATCCGGATGCTGTTTCCATTCCTGGAGCAGATACACCAGCTGCCAGTCCACTCGGTTCCCGCGCTGATGGTTCACGACCCAATCCGGATGCAGTTTCCATTCCTGGTGCGGAAACACCAGCTGCCAGTCCACTAGGTTCCCGCGCTGATGGTTCACGACCTAATTCTGCTCCTATTTTGAATGATAGAAATCGCGATAAAAAAATGTTTGAAAATTCTAAGATATTATGAAACTCACCAGTCGGTTCCCGACCCATTCCGGATGCTGTTTCCATTCCTGGAGCGGAAACACCAGCAGCCAGTCCACTAGGTTCACGTGCGGATGGTTCACGACCCAATCCGGATGCTGCTTCCATTCCTGGAGCAGATACACCTGCTGCCAGTCCACTAGGTTCACGTGCGGATGGTTCACGACCCAATCCGGATGCTGTTTCCATTCCTGGAGCGGAAACTCCAGCTGCCAGTCCACTCGGTTCTCTCGCTGATGGTTCACGGCCAATTGTCGATTGCTCACCCAATTCTGCAGTATCACGTTTTTTTCTAATTTCAATCTCGATATCTAAATCTCGGCCTATTATTCCTCTTCTTCCATCTTGTTCTGAAGTTTCGCGTCCTAATGTTGACGGCTCCATGCCCGGAGCTGAAATTCCTCCTGTCAAATCAGTTTGTTGTTGCATTATCGCTGCATCAGGTTCTCTCGCTGATGGTTCACGACCCAATCCGGATGCTGTTTCCATTCCTGGAGCGGATACACCAGCTGCCAGTCCACTCGGTTCTCGTGCTGATGGTTCACGACCCAATCCGGATGTTGTTTCCATTCCTGGAGCGGATACACCAGCGGCCAATCCACTCGGTTCACGGGCTGATGGTTCACGGCCCAATCCGGATGTTGTTTCCATTCCTGGAGCGGAAAAACCAGCTGCAAGTCCACTAGGTTCACGTGCGGATGGTTCCCTACCCAACCCGGATGCTGTTTCCATTCCTGGAGCGGATACACCAGCTGCAAGTCCGCTAGGTTCACGAGCTGATGGCTCACGTCCAATTGTTGTTGTTCCAGTATCTTGTTCTCCAAATTGTTGAGTTGTAGGCTCGCGTCCAAGTGTTGAAGGTGTTCCCATTTCAGATGTTGAAATTCCTCCTGCTAATCGGCTTTGGTCTTTTTCAAGTGAAAATTCTTGATCAGTTGGAAAACTTTCTTTTTTTCGACGAATTTCAATATCAATATCAAATTCCCTTCCAGTTCCATAATCCGGTGTTACTGACAATTCTCGCCCCAAAGCTGATGCTTCCATTCCTGGAGCGGATACACCAGCTGCCAGTCCACTTGGTTCTCTCGCTGATGGTTCACGACCCAATCCGGATGTTTCCATTCCAGGAGCAGTCACTTCAAAATCAATACCACTGGTTTCCCGCGCTGATGGTCCACGGCCCAATCCGGATGTTGTTTCCATTCCTGGAGCGGAAACACCAGCTGCCAGTCCACTCGGTTCTCTCGCCGAAGGTTCACGACCCAATCCGGATGCTGTTTCCATTCCTGGAGCGGAAACACCAGCTGCAAGTCCACTCGGTTCACGGGCTGATGGTTCACGACGCAATCCGGATGTTGCTTCCATTCCTGGAGCTGATACACCAGCTTCAAGTCCACTAGGTTCCCGTGCAGATGGTTCACGGCCCAATCCGGATGTTGTTTCCATTCCTGGAGCTGATACACCAGCGGCCATTCCACTAGGTTCACGGGCTGATGGTTCACGGCCTAATGCTGAACCTGGTTCAAGGGCTGTAACTGTTGGAACTTTCAATAAAATACAATCTCAGTTAGAATCGTCTCATTAATTTATTTGTTAATGTTATTATCAACCTGGAAACATGCTTGACTCTCGTCTAGTTCCGCTAGGATCTAATAATGACTTTCCATCTTGAAATGATTCAGCCTGATCTCGACTTGTTGGTTCCAGTCCCAATGTTTCTATTCCCGGTGCAATTACACCCCCTCCAGCTGTGGCACTTGGTTCACGAGATGTTGGTTCACGTCCAAATGCTGATGGCTCTCTTCCTTGTGCATCCAGTCTTCCTACTAAATCACTAGGAAATTGTTGCTCTCTAGCTGTTTGATCTATCATGGCCTGTGGTAATCCACCGTCCGTACCGGGTGCAATTACACCCCCTCCAGCTGTGGCACTTGGTTCACGAGATGTTGGTTCACGTCCAAATTCTGACGGCTCTCTTCCTTGAGCTGAAATTCCTCCAATCAAATCGGTAGGCGTTCTGGTTGTGGGTTCACGTTCCAAACCTGTTATACCGGTGTCGACACTTGGCTCTCTAGTTGAAGGTTCCCGTCCAAGACCAGCCGATGCAGCATCTAAACCAGATATTCCACTTTCTACTGGCCCTCTACCTGGTTGAATTGGCAAACCCAAACTTGGTTCACGACCAACTGTTGATGGTTCTTCTGGCAATAGTTCATGACTTGTTGCGGCAGCGGCAGCTTGTCGTTGCTGCAACAATTCCACATATGGACGTTGCATTGTTGGCGAAATAACTTTTGGAATCGCTTCACGGGCTTCTCTTTCAGCTAATTCACGTTCCATTAGACGGCGAGCTTCATCACGATCCATTTTGATGAATTTCTTGCTTATCAATTCCGTAATCTGAATCTTGGTGATAATGGTATTACGTGTTACCTCTTCGATCCACATTCCATCTTCCGTAATATTACGTCGAGTTATTAGATAATTTTTTTCTGTTTGATATTCCTCTTGAATTTTTTCACCAATTTTTGGTAATTTAGCTATACGTTCTTCTAAGCTACTATCTTCACCGACCATAAAAAATGGTCGCTTAACGATGGTTGTGGTTGTTGATTCCAAATCCTTACCACCGGGTGGCAGATATTCGATTTCAATTGTTTTAATTAGATTTCGTTGAGCTCGTGGATATGCGTATTTAAGATTAAAACCATCATTCATTCTCATATTCGATGTCGAATCATCAACCGGTTCTGAATCTGTTGCACCCATTTTGGGATCTATAATAGTAAAAAATTTGTATCATCTGTTGATGTATAATTCAATTTTACCTTTTGCCGTTTTTCTGGACATGCGATATCGTTGTAATCGTGACATTGGTGGATCTTTAGGTATCATTCGTTCTAAAACGCTTGGTCGTGATAAAGCTCGTTCAGGTTGACGATCACTTGCATTTGATATCTGTTGCGATCTTGTACGTGCTTGTTCTCTCAATTTTTGCATTTCGTTTCGTGAGACTGTTGTACGTTGGATTCGTGGACGATCATTGTCATCATTCGGTTTAGTATTTTCGCTTTCGCTCATATTAAAAAAAAATTTGTGGAGTTTGTCGAGCGAGAAAACAAAATTTTTTGAAAATAAATCACTTGACTTGTAAAGCAAAACAACAATGAAATGACAAAATAATCAACTTTTAGTATTTAAAATTTGGAATCACAAATCGCAATAACGCATAAACGAAAAAACCACAAAAATAATTAACTTCATATGCAAAACAAACTTGTGCTTTTATAATCTTTGAATTTCAGTATTGGAATCAAAAAATAAGTAAATTTTATTTAAAACAAATACACAAATTGTTTAAATGTTCAAAAATTAATTACTTTTGTAATCAACAATTCAAAATATATTTTGCCACTAGATGGCAGTTTCAAACGAATGATGATTGTCTTGATTTTGTTGATTATAATCATCATTGCGTTTATGCTGCTCAAGTGTTTTTTTTTGCATTTCTTTATTCCACAATCCATTAATGATTAATCCATCGAATGACCTTATATGATTAAGATTCTCCATATCATTCTTTGGATAATTATTCTTTAAATTCCATTTCTTATAATCATCATTATCATTCTATTGATATAGCCATGGCGAATCCAACATAAATCATTAAATTCATCATTCATTTATACAACTATTTTTTTTAGAATATCCTTTATATTAATTTTAATTAATTAATAATTATGTCCAAAATGACGTATTTTGCCCCATGGTAAGCCATTATAGAATTGTTTTAATATCATTCATTTTATTCACATCTCATATTTTATTTTAGTGTCAAACGTTCAATTAATCGACGTGATGACGAAGACAATCATATTAATGGTAAAATTGAAAATAATGATAATAATGAATTTATGCCTGTAACCAAACGAATGAATTATCTATCCATAGAGAATACAAAGTAAGATTATTGATCAATTCAAATAAGATTTATTTTTTAAACTTTTTATTAGTAGTAATGATACACTGATAAGTGGTTCGAGTTCTTCAAGTAATTGTAGTACAACTAGTAGTCTGCCAAATGAAGACGATAGTAATGATTCTGGTTATCAATATCAAGGACCAATGAAAAATGAAAAAACACTGATGATGATGAACAATAATGGTGACCACAACACAACAACAATGCCAATAATCAACAATAATAATCATGAAAATCAATTAATGAATTTGGAACAATTATATCGAACATATAATCCATCATTGAAATTACAACAGAATCCAATATATTATGATGCAAACAGGATTTTGTTTGAAGCACATCAGATGCGTCTATTACGAAATATAAAATCATCGTGATGATTATCAAATTGTTAAATTAATCAAGAAAAAAAAACCTCATTCCAATTTCAATTATAGATCATATATAAATTGATTGCAACATATTAGATACATCAATGCTGATTTGATCATTAACTGGAATTCATTTAATTCGCAATGTATTTGCAAATTTTTTTTTTTCGATCATTTCAATATTTAAATTTCCCGATAATGTTTTAGGATTGATTGTAAATAAGTTTTCGCTTAATTGTGTACATAATTACAATTGGCATATTATTTACGGTTTTCCAACAAAAAGAAATTGTTTTATTTGTATATCAATTGTAGGTGTTAGTAAAAAAAAAAAAAAAAAAAACGATTAACTTGGCCATTATTGTTTGTTTTTATTCATGTGCTATTTTATAAATAAAAAAATTAAAATCACGAATTTTTTCGTATTGGTATGATTATTAGTGAAAATGATTTTTTTTTACAAAAAACTTTTCCATGTAGTTAATATGAATTTTTTTTGTGGATGTGTATGGTGATTTTGGTCTACATAAAATGATGATAATGATGATTTTGTCGCGAATGTAAAAATCAAAATTTTCGTAGTTGATAACAAGTTTCACAAAATACCGAATGTCTAATCAATGTTTGTCCATCTGGACTATGGATCTTAATCAATTCATGTTGCCATTGTGCTGATTGATTATTATGATTGTTAACTGTCGAAATCGTTAATGGTTCCATCAATGTCTGTGTGGATGTTGTTTCACCTGGATTTTTTGTTCCGCAATTCGCACAGATAGCACATAGAGAACAAACCCAGTGTCCTTGTGGAATGTCCGCAAGTCCTACACAATAAGTATGATAGCCACGATCACATTTATCGCAAAACATCATTCTTTCTTCATCATGTGGTTGACCACATTTTTGGCATGATTTACAATCTTGACATTGCCAACGATAAAGGCGAATAGCTTCGAGTAGTTCACCGCTAATGTCCAAACAAACAGGATGACAAATGACACCACAATCAGCACAACAAAGTGGTTCGATATTTGATCCTTGTGTATCTTGTTGTTTACAAACTTTACATATCTTTGCCTCATTCAATGATGAAGAAACTTCAGAAGAATTATCAATATTATGCCCATTTTGAAATTGAAGATTTGCTGGTGATGGTTGAGGAAAATTCTTATCATCAAAGCTGTCGATCGGTGGTCCATTATTGCTTGTTGATAATTGTGAATTATCCATAGATTCGTCCATTGATTTAACAGGTGGACTTGGTGCACAATGAACTTCCCCGCAGCTACATGTTGAGTCATCATCAAAATCGGATAAAACATCTGATCCATCAAATTCCGAATCGGTATCGTTTTCATTATTTTGATTTTTTGTCATTTGCAAAAATGATGAAGATAATTTATCATAATCAGGAGCTACAGGACCATGTAATACAGTGTTTAATGGTAGATAATTTAACTCTTGTGGTGTGTATCGAAGAAACCAATCCTGGTATTGATTGGGAAGCAATGCAATTGGATATCGACGACCATTACGCCATATCGGTGAAATTCGCCGTCGTCTTCTACTCCATCGTCGAAGGCCTTTATTTTCACGACCTAAACCGACAGGATATTGAATCGTATAGGTTTGAAGATCCATACAAACACGTCGATCTTCTTTTCGTTCTTGATTCAATTGTCGATTATAATCAGAAACGGACTTCATAACACGATGCTGAATAGTTTCAGGTGTTGGATTACCACGAGTTGAAGTTCGGCTACCATGTTCCGATGTTGTTCGAGAATTATGATGTGGTGTTGAAGAAGAAATACTCATCACGAATTATATGTCCTTAATGAAATACTTTCAAAAGATTGCCGAACAAAAAACCTGAAAAATTGTCATACACCAAAAACAAAACAAAAAAAAAAACCTAGAATCACAAACATTGACACACAAGGGGCATCCATCTGTCTGTCTCACATGCACTGCGCTCCTAACAACGAACTCGGATGTGATTCCTGGAAAGTTTTTTTCGATAATAGAACAAATAAATTCAAATAAATTCTCGGCGGCAATTTTTCGGAAGATTTATTTTTTTAAATTTTTCATAAATTGAATTCAATATTAAAAATGCAAATAAAATATGAAATTTTCACAAATGGACAATTTTAAAAATTTTGCTAATCAATTAATTGGCTGGTTTTTGTTCATCTCCATTTTTATTCACACTCTCATCATTATTAGTTGATTTCATTCGATTGGAAAACGGGTTTTTCAATATTGATTCCTTATTAGTATTAGTGAATGAATCTAGTGAATCTTTGAATTCTAGATATAATCTTTGTAGGCCTAAATTCGTGGCTAATATTGGAAGAATTTCTCTTAATAAATTATGTTTGTTTACACCACCAGCAATGCTTTGTGCACTGGATTGAATATTTTTTTGTTCCAACAAATGTTGAGAAAATGGTGAAACAAGTAAATTAGAACAAAGTTCTTTCAAACGATTTTCAATATTTGACGTATGCATGCCACCACCATTCGAATACATTGAGACTAATTGTTTCACAAAATTTAAAATCCAATACCGATATTCATCTGGTGATCCAATAAGTTTAGCGATTTCAATCTGTTTTTCCATGAAACTCAAGGCGCTTTGTTGTGCCATCGGTATGTTTGAAGAGAAAAAATTCATAATAGAGCGACTATCATAAAAATAAAATTAAAATTAGTAGAATGGTATTTAATCATGATTAATGTGATGGAACTAACCTTGGAAATTTCGAATATGATGAAAGTTGTTTGATAGTATTTACTGCACAAGGACGAAGTTCGGTACAAGAATTTAATGGATCGTTCAAATCATTTAGAAGGCACCAAGATTGAAAATCTGGTTCGAAAATATATGTTCGTCCATTCGAAACAGTAACAACCGGTTTCGAAGTACTCGATACTGATGCACTTTGTATGGAGAATTGCTCAGACTTTTTTGGATCAATCAAAAGTGGAGCCAAGCTTTCGCCATGAACTAAAACTTTTGGGATACGAAAATCCCAAAGCCATAAACGAGCATTACTTGTTATCATTAAAAGATGAAATTTATTCGCACAAGTCATTCGTGCAACTGGAGAATCTAGAATGACAGGAACGAATAATCGTCGTCCATCGGTTGAATGAAAAATCTGTATGGAATAATCCTGACAAAAACAGGCGACCAATTCTTCGCTGCCAGCAACAGCTAATATTGGATCCGAAATTATTACTGACCATTGAAGTTGGTCATGGACGAATGCAGATAATTTACAGATACCACTTGATGATAGTGGATATTCAATGTTTATCGCTAAAAAATGTAATAGATATTAAAACCAGGAATTTTGAATATTTGTTCAACAAAACTTACCGAATTGTTTACCATCTTCAGATCTTGTAAACAATCGTATGCTAGAATGATTTTGTCTAGGTAATCGTAATGGTGGAAAAATGAGATTTTGAGGAGAAGAAATTTGTGATGAATGTTGCCCATTAGTCATTGTCATCTGAACATTAAGATTCGATGAAGGAGTGGGTTTGGCGGTAGTGATGTTAATGATAGACGATGAAGATTTTGTGAAAGAAGAAATCTTTGGCTCTGTACACTTTGCTAAATCATTATTCGAAATGGTCGTAGTATTGATTTGATCTTGAGCACCCGAAGTTGATTTGTTTTTTTTGCGTTTTACTTGCGGTTCAATTGACGTTGATGTTTTGCTAGGAAGACGTTTCAATGATTTAGAACGTTTAATGATAATTTCATCATCAGAAGACTCATCAGATGATTTGGATTGTACAAAGTTTTGATTGGTCGATGAAGCCACATTATTCGAAGATGAATGTTTTAGATTTTCTCCATTGTTTTCAGAGTCGTCATTCGTTTGCATTTTAGCTGTTGCTTCTGTTGAATCTCTGGCATTTGAATTCAAAGATTTTCCAAATCCATTAAAAGAGTTACTATTCAAATATTGATATGCTTCGCGTAAATTTGATCCAGGATTAGATTCATCCAATGTTTCAATAACAATTTTACTCTTAGATTCACTTGAAGAGCTGAATGAAATGGGACGAGAAGAGACCGAACTGGAAAGAGGTTTTTGTTGATCATTCATCAAATTATTTGTATCGGTATTGTTAGCGGTCGAATCTGTCGTTGCAGTTGTTGGAGGTATGAATAATGGTATTATTCTACGACGACCATCAGCTGATCGAATTTCAATTTGTTTATCGGTGGGACCTTTTGCTAGTCGTCCGGGGCTAAGATTTGTCGACGATTTCGGTGGCTCTTTGTTTTCAGCCATCGATAATGATGATGACGAGGTAGAGGAAGATTTTGATAGTATTGTATTTACAGTCTTTTTCTGTTCGCCATCATTTTGATTGTTTGAATTTTCCAAATGCTTCACTGAGCCATTTGAATTGGACGATAATCCATTTTGCGGTGCTTCAGATTTCTTAAGATCTTTTTGCTGCAACAATAAAATGTCCATATCTTCGATCAATCTATTTCCAATGGAATTTGTCTGTGAAAATAATGAATTTCCATACAATTGTTGTAAAAATTGTACACGTTCTTCTTGGTCGTAAATTGAACCCAATTCTTCGGAATCAAATTGAAAGCAAATCACACCACCATCGACTGAACAAGCTAAAAGTTGATAACCACATCTTGACCATGATAAATCGACAACAGAGTTACCGAAAACATCATCCATAACGACCAATGGCCGTTGTCTAGCCGTTGACCAGATTGAAATGGAACGGTCACGCGATCCAAGAGCACAGATGCAATGAGTTTTGAATTTCTGTTTTTGATTATCTTTCACATCGTTGTTATTTGTTTCCGCTTCATTTTGATTCCTTTTCTTTTTAGATTTTAAAAAAAATTTAAACATATTTGGATTGAAACGTGCGCATGGTATTGCTTTTCGATGGCCAACAAAATCACGTAAAAAAGACCAATCTTGACGTTCAATTATTTTAGCAACTGAACCACAATTGTTCATCGCTTGTGCTGACACCAAATATTGTCCTTCAGGTGACCATGAAAGTCGAAGAACATGTGTTGTATCACCACATTGTTCGAATGGTTCTTTGATGCAAACTTCTTCAGACCAATCGGAAATACGCCATATCCGCAAAGTTTTATCAGCCGATTGTGAAGCAAGATATTTTCCAATAGGATCCCAAGTGACGCCCTTAACTAAGCCACAATGTCCTTTGAGAATTTTCGCTATCTCGGGCCAACGTTGTGCATTCCAAATGACAATCATATTATCGATTGAACAAGAGGCTAGATATTGGTCATCATGAGACCAGCTCAAATCTAGGATATCACCCGAATGACTACGTAATGTAGAAACTGTGCGGTAATGTTCGGTATTCCCTTGATATCTTCCACCTAGTTGCCATATCATAATTAATTTGTCATCACCAGCTGAAGCCAAATAATTGCCCGTATGTGACCATCTTACACTGTTGACACATTGAAGATGACTATCGATTTGGCATAAAAGTTTTGGTTGATTTTCATCATTTTCTACTGTGGTCGATATGACAGCTGAAAGATTCCAGATTGCGACCCGGCCACAATCATTTCCTTGGCCGCCAGTGGCGAATCGGGTACCATCCGGATGAATATCAATGGAAAATATTGAAAGAGGTATACCTGTCAAAGGAAATGGTTCATTTTTTTTTAATAAATGACTAATTAAAATCAAACCTTTATGTTCATGTTTGACCCAAATAGGTTTGATTATCTTCATATTTATATAATGAAAAACATTTGTAAATAAATTATAGATTAAAATAAATTTCACTCGTGATAATATGACCAAAATTATATGAAATTTATTCACTCCAGGTTCTATATACACCTGATCAGGGTTATAATAGCGTGATGAGAATTATGAGAAAAAATCCATTGAAATTTTCGACAAATTTTATTTCTTAACAATGTTATTTTTTTTTATTTATTCACAAAATATTATAAAACAACTATACAAATTATTTCTATTCTAGACAATGTATATAAGAATATAATTATCGAGGTTGAGGATAACGTTTTAACATTGTATTTACTTGAACACGAGTCAATTTTTGTTGATGAGGAATCGGTTCATTTTTATTGGAGCCAACTTTTGCTTTCATTTGGTTCTCCTGTCAGTAGCGATATCAATCAATTAGAGAATTATGTTTATTATTATAAAAAGAATTATCTTACTAGAAATGTATTATAACATGAACGAAATGCCTTGATCTGTTGAGAACATTTTTGTTCATCAAAATCAAATTGTTTTAAACAATTCATCATGTCCATCATTTGAGAATTGCATGCCAATTCTGTAAATAAAATATTCAAATCAGGATATTGCAATAATAATAAACATTTAATTAATAATTTACCAGATGAATGGCGATCGCCGCCACTAACATAATCTTTTAATTCTAATTTTTTACATTCAGTAAAACGATAAGGTGGTCTTGCCGGTTTTCGGCCATTTTTCATCCATTTATTCCATAATAATGGCTGTGTAGTTCGCATTGTTAAATAGAATAAAAAATTGAAAATTTATATAATTAAAGTGATGAAGTTGATAATCAATTTAAATGAAAAATGTGAACCAAATTATCATCATCTTGAAACATGCATGTATTTTCATATTTGAACGGAAACACGTTTATATGATGAAAGTAAATCTTTTTGTTCCATTAACATTGTATGAAAATGTGTCGAATGATTTTGCTGTTTTCCATTTAATTGCATTTGTTGGATATTGGGGTGTGTATTTGTTATTTTTTCTATCGACGATATAAAACTGTTTATTATTATTATCTGTAATGTCTCACACACCATTGTAATTGTATTGTTATTGTCGCCATTCTCATGAAGATGTCCATAAATGATTAATAACATTCGTTTCTCATCATCATCATCACTACTTTAAAAATTTTTTCGATTTCATTTCTGTTTTTATCATCACATATATCTATGTGAGATCTAAAGAAAAAGAAACCAATAGAGAAATAGAAAAGAGAAAGAACTCTAAATCATCATTACTCAAGACCACCACTACGACCACAGCTAATTCTAAAAGTCCAAAGTAATATATGTTGGATTAATGATCATCATCATTATGATATAATCCTCCAATCATTATGTGTATGATATGATTTCGATATTGTAATGGAACATGTTCCAAAATATCAATCAGAAATAATTTTTTCGATGACGAAAGTAGTTGACCTAACTTTGATAGATTGATTTTTTTCTCTTTTCTTTTTGTTGATGTTGTTATCCAACAGCGTTATTGATTCACTTTCGTTTTTTTTACAAACTAATTGATTTGAAAAACGCAAAAATCTACAATTTGTCGTTGTTTATGTTTTCTATTGGACGATAAATTCCAAACATCATTTTCGAACGTCATTGTCGAATGATTATGAAATTTTTTTTTCACTCGATTCAATCATTGAATTAATAAGTGATTAATATTCATTTTTTAACCCGAAAAAAATGTTGAATGAAAAAGAATATAAACGATGAGTAATCATCATCATTATGAACAAAATTTTGTCGTTGTTGATATTCGATATCATTGTTTTGACTGCGTTTAGAAAAAAATCGACATCTAAAAGTTTGTTTTATTGTTACCGTTGATTATTATTATTATTATTATTATTACGAAAAAAGATATAAATGTTTTATCTACATTGAAAAAAAGGAAGCCGTTTCAAAATAAATTTTCCATTTCTACTTTCAATCACCCGTGCATTCGTTCTTTCATTCATTCATTCATTCATTTTATTCGTCTTTCACATTATTATCAACTCGAAAAAACAGCACATAGTGGCCTTCTGTCCTAAATCATTCGCTCATCGTTGATCATTCATCATCATCATCATCATCACCATAATAATAATAATAAACTTTGTGTTGATAATTGTTGTTTTTCTGTTTTGTTGTACGTTATGACTCAATATATTTAGCATCAACCCAACATCAACCCCATCCGTGATATATTTTATTTAGTTATGTATTGAAAAAAATTATTTTATTATTATATTTTACATGGGCAATACACACATTTACCAAACATAACGAATCAAAATCGCGAATGTGTATGTAATACAAATTATATAGGATAGTATAATTTATTATCATCAACATTTTGATTTGTACTATTCGATTGTTATTATCATTGTTGTTGACATTATTCTCTGCGGTTATATGGTTTTAGCCATCATAGATGTCATTTTGTTGATAACCAACAAGTATCGATCGACTGGGCGCAATCATTTAATCAAATCAATAATTTGTTCAATCATCATCATCATCGGTGGTTAAATTCAAAATTGTGATGATTAAACTAAGAAAAAATATTAACCAACATCCAAACAGTCAATCATAATAATAATAAATAATAAACTTATTATTATTGCTATTTTTTTTGCTATTGGGCTTAACATTCATCATATGAATATGCAAGCAAACAAGAAAACTCCATGCCTCATCATATCGAAAATCGAAAATTTGCTGACAAAATTTTTCTAATAAATAATTTCCTTTTAATTTCTGCTTCAAGGGATTTTCTATTTAAATTTTTCTCGTTCATCCTGTGTTGTATGCCTCTCTTTTTTTTTCTATCAATTTACTGGTTTTCCAAAATGATTGCCTGAACTATGTGAATGACTTTTGGATTTTTGATCCAATTAAAATGATCATTGTGATGATGATCTGATTACGACGAGAAAAAAAACACGTGTGTTTATTACAAAAAAAAATTCCCTCTATCTGTTCATCGTCAATAAATATCAATAACAGAAAAAATATGAATCAATTCAACAAGTTCAAAGACTTTGTTCACGGAAATTCCGTACTATTGAAATCAAAGTCAGTATATATTTTCTATTAGATTGCATTACCAAAAATTGACTAATTGTTTTTTTTATGATTCTTATCATTGAATAGGAATGATCGACAAATCTTATCAACTGAAGTGATCAAAGATGAAAAACATATGGAAAATATCAAATCGATATTAACTACAGCCGAAAAGAAATTATCAAATTCTTTAATAAGTCCTCGACGTACGTCTGGTGCAGATCCGGTTGCACCGGAAAAGAAAACGAAAAAATTTCCTAGTACTAGTCTAAATAAATTTTTCAATGAAGCATCTGAAATATTATCGTTGTCGAAAAATGATTCTGTATTAAGTAAAACATTGCTGACTTGTTCACAATTGCAGAATGAATTCACTCAAATCCTTGCCGAACATGAATCCAACATTGAACAGGATTGTCTAAATCAAATTGAAAAATATCTTGATGAAGATTTACCATCCATACATCGTACAAGAAAACAATTAACAAAAGCATATGAAGAGTTGAAAACAGCACGTGCTAAACATGATTCATTCACAAGAAATGCTCAACAAAGTTTGGATATGCAGAATAAAATCGAAACATTGAAAAAAGATGTAGAATATAGTGAACATAAATTGGAACAATGTCAGGATGCATATGAAATTGAAATCTTTGATTTTCTTGGCAAAGAGTTGACAATATCGGAAATTTTCTTCCGATATATAAAATTATTAGAAATCTATCATGAACAAATGTTACAACAGATTCATCATTACATTCCAGTCTTGGAAGGAGTGTTGAGTAAGTTTTGTTTAAAAAAAAATTTCAACTTTAAATTGAATTATTATTAATTATTTATATTATACGCTTTGTTCTGAATAGAGAATACATCACAAAGACCAGTGTTTGGATGTCCATTAGAAGAACATCTTCGTTCATCTGGACGGAAAATTTCCGTTGTGATAGAAAAATGTGTTGAATATCTTTGGCCTTTCGTTAAAGAAGAAGGGCTATTTCGAATATCGGGTAGTGTTTCTAAAGTAAAACGTATGCGTAATGCTTTCAATGCTGGTCGTTTAGAAGCATTGACTGAAATGAAAAATGATGCACCAGCTGTTGTTAGTACAATGAAATCCTATCTTCGTGAATTACCCGAACCTTTATTGACATTCCGTCTTTATCCGGATTGGGTTGAAGCAGTCAAGTAAGTTTTTACGCCATTTTATTTTTATAAAATTTTTCATTAATTTTTCTGTTTGCACAGAGAATCGAATCCAAATGAACGGTTGAAATCGATATGGACAATTTGTAAACAATTACCCGAAGCAAATCGAAACAATCTTTGTTACCTGATGAAATTTCTAAATGAATTGACAAAATATTCTGAGCTTAATAAAATGTCAAGTCAAAATTTAGCCATTGCTTTGGGTCCAAGTTTACTTTGGTCAGAAGGAGATTCATACGAGTATGTAAACCATTTATCATTGTGATTCGTAAAATTAATTTTACTTTTTTTCTCACAGCTTAAGCATGTCGAATCATTTGCCAACATTAGTTGAAGCATTGATAACCTATTGTGATTATTTCTTTCCCGATGGTTAGTCTTTTTCACTGTTGAAGAATTTTTATTTTTACTGATGAAATTTTTTACGTTCTATTTAGAATTTTCCGAATTTACAACAAATTCACCTGCTTCTCCAATTCAAACAAGTATGGTGGATAATTCATCATCATTTAGCGATAATTCTGATGATCAAGATTCCTCATTGAATACTGCTAAATTATCACCATTGTTGAACCGTCATCATCATAGTAGCAATAATAAAATCAATCAGCAACAGATGGATAAAAAGAAAAAACCAGCACCAAAGCCTCCGCCATCAATGACTTCGTCACAATCATCACTTCAATCAACCAATATTGATCTAAGTCCAACTGGTAGTTTGACATCATCATCAAAAATTCGTCCAAAAATCGCATCATTTAAATTTCAAAAACCACCAGCCATTAATAAGCCAACTCTATCTGAACACGGAGAAAATATTACTATAATTGAAAATAAATTTTCACGACATTCAGAACTAATTATGAAGGGATCAAACCGTGTAGAATCGCCACCAGCGGCAATCTACCTTACTACTGGTGGTCCTGTTACATCTAGCTTATCACCAGGAATCTATCTACGAAAATCTCCCGAATCCATGACAACGTTTCGACCACAAGCCCAGGGAATTACGACTACAAAAATTCGTCCTAAATCTGTTTGTGAAAGGCCAATGGTCGCTCCACCAAGTGTTCCTCCACGTCCTTCATTGACACCAAAACAATCAAAAGCTGAAATGGCACATCAAAATTCGAAACCTCAACAGCAACAACTATCATCTAATGATAATATCCAATTGATCGATAAATACCCAGAATTCAATCACATTGATTCTGAATCTGATGATCAGAGTAGCAGATCTTCAAAAGATCTAAGCGATCTAAGCCTACAGCAAAAAGTTCTTATTAATTTCAAAAAGGATTCCACATTGAATGACGAAGGAAGGCAATCACCAATATATCCTTCGTTGGAGAAAATGATTGAAAAAGATGATGATGATGATGATGATGATGAGGAAATGAAAATTCCATCTGAACCGGAAACAACACCACCACCGCCACGTAAACCACCACGTACTCATTCATCTAATTCATCCACTGGATCATCATCGAATTTAAGCATAAATGATGGCCGTGAATCAATCTTGGATACAACTTCATCTTTATCGCCGAAAAATCTGAAAAAGCAACACCAACGATCAGCGTCTACTTCGATCTCGACTTCGAATAATAATAATAATCCTGATATTGATGATAATTCCAAATTGAATCTGAATTCATCTAATATATCACAATCAAAAACTCATCATCAAACCTATCTGTGAAACGAACAATCAAACAAAAAATGTTGACATTCATTTCAGACATTCGAATTTCAGTTTTGATTATCAAGTGCCTTGTTTTTTTCCAATACTTGAAGTCAAAAAAAAACAATATTTCAGGCGTCAAGTTTTTCTTTCATACAAGTTGAAACAACTTTATTTTTCCTATATGGCCATTTGTAATCTTATTTAAACAAATTTGTTTCTCTCCTGAATGGAACACTTTTTTTCAAGAAAAACAATAACTAAACAAAAAAAAATATCTATAAATTGTTATTTTCTAGTCTGTATGTTTTTTTCGTTTGTATGTTTGTGTGTTAGCCGTATCATTGGCCATAATCGTCATTATAATGATGACTATGATTACATGATTTGCAATAATAAATAAAATTGATTGATTTTAAAAATTTACGAAACAAAAATCATCTGGTCAACTTTGAACAAAAATACTGAACAATCGAAAGAATGGCAAATGAAAATAATGATAGTTATTTACAAAAAATTTAACAAATTTTCGATAACAATAATTCAAACACATGTTTTTTTTATATGTTTTGTCTTGGCATTACAAGTTAGAATTATCATCATGAATAAATACTTGATAAAAAGAGTTTATGATGGATATGTGAAATGTAAAAAAAGATGAATCATTCATGAGTTTATGTTTGTAAATCTATCACAAAAAACAAAACAAATTCTTATTACAAAATAAATGAATGAATGAAGACTAGCAGGCACTACAGTCAATTGGTAGGGGATGTTGATGAAATGAAATGAGGCTTGAGATTAAAATTTTATATCAATCCTCCTTTACGGAGATTTCTTAACACAGATAGATTGGTTCGATTTGTAGTTTGTTGTTGTTGATGATGCTCACCCGGTGACATTCTCGAAACATTTGTCGTCATTGATGCTGATAACTTTTGCTTTGCATTCGAATTATTGGCCATTTGAAGTTTCGTAATTATTCGTCCGCCACCAATGCCGACCGATTGTTTTTTATTGTTGTTTGCACATGATTGAGGTTCTAATGCAAACAATTTGGCCAATTCATTTAAGCCACTTATCCGATCAACTTTTGTATCAACATTTGATTGATCAATTATCGTACTGGAATACTTGTTATTCGTCGTTGTTTTCTTCATTGGTCTTTTTTCCTATTCGATATAAAATAAACGTAAAACAAAACAAACAAACAAACGAGTTCATTAAATTTACCTTGAATTTTTGTGACGTTATTGAAGTGGAAAACAATTTCGATCCGGGTTCCACAGAGGATAGTTGATCAACTTTCATAATATTTTTCACTTGTTCTACTAAAGATACTTTTTTATGCAGTTGATCTAATGAATTTTGTGTGATTTTATTCTCATAACAAGTGCTAGGGGTACTATTATTCATCTCTACTGATGAGGAGGGTTGACAAGATAAAGGACATTTTTCATTTGATGTAAGAAAGTGTTTATCAAATGAAAATTCATTCTTTCCAGTGGATGGCTGTACATCACTAAACGTAGTCGTTACTTCAGTTATCGAATCTTTTATATGCGATATCGATGTTGTTGTGAATGTAAACACTGAATTAGTTGTTACAAAATTGTTTGAATAGGATGAAGTAATTATAATGTCCACATTATTATTGTCTTCAATCTGATGACAAGCATCTGTCGTTGTTGTCGTAGTGGCTATTCGCATTGTCATTTGTGTAGGAGATAAATTTGTCGATGAAGTTTCCGGTGCGGCTGTAATACATTTTCGATTAATTTCTGCTTTCGCTTGAAGATTTGCTTTTATTCGAGATACATAACGATCTTGATTACCGAAGAGATCATTTAGATTTGGATTGGCCAATCGACGCCAATGGTTTAAAATTTGTGAACCCTCTAATGGCTTTATATAACGAAGTTTATCACTTAGAAAAAGATTACGATGATAATGATGATGATGTAAATGGTGATTTGTCATTTTCGGTAACATCCCCGCTTTTGACGGCTCTGGTTGCGATGATGATGATGATGATGATGTTGGAATGAAGGATGATGCTGTAGCTGATGATTGCTTTGAAGTTGTTGACATCAAACAATCGGTAACATTTGATGATGATTGCTGTTGAGTAGTGTTTGTGTTGGCAGCAGTTATTGAACTCGTCATCGCAATCATAGATGAACACGGAGAACTGGAATAAAATGAATCACTAGATAATAATGAGTCAGGTGTAAAACAATTTCCGGAACATAATTGTTGATGATGAGGATGATTGAGTCCATCTTTTGAGGTATTTTCATCAAATTGAAAGGCATTTTCCAGCTCATAGGCTAACGAGTCTACATAGGAGAATATCATCGGGTCTGATAACAATTGTTGTTCACGTAATTGTCGACATTCTTCTCTTTTTTCGTGAAAAGCTGTGAGTAAATTTTGATGCTTTTCTTTTACATCGATCAATTCAATTGTCAATTCTGTTTGGCATTCATGGGCTAGATTTAATGCACCGACTAGCTCTTCTTTTTCCAATGTCAACAGACGTATTTGCTTTTCTAATTGTTGTACCTGTTTTTTGAGCGAATGAATCTCCTTTGTGAGGTGATTATTTTCATCATTCCTTTTCGCAACATCTTCCTGTAATGATGCTATTTGTTTATTGGTTTGACCTTTGAATCGAGATTAAATTGAATTATAATTTTAATATTTTCAAAGTGTACTTACTCAATCGATGAGCACATTCATTTATCAATTGTAATTCTTTTCGTTCTTCCTCTTCCAAATCGCATACTTTCGTTTCTTTTTCAACTTTGAGACGGCTATTCTCCTCTTCCAGTGAATTAACCCGACGTTCAAGATCATCCAAAATTTGTGATGCATCTTTTTGTGAAATAGAATGATGACTTGAAATAGATGTATAATTTAAATCATTTTCAGAATCATTCTCATCATCGATTTCCTCTTCATCTTTGGTAATGTAAAAACGTAATAATTCACTTTTGGATGACACATCGTGTCTCAATTGAGTAATCTATTTGGAAAAACATGATTAATAAAATTTATTAAAAACAAATATTTAACGAACCTTGTCCTTGGCATGGGATAGCTCTTGTTCAAGCTCATCAATTCTTTCCGATTGATTTTGATTCTGATCTAATAACGATTGGCCAATTCGAGCTGCCAACTCGACATCACGTTCTTTCTACAATAAAAAACAATAATTTTAAATTGAAAAATAAAAACTAAATTCGAATTCTCGACAAACCTCTTCCAAAAGCTTGGTGAGCGCTTCAACATCATTATAAACCTTGGTCATTTGTGTAAGACGCTCACCAGATTGTAAAAATAATTTAAATGTTTCACGTAAAAATGCCGGCTGTAATAAAAGATTTTCATCTAACGGTTGCTCCAGGTCGATCAATGGTGTCTCAATAACAGCCCAGTCATTGTTCCTATAACCTGGAAATGAATTTCATATCACATGAAAAAGAAAAAAAACATCAATCAATACTAACTAAATATATCTATGAGATTGTGAAAAAAAGAGTCATACAACAAAAACAACAAATACAATTACAGAGACATACATTCGCATTAAAGACTCGAATCAAATAAATAAACAGGCTAAAAAGAAAACAACAAAAAAAATCAAATAACACACAATTGGCGCGCAATATCAATCAAGCTAATATTAAATCCAGGTTCAAATCTACGAGATAAAACATATACGAAACACATTACTTGCAACATCAAAATGATCATATATATGAAAAATCGAAATTAAAGAGAACGAAAATGCTTAAAAGATAATTGGCATTAAATTGCTTTAAGCACACACTTTCAATAGATATGTTTGATTCAAAGCAGGAGAAAAAGACTAATACTCCAGGTACTTTCGGCATCATAGGTATAAATACGAAGAAAAAACCGGTGATCATGAGTATGATAATTTTAAATCTATCGAAGGTAATCACACGAAATGTCGTCATAATTATCATCACAAGATCATCATTATCATTATTAGCTTTCTCTTGTTTCCTTCATCTATTCTGTATATACAAAGAAGTCAAACTAACCGCAACATTCGAATCGAGTCGACTCGACATGATCATCAAAATCGACACCCCAAAAAAACAACCATAAATGAAAAAATATATTGAAACACTTACCTTGAAATTCTGTAATTGTGTCAATACGTAGTGTGTATTTTGGTGCCGTCTGAGAATATGACAAATTTGATAATGAAATCAATTCCACTTCGTCATTAGTCACCGTATGATTTTTTGAATCTAAAAATTGAAAATCATCAAACATCAAAAGAAAAACAAAAAATCAATCAATTGGAAGAAACTAATTATATTATATTATCTATATATAAAAGGCATAAATATTAATAAACGATCGATCAATCAATCATTCAATCAAATAGGAGAAAACAAAGGAAAAGATTCATACAATGTGACCGCTATTTATTTAAAATGATTACAATTGAATAAAAAAAGTGATGTTATGATTGATAATTGTGTAAATGTAATGAATGAAATCGAATTGATGATCAGAAGAAAAAATCATTAGAACGAATCAAAACATCTCTTTCGTTCTTTTTTTATTCGACGATTGCACTCATTTTAAATAATTAGCGATCACATTGTATGAATCTTCTTCTTTGTTTTCTCTTATTTCAAATTGAATTAATGAGCAAAAGAAAAAAAATCATTAGAACGAGTTGGCATAGGAAAAAAAATTGATAAAAAATTGTCATAAATGATCACAAGACAAGGCTGTATTGTGGCTAGTAATGAAATAAAAAAAATTATTTTTCAACATTTATACAATTGTAATTGTAAAAAATCAGATATGAATCTGAATAAACATAGCATATATATGGATATTTATATATGCTATGCCTTTGTGTTATTCCCGAGAAACTAATTTGATTTATATTTACCGGTTTTCGTCGTCGATGAGGATTGTTGTTGTTGATTATTTTCAATAATTTTTTCTTGATGATGAGAATGGCAGATTGGACTAGATGAATTTCTATAAGGATTCTTCAACGACAACGATGATAATAATGCATCATTTTTGCTCAAGGCTTCGAATGATGATGATGTTGGTATCGTCGTAGTTGATGATTTGATTACATCGTTTTCACTGTAAACATCGTCTGCAGTTTTTGTTGACGATAATTTCGTAGTATCCGATATCGATGATGATAAAGAACAAATAAACCCTGTTTGTTGAGAATGAACAATTCTATCATTCAAATCATCAGCTGTAATTTTGAATGTAGTTGCATCTTCTGAATAATGAGATCCAGTCAATTTTTGGCAATTCGTTTCGTCATCCAATGATGATTTAATTGAATTTCGATTTGAATCATGATGGTCAAATTTTGATGACGATAATAATGATTGATGATTACAATCGTCCGAAAAATGATCACTCGATGAAAACTCCAGTTTTGATTATTTTTTTTCTATCCTTATCTTATCTGAATGAGAAATAAAAAAAAATGTCTATAAACAGCCAGCCAAAACAAAACAGAAATAACAAAAAACAAAAGAAGTTTAGATAACAACACAGTGAGAATAAAAATTCAACGATGGCAATTCATGTAGAGGAAAAAATTTTCATCAATTGAAAAAAAAAGTTTTTGATGATGACAATGATAATCGGTTCTGGTTAATGCCACAATGTCAACATACGGCATTGTCCCGAATATAGCATACAAATTATTATTATCTGATCAGATGATGAAGAGGAACCATGATGAGGTTATTTAATCATATTGTTTTTTTTCTCATCAATAAACTTATAATGTAAACTTAAAGTTCACGATTCATGAAGACAATTTTGATTGATAGATAGATTGTGATTCGAATGATTTACAAATTATAACAATATATAATGGTGATGATGATGATGAAATTCGTCATTTGTTTCAAATGATGAAATTTTTGAAATAATAAAAATAACGTCGTGAGGATTTTTTTTTTTTACATTATTTGAACACAATATGCATCATCATTATATTAGTTTTCTCTTATTATAATGATGATGATGATGTTCACGGGTTGATTCCATCAATCTTCTTTTTGATAACTTGTCTTTTCTAATCTTCTTATATTCTTTTTGGTTTTTAATCTATTTATTACAACATAGATAATGTTATGATCATCATTTTTATATATATTTCAATGTTGAATGAGCAATACATTATATCATATATAATACATACACATAAACAAAATTAAAAGAGTGAATGTGATTTTACCACATTGACTCGCTTAAGATTGGCTATGTGTTTTCATTAAACTTGTCTGTGTGTATTTTTATTGTTTATTGTATTCGATTCAAAGATCTTAATTTCGAAGATACTATTGTCATCTATCGAATTTTATTTGAAATAAAACATAATTTCAATTGGATTTTCCATCAAATAGATGGCGTTGCCTGTATTTATATAGGTTTTTAATTATACAGAAAATGGCGCTCATTTTTGAAAAATAGAATTTTATTCTCATATATTTTTTTCGGTTTTTGTTTATTTTGCATGGTAGAACCACCACCACCCCCCAATAGTTTTCTTATTGTTTCATCAAAATTGTTCCATCGCCCATTTTTTCTAATAATTTTGTTCGATCCATTTCAAATTCATGTTGAAATTTTTCATAACTTTTCTTTCGAGATTTAAACACCTGACTTGGATCACTTGGAGCTTCCATATCATATCCATCCACCATTTCTTCTGGTGCAGGACAACGACGTTTTCGTTGTGAAAATGAAGTTTCTGATTTCGGTGTTGCTGTTGGATGTTCCAGATTCGTCGCCTTAGGTTTAAGATCAATATAGATGGACAATACACAACAAATGGCAATGATAAGAGACAATAATGCAATGATCAACAGTATTGTCACAACTGCAGAATCTGATGTTGTTGCTTGTGTTGATGGTGTATGCCATGTTGAATTATCGTGTATTGTTGAATAATTATCAATTAGCCACATATTCATTTCATAAGTTGTATTATCATCTTCCCAACCATTGTAATAATCTGTCATATTTATCTGATCCATTTGTTGCGTCAGAAATGATCAATTTCAAAAAAGCCAATCGTTCCAATATATAAATTGTAACTGAGAATTAATTTCTGACAGAAAATGATTGATTTTATTTACATTCATGACTGTTCGGATATTAATCTAATTAGTTAAATTACAATCATCATTTTGTATATAAATTTCTCAAAATCGCCATTCATAAACAACATATTCCTGTTTACAAATAATGGTAAATTTTTGGTTTTGTTTTTTCTTTCAAATAATTATAAAAAATTTAAATTGAACTTATCGAAAAAAAAATCATTCGTCATGCTAACCTGAACTTAAAAAATATATATGAAAACAACAATAATAATGACAAAAAAAAGATTCATCGATTTTTATCGTTTTTGTTTGCGTGATGGCTGCTCATCAAGCAGAATTTTTTTTTTTTTTTTTTTTTGCTACCATAGCAAAAAAAACAACCGTCTCCAAGTCGAGAATAATATATGACAGATATGCATAAACTGAATGAATACAATTTGATAATTGTTCTATACGAGCAAGCTATTCATTCATTCGTATAAGAGAAAAAAAACCAAGAAGGAAATGATGATCAATAATGAGAATAATTGAAGAAAAAAAATGTGGAAAAAGAAACCCAAAATTCAGAATAATAATTATATTCTGTTCAACTATCAAAAATATTATATTGACATTTGTTTGGGAGGTAATTTTCTATAATAAACAAAAATAATATTGTATTGAATATCTATGATTTCTGATCAATCATATATGTCCATGTTATGGTTAGTATTGTCGATATTTGGAATAAATTTCATTTCTTTTTCTGGTTCAGAATCAAATATGGATCCAGAGTTCTGAACTTTGAAAATATCATTCTTGACAAAATTATTACATAAAAAATTTCCAGATATTTCTTCAAGATGACAAAGGTGATTTTTGGAAACATGAAATGAAAAAAAAAAATTTTTTTTTTGTCGATATTTTTATGTTGAGTATAGGATTCGCGTGATTCAACCCACTAACCAAATAAATGACTCACCGACGATCAATGACGACGAATCAAGAATCTTGATAAGTCACCAATGAAAAACTAACTAGTGATTATCATTATTAAATGAATGAATAAATGAAAAAAAACATTTTTCGGATCGATTTCGAATCAAAGAAAAACTATTTTTGGGTACCCACCCATTCAGGTCCGCGCCCGAATCTATTGATCGAAAATAATCATTATTTCAATGGTTGTTACCGTTATTGTTGTTGTTGTTGTTCCATCAACACTCACCACCACCACCACATACCTTCCAACCAAAAACGTGAACAAAAAAAAAACTAACCAGAGAGACCTATGTGATTTTAGCACATTCTTGATCTTCAATGATTAGCAATTTTTATCGTTTCAATAATGTATAATAATCATTTAGATATTCGTATTTTTTCTGATAGATTTATTCATCCACTTATACATCAGTCACCTTTCGTGCACTACAAATTCTTGTAAAAAAAAAATTTTCTTCAACATTATAATGTTGACAAGAACCAGCAAAAAAAAAAATCCCATTCGAATGCATTACAACACTACATTGGATTGACTACGAATTAAACAAAAAAAAATTTTTTATTATATTTTAGATAAAATCATCATTCATAATGATAATGGATTTCATGTTGGATCAAGATTTTACCTGTGTATGTCAGTTTTTTGTTTTTGGAAAAAAATGCATTTTAACATTCATTTTTCTTTTTTTGGTCATGGATATTTCATATTTATACTATCTATCAATCTATAAAAAAAATGGTTAGAACCTATTCAATGTTACAACATGTCCTCTTCCTTGTTATTGTTATTATTATTATTATTATTATTATCGTCGTGTATTTATTACAATTAATCTTTTCAGGGTTTAATTTCGTTATAATTTTCTTGTACACATTTTCATTGTGTATAATATATGCTATATGAATGTTAATAAATAAATGAGATTGTGTAAAGTTTGAAAGTCAACACACGACTACAACAATGGTTATCTATTATCAATTCAATATTCAGGACCTAGGATACTAAGTTAATATTATAATACACTAATGCATTCATTATCATCATTCATAATAATGACTAAATTATTACAGTGATACTGACCTAGGATTGTTATATCTGATATGTTCTGGTGGATCATATATATGGTGTGTATATAATACATTTATGCTTAAATTCTTTTGAATTTATTGCCGAAAATCGGTCAGCCACCGCCAGACCCGGGCAACGGGTTCTAGAGCAACAGCCCCACACAAATCGAAAAAAGGTCGATACAGCTAAATGTAGATACCTCTTAGGAGAACGTCCTGTTAGAACCGCCAACGGTATCAATGAAAATGATTTTCAAAAGCGACCCAAAGCTGGCCCTATTCGACCCAAAGTGCCATGCTTCGACCCTTTTGCTTTGCTCTTAAACACACCTCACAAGATTTTATTACTTCATCAATTAGTTGGTTTAGATTTTCTAAAAATGTTCGACATTTGGCAATGTCCTAAATGTCCATAAGAATTGTGTATTTTCCATAACAGCGGTATGGCAGATTCATTTGGAATATATAGTCATTTTTACTATCATTCCATTATACATAGTGCAACCCTTTGGTAAATGAATTTCAACAATCACCATCTAAGGTAAATTCCCTCTACATTATCCTCACCAGGAAATAAACAATATCAAAGTTGAATTGGTTTCACCAGTTTAATGCCCAATTAAGATTGGTCAGTTTCAACAGTGAATTTTTCTGCCCATTAAGTAGTAATATTCAATGGCCCCAACGGCCAGACATTCACGTTCATGATATACTTTTGCTGGTATGGCAACAACTTTTTTGAAGCGATGAGCCACAAGATCAGCATCATCATAAGCATCCGTTTTGATAAGAATATGATTATGTTCGGGATAAAATATCAGAATGGACTTAATCAGGTCAAAGGATTTTTGTTCTTTTTCGGTCCAATTGAATCTTACATTTTTGTTAACTCCATCACAATGGGGCTTCAGTACTTCTACCTGTTCTATTAGGGAATGAATTTTTATACTAATTTACCTTTCCACAAAACTCCCTAACCGATTTTACATCAGAGTAAATAAGTTAATATTATAATACACTAATGCATTCATTATCATCATTCATAATAATGACTAAATTATTACAGTGATACTTCGATTAATCTTATAGCCTTAGATAACTAATGACGATTGTCTTGAAAATAATTGTTCATTCGTTAATCGAGATACTACTTTACACAGTGAATTCCAAATTGTTATATCTGATAATCATATATATGGTGTGTATATAATACATTTATGTATATTGTTTGACAATGGGAGAGTTGATGATTATGTGTGTGTGTGTGTGTGAATGTTTACTACAACATGCAAATTAAATGATGACCAATTCGTTTCGGTAACAATATAGATCTATATTTGAAGCATTTCTTATTCATTACACATTTAAATTGGGTGTATTATATGAGAATAATTCTTCTATTCTGATATGATATGATAGAAATTGAATTTTTCTATTTGAAAATTATTTTGTTTTTTTTCCATTTGTTCATTCAAAGTTCATTGTTATGTAAATTTTTCTTTTTTTTCGTCCATTAAATTCAAAGCTAAATTACATTAAACCTGATAATGGTGTTATTTTTTCTGAAATCATAAAAATTCAAATTCTTGTTTGAGGAAAAAACAACAAACAAACAAATTCAATAAACTATTCGATTTAAGTGACATTTTTTTTCATAAACCATAATCCGGAATTCTATGTTTGATGATGATAATGATCCAATGATTAGTTTGAAATTTTATTTTATTTTTTTTTTCATGTCCACACCCAAAATGTTAACTTTTAATAACATTTGACATTTTTATTCTATCTACTATTCCTGTTTATATGTTATCGATTTAGAAAGTTCCATGTTATTTGTCTTTTACAAACAAAAAAAAAATTTTTTTCTTCTTTAAGCTCTGTAAGATCTACAAATCAATCATAGAGATTGTGTGTGCGTATATGTAATTTGTTTTACAGGTTTTCTGGTTGTGAAATAGTCATTCTGTAATTCGTTCATTTATATGGCGTCGGTGCACATATTCACAAACACAGACACACACAAAGATACACATGACAAACTAAACTAAGCCATGAATCGTAAGGCGGGCGTCATGATATACCCAAACAAGAACTGAACTGAACCAAATTATAAACGACTACACACACACAGAAAGCGAGAAAGAAACATGCAAGTTAGGTTTTCATCATTACTATGTGAAGAAGAGTAGAATATGAATGTAAACGGAATAGAGAATGGTTCCGAATAAATGAATGAGAATCCGGCAAATATTCATCATGTTAGTGATGATCTAGTTTTAATGATAATGAACATTAAAGGAATTTCCATTATACCTGATCAAAGAATTTTTTTTTTTTTGTTTGTTTGTTTGTACATTGCTGACCATTGGTGAAAAAAAAATTATTCAATTTATAATATGTAATTCTATTTCAACTTTTGATAACAGTACATACATTTCAATTATCTGTTTCTCCATCGAATAACATCATCGTTCATCGTTTTCTTTGTGTAATATATTTGATGATTTAATTTAATTTTGTTTATATCATTCTTATCATCATTTTTATCGTATTTATTTTGTGTGTGTGTATGTGTGTTGTTCTACTTTCAATAGTTATAATTACGATGATGATAATGATTATGATTGTCATTACATGATGATTTTGCATTCAATAATTGTCATTGGTTTAGAATTTGTGTTTTTTTTTTTTTTTTATTGTATTAGTTTGTGTTGTATAATACCAAGTAGACAATATTTAACTCATTAAAAAAATGAATGGATGATATAAACAAAAATAAAAAAAAATCATTTACTCTATGTAAAAACGATTTATTCCCATCACGTCTGTCAAAATCGAAATCTTCTTTCTCATCATTCAATTCGATTTTTTTTGGTTGTTGCTGCTAATAGAATGATGTGAACATTTTTGAATGAAACTAATTTTGATCTGGATTATGTGCATCATCCATTCGTTTTTGTTGGTGATTAAATATTAAAATCATAAGCATAATAATGTGCATGGTGAATTGGATGATCAATCATTCAAATCGATAATAATGGCAAATACATTGATTGGACAAGAATCATCACAAATTCTCATTACAATTGGTCTTTCGTTTACATTATTTAATCTATTAAATAATTTTTTCGGCCAATTTGATTGGTGGTTTCTTGGAACTAAACAAAAGAAAAAAATAAATTTTCGTGATTTTTCCCGAAAAAAACCTAATGATCTTTATGAAAGATGGAAATGGCGAAATATACTAGTCTCATTGATTCATTCAACGATATCCGGTTTATTCACATTCTATTTGTAAGTTTTTTTCAATTATTATCATTTTTATTGAATACTAAATTCATTACAAATCAATTATTTGATTATCCAACAACAGAACATATGACCATTTCATTTCACCGAATGATGATATCCGATTAACGAATAACCAACAGCATTTAAAATTGCATCGATTATCCATTTGTTTTTCAATCGGTTATTTTATTTATGATACAATGTTATCATTATCAAAATTGGGCAAATATCCTGATCGGATAGAGATAATTTTACATCATGTGATAACCATGATAACATTGATTATCGTTATCATTCCACATTATTCTGACACTAAAATAAATCCATTTCAACGATTTTTACCATTCTGTTTGTTTGGTCTCATTATTGAATTGAGCAACATATTTATTCATATACGTTCGATTGGAAAAATATCTGAATTCTGGTCACATTATCCAAACATTTTCAATCGACTCAACAGTTTATGTGCCATAGGTTAGTAATGAATCAATGAATTAATTTTTTATTTGTTTTCTTTTTCTTCTACACAGTTTCCATTGTCCTATTTCGTTTCTATCCACTTGCAAAGATTTGGGCCGATATTTATAGAAATTATTATTTAAAATCTCACTATATTGTCACCATTTGGGGATTCATAGCGATTTCATTGCTAATGTTATCATTTATGTTTATAAGCATTGTGATACTATGGCGTATTATACAGGAAGATTTCCTACTGTTATCCACTACTTCCGATAAATCATTGATTATTGAACGAAACGAAATAACCGATACTCAACAATTGACAAATAATAATTTAAAACAAATTAAAAAACAGCAATAGTTTTTTTATAGATGCAAAATAAAAAACACTTAGTGCCTCATTCATTCATTCAACACTATCAAATAGATTTTTTTTTCAATTATATAAAAAAAATCTTGCCCCAAATGACAAATCAAAAAAAATTGAATCAATCAATTGAAATTAATTATCATTATATCAATATGAAAAATCATTTTATTTAATTGATAATCATCATTGATTATAATCATGGATGAATAACTAAAAAAAAATGAAACCATTCAAATTTTTCCATTGTTTGATTGTGATTAATCTAATGCGAATAATAAAATCATTGTATATTGGTCAAATTGATCAAATAATAGTTCTAATGCTAATCAACTTTTTATATAATTTTTAAAAATCGATATCCATGCATTTGAATGTGTGTATATTTGAGATGTATGAATGATTGTTTGCAACAAAAATGACTGATTGATTCAGATTAATTAATGCAGAGATTTGTCTTCATGATAATCCACAAAGGAAACATAAACGAAAAAAAAAATTGATTTCGTTTTCATTTTGATCGTGTCGTTTTCATTTAGATCCCGAAATAAATAATTAGAAATGGATCACAATTTTATATATATATCGTCTGTTAGTTATATATTCTCATTCGGTAAATATATAGTAATCAGTAATAAAATTAATTAAACAAATGTGTTGAGTGTTTATGGGAAAAAAAAGAAAAAAATCTCGAGAATTCAAGTTTAAAAAATATGAAGAACCAAGTTCGTGAATGAATAATTGTAGCCAAATCCGATAGCTGAAAAATCGTAAAAGTTTTATAATCCAATTAATTATCATCTTGAGTATGATCAATTTTCAAGCATCAATAATAATAGTATAGTTCATTAAATTCCACAGTGCTTGTCTTCAAAAATGTCCAACTAATTGCTTCACCATCAATGATTTCCATTTGTGGTGTTTTGTTTCGATGACCTTTGATTACAACAATATCATCAGTCAATGCTGTTGATTGAAATGTTAACAACAATTCGTTAATATTTCCTTTCTTCACATGTAATGGTTTTTTCAGTTTTACATGACAATCTTTATCTTTTGAAATGACAAATGATAACGATTCATCGATTGTATCCTAAATACAGAGTGGAAGAACAAATTGTATAGATAAAATGAACAAAGAAAAAAAATTAAGAATACCAGAATAATTTGATGTTCATCGGTTCCTCTTGCAGTTACCATCTGTCCATCCGGTAAATTGAGTTTTGATGTAAATTTAAGCTGACAATCTAATTTTGGTGTACGAACAGAATAGTAACTATTGAAAGTGATGTAATAAAGATGATTAAAATATATAGCATCATAAATCACATTCAATATTACCTTGGATCCAAACGAATCGGTATTGATGCTCCAACGATAAATAGATCACTATTGTTAACCAAAAATTTTGAGCAAACAGATTTCACTGGTTTATTGCCAGCAGCACCAGCCGCATTCGAACTTGTTACATGTGCCAATGTGGTCGTTGTAGCATATGTTACCGGTTTGTAGCGTCGTACTGTGAAATATTCGGCTAAAAAAAATTTATCCGTAAAAAATCAGACACGTTTTTTTAAACATTATATTCTCTATATGGCTTACGAGGAGCACAACGTGGAGTGGTTTCTTGACTCAAACATTTTGGTATCGGTACAATACCAGGTATAGCTAGATTCATAAATATTGCAATCTGTTCGTTTTTGGTCAAGAAAGAAGGTGTATTCAAATTATTGCCACAATCGATGCCATTTTTGCCATCACTGGAACCATTTTCATCAATCGATGGTGTCGACATCGTAGTTTGCGAAACGACACGAGAAAATTCTTCTGCAGTCATTGTTAAAAATCGAATGCTTTTAAGCACGATGCTAATAAGCGATATATAAATTGTGATTTGATAGAATTATAATCTCATCTTATTATTTTTAATGCATCAATAAATCCTACCTTTCATTAAGAATGTTACGAACAATATTCCAATCATTCACCTGTTTAGCGGATCTTTTACATTCATGTTGTGCCCATTGTACGACAGAATTGAGCAGAGAAAATTCCGAATAAAGATTCAAATAGCGACGATTCACAATAAATTCCAAAGTCGACAATTGAATGTTACTACATTGGAATAAAAATGATTTTATATTCAATACAATTGTAATCATCAAATCAATTTGATCATTTACTTGAATGATTTATGCGTTATAACATGATATGTTTGCCTATCAATTGTATTTATTGCTTGAAAAATTAATTGTTGTGAATTAAGAGCAATGGCGAATTCATAAACAGCACAAGCACTTGAGGGTGTTATGTTTTTCTCTATATAGGTCAAACATTCTCTGAAGGACGATAAAATGAAACGATCAATCAGATGAAAATTGGAATTATATTATTATTATTATGATCATACCGAAGAAGATGTGGAAGAAGATATTTCTTTGCTGCATATGCCGTTAACATTGCATCATCAACTGAATTCAAATTCAACGAATCAGTGTATGCATAACGTAATAGATTTTCAAATCCAATAGGTGCAATATCCGGTATACGGATAACTTTAGATTTATCGGCCATATCTCCATAAAACATTGCCTCAAATACTGGGCTAGTCATTGCCAATAGTACACGATGTCCAACATATTTTTTCGAATGATTAGGAGGACCAACAATAAAAGTGACATCTGTGAATGCTTTATTATGTAACAGATTTGATGCACGCGATACAAGACGATCTGCATCACCATTAATCTATGCGGCGGAAAATAAAAAAGAAAACCAATCAAATATTTAATATAATCAAAATGGAGAAAGTTAGTTGTATTATAACAATTAAAACATTGCAGAATATGTAAACGAAATTATTTTCTATGATTGCTTCGAACAAAGTAATTAAAACTTTGCAAGATCTCATCATCATCACCAAGAGCAATAATCATTAAAAATTCATTTGGCTTGCTTAACGAACAAAAATCGTCATTATCATCAAGAATTGATGACGTGATGTTATGATCAGATTCATTTTCATGTTTTAATTGTTTTAGGCCTATTTTTTCTAGGTCTAAATGGACTAAACATACCAATCGTTGAAAATCAACTTCGGATTTAACATATGCTGGACCACCCGGTCCGATTGGTCCAGCAAAATTGGTCGGTGGATGATACTGAATTGTATCCGATTGATCATTGGCTGCTGATTGTTGATTGGAAGCGGCAGCAGCTGCTGCTTGTGTTGATGATTGTACTGTTGTCATGTTTTTTTCAAAGAAAGATTATTCGTACACGAATGGAAACGTTAAAAAGTATGATTATAAATGATGATTGGCTGGAATTGAAATTCCAAGGCCGCAGCTATATGTGTCCTAATAACTTTACATTAACAGAATCAAAAAAAAGATATTTTTAGAATCACATTCGAATTGTCGTTGGTCAGTAATTTTTTTTTTTTTTTTCGGTATATGATGAATTTTCTCAATGAAAATAAAAATTAACTAATCAAAGTAGAAAAAAAAACATAGTCACACACACAAACACAGGAGCCGATTGTGAGAGAAAGAAAAATGAGAATTTAATTTGAATCTAAGACCAACGAATAGTAAAATGATGATGATGATTATGATGACAATTTCCACACTAATAACGACAATGATGATGACCAAACAAGACAATCATCAAAAGAACTCGACGACACCACAATCCGAAATGAATTCATAACGTTTACTTGACTAGTTTTATCAAATGATTCCTCGTTGAATACTAAATATCTATAGAATGTAGATATTCATTTCATTTTCATTTCGGATAGCTATATATTCTGTATATGAATTTCTTAATATTTCTTGTTCCTGGAATCTGTGACCAATGTCCATTTTTTTGTTTTGTTGTTGTTTCTTTACATTTACTACTGCTACCCGTTCCGGTTACTAGGGTGAATTCATTTGTTTTCATTGTTTTATTGTATTTGTTGATTTTGTTTTTTTTTCTGAAAAGGATTGGCTATTGGATCATAAAGTTGGTCGTTACCTACAACAACCTAAACGGTCAGACAATCTCGGACGTCTACCGATTATTGCAATCTGTCTAAACACTGTTCATTGAAAGAATAGAATTGACCAGATTCAAAGTAGGCCAAATTGAAAAAAACACACGTATATATCTTCGAGATTATTTTGGATTAATTACAACTATTGTCCAATAACAACAACAACAAAAAATGCAAAATATATGACCATTGTTGTCGATATACAAACAAATAAATAGATACACAACAACTAACCAACTAACCAACCATCTCGAAGATTTTCATTGGTCACAGGATGGCAACAACAAACATTTGGAATTCTTGTTATGATCATTATAATAATGATAACCATCATCATTCTTATGATCACTATGCATGAATGATTCATCTGGCCATTCCAATCTAGTATCTCTCCTGTATTTTTTTTTTTTTTTTTTTTTTGGCAAATTTCTCTATTTTTTCTTTCGGTTACAGCAGATTTCATCTATTTATTTATTCATTCATTTAATATAAAAGTTTTTCTTTTAGAATCTAACCTATAGAAATAGTGACAAACTTTTTAGTCTTTTTTTTGTTCTTCATTTAATTCTATGACGATCAATCATGGCAATCATTCTTTTTCATTGTTATTCTGTCGTCATTGTTGTTGTTGTTGTTGTTGCGTTTAACCACATCCAGTGGGTAAAAAGACAACATGAATATTCTGGGTCTATGTAAACAACAACAACAACAACCGGAATCTAATATTGCACACGTACATTTGTATAAGTTTTTTTTATTGTTACATCTTGAAACAGATAGAACCAGAGAAGGAGATCGAAAACATTTCATTTATTGAACAATTTTTTTTTTTGCTATCTCACTTTCATCCGGAACTAAATTTCAGAATATATAAATTTTTCAAACTCTGAAAATAAAACACTAAACAAAATAAATTACCTTCAAATTCCTGTCTTTCTTTATTGTCTCGTTTTATTTATATGGACATAATACGTGATAATGAGCCGAATGATTACAAACAAACGGAAAACCCTACAATGAAAAAAAAACCAATAGGGTGTGTAGTAGTGAAAATATAAAAGAGGAACCCAACGGAAAAAATACGTTCCATCCAAGGAACTGAAACGTTTTATTTGCTTCTGGGTCATCAGACATTCTTTTCATATAAAATAATGTTTCCATTGTTTGTGTGTGTGTGTGTGTGTATATATATAAAATATTCCTCATATACCAACTTTCAAGCATTTTGTGTTCGTTTCATTTTCAATCAATTATGAATTCTGTACATCAAAAAAATGAATGAATGAACTACCCTCCCTAGTAATAATAATAATAATAATAATAATGAAAATGAAACTAACGAACATAGGTTAGAAATCTCATTGTTACAGGTTTTTTGTGTTTGTGTTTTCCTCTTTTTTCTCTAGGCAGGTGGTAGTGTGGCTGATGATGATGAGATTCAAAATGTTATTCAGGTCATTCAGGAATGACTATAGAAATCATATGCCATTGCAAAAAAAACAGCAACAACAACAACAACCATTGTTTAACAATATAACTATCCATTTATAGATGAAAGAATGATAAAACCAGATATTTTCTTGTACACAGATATTATATACCCGGAGGAAACTTTGTTGAAACTGGTTATGGAACAGCTTTTGATTTGATGACATTTTTCATCATTTCCATATAGATGATGATAATGATGATGATGATGATCAATTTTGGATCATCTTAATGAAACGATCATCAAACACTCAAACCGAATATATATTTAGCCATTACCATAATTAATTATAATTATTATTATTATTATTTTCCTATGTGTAATTAGGTCAAACTACTCGATTCAGTATTTTGAGTGTATATCACTCAAAAGTTATTTTTTTCCATATTCCTATCTCTCATTTTCTACTTTTGAATTTGCTTTTGTTTATTATCAAAAAAAAAAAAAAAAAAAAAATTCTTTTGTATATTTCCGGAAACAAATCTGTTGTTATACATCAGAGGTCTAATCTAATGTAAATCGGTCGTCATTTTATCATCATGGCCATTCATAATATTTACTTTCAGATTTTTCGTTCGTTCGTTCGTTCTTGGATCGTTTGAAATAAAAATTCATTCTTACGGGTGATGGATGATGACTCAATTTGTCTTGGTATTTTGGTGAATGAACATTTTTTTATTATTATTTTGAATTGTTGAATAACGATATTAAAAATGAATGAGCAAAATCCGGAACCATAGAAAAAAAACCACAATGTACAGAAAATAATTAAACCATAGAAACACACACACATAAATGTAAAAACAATGCTGTCTTGTTAAAAAAAAAAATTTGGACCAAATTCTTTTACTCGCTGTGTTTGGGTTTTTCAAGTTTGCTTGATTGATGATTCGATTTTTTTCATATATCAAAAAAAATAACTAAACATCATTTCGAATATTTTATTATTATACCGATATCATTACAAAATGAATTCTATTTTTTTGGTTTAGTTTTAAATAATTTATTTATTATTGTCGAATATAATATCCATAGATTATTGTGAAACCGGCATAAATAATTTGTATGCCAATATCAACAAGAATAGGTTGGTTAAGCACTAGCCAGATTATTATTCGTATAAAAATCAATGCCATAATCGATAATCCATAACATTCAATATATTGATGATGATGATCTTGTTTAAACAATAGATATAATCCATAACACATATAAGTTAAATCAATAAGACAGAATATGATTTCTACGATATCGAATACTTCTATGTGAATATGAATCAAAAAATCTTTTGTAAAAAAAAAATTATACGATTTAAGTGATGTCATTTAAAAATACCTTCCCCAAATACATTCGTATTGATTAAACCGATTAATGAATTGATAAAAATGACAATAATCATAATCTCTAATATAAAAGTGAAGATGATCAACATTATACGGTAATAGTATCGACACCAAGGTGTCAATACGGTTCTAGATTTTCCATGTAGCACACCTATTAAACTACTTTTTCCGCTTGAACTTTGATTTTTTGACATTATTTCTTTTCAATGAACGATGATGAAACTGTGATATCTTTATAAGAATTTTCAAATTTTATATTTATTTACAAAATAAGGCAATATAAGCAATAAAATTAAAGAACAAGGTAGAGTGCAGATTATTTCAAAACAATTAAATGTCCTATTCAACAATCAAATAAACAAAAAAAAAAAAAAAAAAATTTAGTAAACAATTATCGAATTGAACGAATTAAATTCGTAAAAAATCAATAACATTGAAGATTATGCAATAATTTTTCATCTTGACTGGAGTTTCGAAGTAAATCCATTTTAGGCCGATTCTCGAACAATGCTGCTCGATTTTGAACATCACCATGTTTAACCCAATGATGATAGATACGAAATGCACATCCATCGACCATCTAAAACGAATTATTTTAATAATTATTAAATTATTTATTATGCATCTAACCTTTCGCAAGATTTTTATCTTGTATGGAGCGGTACGTATAGTTTCCAATGAAATCAATTCAGTTGTATATTTATAACGTTTTATTCTGATCAAAACTCGTACACAGACAATAGCCAATTTAAATGTTTTTCGAGCATTAAATTTTGCAGCTTGAGTTTTCTAAAAAATCAGAGTTAACTATATTGAAAAAAATTTCTGAAATTACATACGATTGAAAGGAAAAACGGATGTTTTAATGCTTGATTTGCGTTCAACCTTTCCATAGGATTTATCACTAAAAGTTTACGGATCTAAAGGTACAAATGATTGAAAATTAGTTGGAAATGAAAATTGAAATCAAGTATTTCTTACCAGATCTTTGGCCTCTTCGGTTACATCATCCCATTCAGGACTACAGAATTCATATTTACCTTCCATAATATTTCTCAACATTATCATCTGTTTACGATGCCAGAATGGAGGAAACCCGACTAATAGAGTATACATGATGACACCACAAGCCCATAAATCAACTTCTTGTCCGTAGCCTGGAGCATTCTCATACATTGATGCACGAAGAAGTTCAGGCGCTAAATAACCGGGAGTTCCGCATAGATCTAATAAAAACAAAAAAAAATCATTCAATCAGCCATTCACTAAGAGTTCTAGATCTTACCGAATAATCTTTCATATGGAGCAATCATTCTGGCGAATCCAAAATCTGTTACTTTAATATTGTAATTGTCATCCAATAGTATATTTTCTGGCTTCAAATCTCGATGTACGACTCTTTTCTGGTGAAGATAATCGACAGCTTCGAAAAGCTGCTTCATTATAACTCTATTAATGATAATGAATTCAATTTAAGTTAACGATTTCAAATGTTTAGCTTACTTTGTTCGTTTTTCCGATAAGGTTACAACATTTGTTAAATAGTCGAATAATTCGCCATTTTTACAACTGAAATTTACAAATAAATATTACATTTGAAATAAACAAAAAAAAATCAACGATCAAACTTACAGCTCAAATACTAGAAATATATAAGTGGACGATTCGAATACATCATAAAGTTTAACTATTTAACAGGAATTTATTAATTGGAAATTGTAATTAAAATGACAAGGAAACTCTTACTGATATAATGATGTCCATCGACCAATCGAAGTATGTCAATTTCACGTTGTGATGCTTGATATAATGTAAAACTATTCTGATGACCACCCCCACTTTCATCATCACTAATATCAATGATTTTGGCAGCATATTCTCGTCCGGTTTCTTTTTCAACACACAATCTAACTACGCTTGATACACCTCTAAAAGATTTCATTCAATAGAAAATAAAAATGATCAATCATTATATATACGAACCTTCCAAGAACTTCTTTTGGTTCATATTTAGCATAGAATCCGCGAGCTACGTCTTTGTCAGGAAGATGATCTTCAAATTCTTGAAGATCAGCTCTTCCTACCATTGTTTGTTCGGACGTTTTGGTGGATGATTGAATATTCTTATAATAATGAAAGATCAAGGGCACTTGGGGATTTTTTCCAGTCAAGAAATGAATTGTTTAAGGAACCATTTCGAATATAATAAGAGATCAGAAACGGAAAAAACGGTGAACGTACAGTGATTATAATCAACAACAATCAACAACAAAGATCAACCGATTGAAAAACAAGTACAAAAATATTTCGCATACGCATGCTCAAACCAACGAGAGTATACAAATCTAAATCAGGTGATTACAGTCTAAATTTAACAATAAAAATAGGAATGTAGAATTTTCGTTCAATTTTCTTTATTAATGGTAATGGTATGAGAAAAAAAATTAATGAAAAAGCTTTGAAAATCCAATTTGGTCCACATTCATTACAGAAAATTATACATTACTTTTCGAATCATACTGATTGGGAAAAAGGAAATTATGTTGAGATGTTGGAATCGAATGAATCGGCAAAAATCCTGAATTAGGTAGAACATTCATGGATAATATTAAGGTAACATTGTTGCCCAATAAGCCATTGCCATCATCCCAGAAATAATATTTTGTATGTTGATTACGTAATGTCAAACGATGTTGATTACTTTCATCACGTAACATTATATAATCCCAAAGAATAACTTGACTTAAAGCATTCGTTTTTGTTTCGTATTGAGCGGTTAGAAAAAGAAACAATTGTTTCGTATTCCAATCAAATACGGGGCTAAAATCAGCATCTAAATCGAATGATAAGAATCCTAAATCATTACGTTCACGGCCAGCTGAATAATCGGCAACATTTTTAACCAATTTTCGTACACTATTCACTTTAACTTCAGCCAATTTTGAATAATCCTGTTTATGGATCAAACGTTGAAGATTTTTAATAGAAAATTATCAAAAAAAATTGAAATTACTTTAGTCATCGTAGACAGAACAAGAAAAGCCGTCAAGAAAGCCAAATTTGATAGGGTGAATGCAAACACTGCATTTGATCGCGTTAATGTTGTATTCATTGTATGAACATGGAAATTATGGCGGAAATAGTATAATATAATACAATAATAACCTTTTTATTTTGGAACTTTTTTACAAACAAACCACAAGGAAAAACTTGCCGATTTTAACCTTTTTGTCAACTGCTGAAATGATGATGACGCATGCTAAAGATTATTAAGAGAATTATTCATAAACAAAGTGACGCAATTTCATAATCTAATTGTCAAATATATTCAAAATGAAAATTATCACATTTTAATTGTTTTCAAATTTAATTTTCAATAATATTCAACAACTAAACAAATTAAAAATTATCAAAAGTTTTTGACCAGTAATTATAATAGGCAAAGGCTACCTGTTGGCTGTTTCGAAATTATTTCGTTGTTTTTGCCTATGATCATCTTCAGGATGATTCAATTTATCCGTATTAATTTCTGGATCTTCAACAACCAGTTTTTTTGATGGATATAGACTACCAATCAATGTTTGTCTTTGAATAATTTGCAAATTATTTTGGGCATCTTCAATGAGCGTACGAATTTTTTGCTCGTTTGTTTCATTCATATTTTGCCTAAATGCTTCACGAATTCTACGCCAAGCATATTCACGATAGATATATGAATCGAATTTACGTGATTCACGTAACATTTTTCTATACAATGAAAGGATTAATGCACGATTTGAGCCCATGCTATGCTTATGTTTGTTGTATGATGATATAATGGTGGTCAATTAATTTCACAATAGTTGAAATTTAAATTCTGATAATTTTTCTATAAAAGAATTTTTTTTTATTTCAAAAATGACATAATCTACTTTTGAATTTGAAATTCTACGCCAAGCATATTCACGATAGATATATGAATCGAATTTACGTGATTCACGTAACATTTTTCTATACAATGAAAGGATTAATGTACGATTTGAGCCCATGCTATGCTTATGTTTGTTGTATGATGATATAATGGTGGTCAATTAATTTCACAATAGTTGAAATTTAAATTCTGATAATTTTTCTATAAAAGAATTTTTTTTTATTTCAAAAATGACATAATCTACTTTTGAATTTGAAAAGTAGACTATCATGATACGAACCAAAGAAAGATAGAATTATGTAGGGTCAATTATGAATTTTCCAGTAAATTGGCGAATATTCGCGAATCGTTCACAAAATATTTTCATCCAGGCAAAATTGTAAACATATCGAAATAGAAAAAAAGGCATGCATTTTGATTAATATACGCAATCTCTAACAATCGCCGACAATGACATTCGAATTGAATGAAAGAAGCTCCACCTCAAAAAATAATTCACATATTAAGTGATCGAACGTAACACCTCCGCAATAACATCGGAGTACTATTATCTATACATTTTATTCGAGAACTTTCTTTCAAAATAAGTAGTGGTTGTTAAGCGTGTTTTATATTCATTTTAATGCATCCAATACCAATCCATTCTCTGTCTCTCTCTCACACACACACACGCTTTTATATGTGATTCAATTCATTTAGCAACGGCATTTTTTTCTTTTTTATTCTTGCTTGTTTTTGCTACCATCATTTCAATTTGATTTTTCATTTTTCATTTATTCCAGATATACTCATTGTATAATTTGAGTCATAATTATCAATTTCATCAACCCAACCAAGCTAAACAAAGAAAAAAAAATTAATTCCTTGTTGAAGTTTGTTCGAAAAAAAAATTAGAAAGAAAAATTTTTTAAAATTTAATGAATTCAATCCTGATCGTGTAATAAAAACACAATACATTGTGCAGCATACAATCTCGTCTATTATTTCACGTTGACCAAACGATAAACTCAGCAACCATTAGCGGCTTAAAGAGATTTCTTAATTCTGCCTATAAATATTTCGCCGGTAGCAGCGAAGACGATAATTATAAACGATCAACATCAGTTTCACAGTCTGGTAAGTGATTTTCTGTACTTGGAAATATTTACATGTGTATTAATTTTAAAATTTTGATCTTTCAGAATATCAGCAAAAAAATCGTTCGGTTTTTCGTAAATATCGTCAAATAATGGCTTCCATTAGCAATTCAACATCATCAATCTGTGGTATCAGTATTGGTACGGAAAATTGTTATGTAGCAGTTGCCCGGCAAGGTGGTATCGAAATTCTGCTTAATGAATATTCTCAACGATCAACACCTGCATACATTGGCTTCGGTGGTAATCAACGTGAATTGGGTGTTTCCGCTAAGCAAAAACAAATGATGAATCTTAGTAACACTTGTTTTGCTCCGACAAAGATCATCGGAAAAAAATATCATCAGGTCAATCCTCAAGACTTTCCATTTAAAATTGAACCTGGACCTGATGATGAAATTCTTGTTCGAGTTCAACATGGCGATGAACAGCTGTTGACTCCCACTCAAATTGTGGCAATGTTATACACAAAATTAAGGCAAATATCTGGCAATCCTGTTGATTGTGTTATCAATTGTCCTAATTATTTTGATTTTCTACAACGACGCGCACTGTTGGATGCTGCTCAGATTGCCGGCTTGAATCCATTACGTGTCATATCTGACATGACCGCTGTGGCACTCTATTATGGATTCTATAGAAGCTCGCCTACCGGTTCTGATATTTCCATTGTTGGATTTGTTGATTGTGGACAAACAAGCTCACAAGCAGCCATGGTTTTGTTCAATCATAAAGACAACTATTTAAAAGTATTGGATGCTGAATTCCTGGCCGATGTCGGTGGTCGACATTTTGATGAAGCATTGGCTAATTATTTTATCGAAAAACATTCTTTAAAATTAAGTGAACGATCACGTTATCGTTTGATTGTCGAATGCGAAAAATTGAAAAAAAATTTATCGGCTAATCCAAATGAATTGCCCATCAATATTGAATGTTTGTACGATGAAAAAGATTTCAACAGCCGAATCGATCGTGCAACATTCGAACAAATTTCTCAGAATCTGTTTGAAAAAATTGCTTCAATGTTGAAGATGACTTATGAACGATCAGTTGAACGATTCATAAAAGAATATCAAGACAACTATGGAGATTTTCGTCTTGATTCGGTTGAGGTTGTGGGTGGTACTAGTAGAATTCCTGCCATTAAAAAAATGATCAAAGAATTCTGTGGATTGGAACCATCGACAACGCTAAATGCAGATGAAGCCGTTGCTCGTGGTTGTGCTTTACAATGCGCTATTCTTAGTCCAACATTCAAAGTTGCACGTGAACTTCATCTCATCGATTCTTTACCATTTAGTGTCGATTTTAAGTAAGTAATTTGAAATTGAAAAAATATGGTTTTTTAATATTTTTTTTCCTTCAAATGCCATAGGTACGAAATTCCCGGTAAAGATGTAAAAGTCATACCAGCAATGATTCCACGTGGACATCCATTTCCATGCCCAAAACAGATAACGATCCCTTCACAAAATTTACCCATTACCCTCAGCTTTTATTATGATAATTTGCACCAAGAAAAGATGTTTCTGGCACAATATCGAATTTCGGAACCTCCTGGTTCAAATGCATTACAATCGATGTTAGAACATAAAAGTCCAATCAAGATTCGTGTTCGTATCAATGCTAATTGCACTCTCTCTATTGGACCAGCAACATTCTCTTATGAAAATCCTCAACAGACTAATGAGCAGCAGCAAGACGAACCGATGGAGCAACAACCTCAAAACAATAATAACGATTCTGGAGATGGTCAAAACAAAATGGAAACTGAAACACAACAACAACAGACCAACGATTCGCAACCTCAGCAAAAGCGAAAAAAACCAAAAACTACAACCATAGACCTACTTGTTGAACCACTATCCATTGCAGGCTTGCTCCCAAAAGAGGTGAAAGATCGCTTTATCGAATTTGAATCGAATCTGATTTTGGCCGATAAAAATTGGAAGGAAAAAGCCGACGCTAGAAATGCATTGGAAGAATTTATTTATGAATGGCGTGATCGTATGGAATCAGGTGATTATGATCCATTCATTGATCCAGCAACCAAACAACAATTTCAACAACAATTGGAGTCAAATGAAAAATGGCTTTACGAACAAGATGAAAAGGAAGTGATGCATTCAAAATCAGTGTATGATGAAAGAACGCAAATGATGGCTAAATCGTTCGCTGATTCCGTTATAATGCGTCGTAGAGAATTCGAAAACCGGCCTCGTTGTCTTGAACAACTAGGACATCATTTACAGCAAGCACGAAAAATTATGGAAACAAATGATCTGAATGACGACAATGATGAAAAGAAAAAATTCTTCGAAGAAATTGAAGAAAAACAGCATTGGTTCGATGATGTAAGCGGAAAATTGGCTTCAATGAGAACCTATGATGATCCACCATTTACATGTGATGCTATTCAATCGCAATCACAACAACTTGATTCATCGATTCAACGTATCCATAATAATCGTAAACGCCGTGCTGAAGAACGTCGTAAAGCCGCGGAAAAGAATGCTGAAAAAGAAAAGCAACAACAACAACAGCAAGCTCAACAAGAAGCATCTGGGGATAAACAACAATCACCTCCAATGGATCAACAAGAACCAGCCAAAATGGATGTTGATCCACAACCAGAACAAAAATGAAGAATTGAATGTTATTGACTCTTTACATTATTTTCTTTTTTTTCTAAGAAAAAATCTATTTTCATTGTGGCCCAGTGTTTAAAAGTGAAACGGAGTTTTTTCTACGATTCTAACATCAAAAAAAAACTTTGATGCATTACTGAATTGCCTATTTTATTCCCTTCCCATTGTGTTATGAAATATATAAATTGTGTATAATTCAAAATGGAATTATAAATTTTACTACCTACATCTGATATTGTCCTTATGAGTTTTATTTTCGTGATTAAGGGCAATCCTTTCAATGTAATTTCTTCAATTTAGCTTTTTGGAATTAATTGAATTGAATTATAGTAATTATAAAATGAGATAAACTTTATTCTTTATGAATTAATTGATTAATTAATTACACAAAATTAATTTATTTCACCAATGTCATTCTGAATTTTAAATGGGAAAGAATTAACAAAACAATAAATTAATTTTGTGCATTTCATACCAAACAACACGACCAATAGATGAAAACAAATCATACAAAGTTGTGGGAGGGAAGTTATCAATCAAATAATGATTAAAAATAATTCTAATTTACCAAATATTTATATTTATAGCATGTTATTGTTATCGTTTTTTTTCGCATGAAAATCAATCCAGATAAAAAGATATCACAATTCATCTTTTAATAATGTATAGCGAATTTTTGATGGTGCTAGCTTTGCAAATGTCGATTCTGGTGGCTGTGTCTGTAACTGATTATGTCCATCCCCATGATGATCATGTGATGTAGGATCGGGACCAAAATGGAATTCTCGATGTAATTTTCCAGAATAAAGTTCCTGAATAAATTGTTTCAATTTTCCTGGAGTTCTATTCAATATGTTATAAAAAATGGTGAAAATTAGGCCAAAAAACGATAATGATACAAACCTGATATCGTCGAAATTTGGAAACATGTACATATGACGAAAGCTATCAATGGCAACTAATGGTAAATCTTTGGGAGTTTTGCCCAGATGCATCAATGGATGAGCGAATTTCACTCCATCGGCTAATAAAAAATTAATGCTTCCGGATTCGCTCAATAATTCTTGATTGACAGTTTTAGTGTACAATTCAACCGAATGTTTATCATCCGGATGGTGGAAAAGAATCAAAAATGGCAAACCTTCTTCGGTCAATTCTTCGGCATTTTCGAACGTTATTTCACGAACCAATGGAATGCATTTGTCTGTCGCCCATGTGCTCAGCTCATCATAGCTTTTCAAATCGGTAGGAAATTCAAGATCATCTGGCGATGGAGATGAACGCGAGGGTTTGAATTTGATTGACAAGATTTTTTCAGCTGTGCTATATTTGTCAACAGGCGGACCAGTCACCCAATAAAATTTACAATCATCTCGAAGATCGCGTGCAACTTTGCGAAGCAGGTCATATTCAATTTTTTGGAAACCAGCTTCAGAACGGAAATAAGTCATTATAGCTCCTTTTTTCTCATCGATCTTATTTAACTCGTCATAAGAATTGATTGGTATAATTGGATCTTTAAGAAGATCACGAAGATATTGGGCCATTGCTTCGGAACTACGTTGCCCTCGATATTCTCTTTTCAATAGCTTTCCATTCAACATTACTTTGAGTGTAGGATATTTCGTTATGTGAAACCTTTGGCCCAAAGCACCTGAAATAGTAAATTTTTTAATAAATTTAATCATACATAAAACTGCAATGAGAGATACAGACTTTCGTGTTCACAATCAATTTTGGCGAATAAAACCTTTCCTTCATCAGGGAATTCAATAGTAATTTTTTTGGATACTTCTTCGAATATCGGAGCCAATAATTGACTGAATCTACACCAATCCGCATAGAAATTCAAAAATACTAATTCATAATGAGACGTGTATGCATCGAAATCATTCGATGTCAATGACACGACATTTGCATTAGCGGATTTTGTAAGCCATGATAACTAGTAAATTAATGAACAAAATTTTCGTGGATTCTATCAGTAATTTTTAATTTTTAATAAAAAAAAATACATACCGCTATAAGCAAACAATGAGCAATGATTTTTGTTGGAAATTTTCTATAGAACACTTGAACATTCGGCGTTTGTTGATTCGATGACCCGATCGGCCACATTTTATAATTTTTTTTTTTGCACACTTTGTGATTTCTTTGAAACTTTAAACAAATTCCAAAGTTATTAATGAAGAGTATTTTAACTGATGATATGTATGATTTTTGTAGATTAAATTTACATTTGAATTGAATTAAAATTTGTAAACACAATTCTAGAACTTTGAAATAATCAATCACATCAACGTAACTTGATTGGAAAGATCATTGTATACAATTATGATGAGGTAGACTTACCAACCACTGTGTGTATGGCTTAACCAGTCCTCATCATGCTCCTCCTCTCCCGTCGATTTCGACTCTACTGTCAATTTTGATTCCAATTAGAATTGTTTCACGCCCCCACAGCTGTTTGTTCAAAATCTATCTATTATTATTATATAATAATGATCAAATTTTTCACAATAAATTCAATTTTATTCTCAAGACAAAAATGTAGTGATAATAAATTATCGATATAATTAATCACAAAATGGTTAAAAGACGTAATCGTCTTTGGATTCTGGGACTAATTTGTGCTCTTTCAGCTAGTCTTTTCATTTATTATCATCTTCAGCATGAAACAAAAAATAATGTAAACTTTTTAGGATTTACTGATCGTGAAATGAAACTAGCTGAACGTGTCAAAGATGCTGAACAACAGAATCAATTCCTTCAACGACAGCTTAAAATTTCTCGCCAACATTTAGCGAATGTTTTGGCTGAAGTCAAGCATAATCAAATGCGATCATTATCATCATCATCAAAAGAATCGTTAAACAATGCAAAAATATCGACAATCAATGAGCGAAAACTTTTGACAAATTCATCTTTGTTCTCAAAGAGGCCTTGTGATCATCCTAGTGATAATAAAGGCAATCAAGATATCGTTTCAAAATGTGAAGTGATCGAAGTTGCAATCGTTTGTGCTGGTTATAATTCTTCGCGATCATTAGTTACATTAATCAAATCTATCTTATTCTATCGAAAAAATCCTCTACATTTTCATTTCATATCCGATCAGATAGCACAAAATATTTTGCAAACATTATTTAAAACTTGGTCGGTTCCCGAAGTTGAAGTCAATTTCTATCTAACAGACATGCTTCAATCTGATGTCAATTGGATTCCTAATAAACACTATTCTGGAGTTTTTGGCCTAATGAAGCTTGTTTTACCAAAAATTCTTCCCATATCACTGGATAAAGTTATTGTTCTTGATACTGATATAACGTTTGCAACAGACATTGCCGAATTATGGAAATTATTTTTAAAAATGTCAACAGAATCAATTGCTCTCGTGGAGAATCATTCCGATTGGTATCTTGGAAAATTGTGGAAAAATCATGTACCATGGCCAGCACTAGGACGAGGTTTCAACACTGGAGTAATGCTTTTCAGATTACAACGACTTCGTGATTTCAATTGGTCAGCTATCTGGAAAATAGTTGCAGAAAAAGAACTTTTATCGATGCTTTCAACTTCATTAGCAGATCAAGATATATTCAATGCTATTATTAAACAATATCCTCAATTAGTGTATCGATTGCCTTGTCAGTGGAATGTACAATTGTCGGATAATTCGCTTTCAGATTCACTATGCCACACTGAAGTACAAGATTTGAAAATCATACATTGGAATTCACCGAAAAAACTTAAAGTCAAAAATAAACATTTAGAATTTTTTCGTAACCTTTACCTAACATTTTTGGAATATGATGGCAACCTTTTACGAAGAGAATTGATGGGCGGATGCCCTACAACTCCATTACCTATGTCTGCAGCTAACCTTTCAAATAATTTAATCATTAATCGTCAATCATTACAACCAAGTGATGATGATGATCCTTGTTACGAGTTTGATCGTGCTCAATCAATTCAACATCGAACTCATCTTCATTACATTGAATTTGAATACGAACCATCGCCAGACGGAAATGATGTTACACTTGTCGCTCAGCTTTCCATGGATCGCTTACAGATGGTCGAAGCTTTGTGTGAACATTGGGAAGGGCCGATTTCTCTATCAATGTACATGTCTGATTCAGAAGTTCAGCAATTTCTAGGCTATCATCAAAATTCTAAAACTCTTTCAGAGAGAAAAAATATTGACTATCATATCGTATATCGAGATGGACCATTCTATCCGATAAATAAATTAAGAAATGTAGCTTTGGATCAAGTTATCACGCCATATGTTTTTCTTACCGATATCGATTTCCTGCCTATGATCGGCCTCTATGATTACCTCAAACGTTCCATTGGATCTATTGGTTTGGGTTCATCTTCCAGTCTAATAGATCATTCAAGTTCATCAAACATTAACAACACTCCAAAACGTGCCTTGGTTGTACCAGCTTTTGAAACACTTCTTTATCGTATACAATTTCCTAAAACGAAAGCTGACTTGATTCAAATGTTGAACATTGGACAATTATTCACATTCCGTTATCATGTATGGACCAAAGGACATGCACCAACAAATTTTGCCATTTGGGGACAAGCAACCACACCTTATCGGATAAAATGGGAACCAGATTTTGAGCCATATATCGTTGTACATCGTGATGTTGTTCGTTATGATACACGATTCGTTGGATTCGGCTGGAATAAAGTATCACACATTATGGAATTACATGCACAAAACTATGAATTCATTGTCCTACCGAATGCATTCATCATTCATATGCCACATGCTCCTAGTTTTGATATTGCTAAATATCGTTCGAATTCAAATTATCGTAAATGTTTGCAAACATTAAAACGAAATTTCATAATGAATCTATCTAAACATTATGGACGACAATTCAAAGATGATAGTTTGATTGTCATCAAAAGTTGATTTTTTTCAATTTGTAAACACCTCTCTAGTCTAGAATGGGGGCCAAATTTTTTTTACGTCCTTCACTTGTACGTATTAATAAGTAATAATAATAATTATATTATATGTTTTAAGTAATTTCTGATCATAAATTTTGTAATTCATTCAATTTAAAATTTTTTCTGCCAATAAAAAAAATTCATATTAAAAAGATTTTACTGCCGATAGATGGCATTGTTTAAAGCGGCATCAAATCTATTGTTGGATGGAAAAAAGCACGTTGTTGCAGTATCGTACTGAAAACTATTCATCACACACCTTGTTTCATTGCATCAAACTAAATCTGTTCTTTATTCTTTATTAAATTTGTCAATTTTTTCAAATTCTAGATTAGTAAAAAAAATGGCAGCCATTCATTCGTTGAATCCTAAAGCCGAAATTGCTCGCCATTCACAAGCATTGGCTGTGAATATTAGTGGTGCCCGTGGTCTACAAGAAGTTCTCCGTACTAATCTTGGTCCAAAAGGAACAATGAAAATGTTTGTATTATCTACTATCTACTTTATTTATATTTATAATTACAAATTGAAATTCATTTCCAACAGGTTGGTCAGTGGAGCTGGTGATATAAAAATTACCAAAGATGGGAATGTTTTACTTCATGAAATGGTTAGTTGTTTTCAAAAGTCTATTAACAATATTCACATTTTTTTATAATTAGCAAATTCAACATCCAACGGCCTCATTGATAGCAAAAGCGTCAACAGCTCAAAATGATGAAACTGGCGATGGAACCACATCGACCGTATTGATCATTGGTGAATTGTTGAAGCAAGCCGAAATCTACATCAATGAAGGTGTCCATCCTCGTGTGATTGCGGATGGCTATGATCAAGCTCGTAAAAAGTCAATCGAATTTATGGATACTTTCAAATATTCAGCCAGCGAAACCGACCAGGAATTGATGCTAAGCGTTGCTAAAACTGCACTAAAAACAAAAGTTGCCGCTCCTATTGCCGAAAAATTAGCAAAAATTTGCGTGGAAGCCGTGTCACACATCCACAAACCGGGAAAATCGATTGATTTGTTCATGGTGGAAATCATGCATATGCAATGCAAAACAATCGAAGATACCACTTTGATCAAAGGTTTGGTACTGGATCATGGTGCTCGCCATCCAGCTATGAAAAAACGCTTGACCAATGCTTACATCCTTACTTGTAATGTGTCTCTCGAATATGAAAAAACGTAAGTCGTTAATATTTTGCTTAAAATTTGTAAAATTTTTATTCAAAATCTATAGAACTGTTCATTCTGGATTTTTCTATAAAACGGCCGAAGAACGTGAGAAGATGATTGCTGCTGAACGAAAATTTATTGAAGATCGGTGCCAAAAAATAATTGATTTCAAGAAACAAGTTTGTGGTGATGATCCCGAGAAAAATTTCGTGGTAATCAATCAGCAAGGCATTGATCCTAATTCACTTGACATGCTGTGCCGGGCAGGAATTACCGCTCTTCGTCGGGCCAAACGTCGAAACATGGAACGATTAACTAAAGCATGTGGTGGCCGCCCTGTCAATTCACTTGAAGATCTTACTCAAGATTGTCTTGGTCATGCTGGTTTAGTTTATGAACACACTTTAGGCGAAGATAAGTTCACTTTCGTCGAAGAATTGAAAAATCCAGAATCAGTTACTATATTGATTCGTGCACCTCACAAATATTCTATAACTCAAATTAAGGATGCTCTTTATGATGGATTAAGAGCTATCAAAAATACCATTGAAGATAAAGCTTTAATACCTGGTGCCGGAGCTTTCGAAATCGCCTTGCATGCTGAATTACTAAAATTCAAAAATCTTGTTGATGGTAAAGCCCAACTAGGTGTACAAGCGTTTGCTGACTCCATTTTGGTGATACCAAAAACGTTGGCATTCAATTCAGGATATGATCAACAGGAAGTTATCATTAAATTGTTACGTGAATACAATGATACTAAATTGCCCGTTGGAATTGATCTTAACACTGGTGAACCTTGCAATCCAATTGTAACCGGCATTTTTGATAATTATCGCGTTAAAAGACAATTGATCTTTTCTTGGTGAGTATTGATTTTTTTTTGAAAAATATAATTTATCTCATCAATCTATTTTTTTCAATCATACAGTACTTCGATTGCTTGTAATATTTTGTTGGTCGATGAAATAATGCGTGCTGGACTGACATCGTTGAAAACTGGACCGAAAATGGGCTAAAAAATTTCACTCAATTATTGTATCAATCTTTCAGAATTTTTACAAAATTTATTACTTAATAAAATGAACGAATTCATTTTTTATTTTTCGTGTGTAATAATTTGTTTGAAAATACCAAAGTGAGCAATTCTTTTGATTGGATTATATAATCATCACCGGTAGATCAAGCTTTTTTGTTTTGTGCATATGAGAAAAAAATCAATAGAATCACCCGATCATATACGCACAGGTTTTTATGTGTTAATCTGATACAAAAAAATTAAATACGAAATTCAATTCGGAAAATATATTAATCTTCCTTGAGAGAGTATATATGGGCACTGGTGCAAGACTAGAGTTATTCAATGTGGAAAAAATCACATTATTCAATCCAGTGGTTTTTTATGTTGAAAAAAAAATTTGAATCGATACTTAGTAGGAATTTGGGTATTGCAAAACATAAAAAAATCAAAACTGATTTTACAAGTTCTAAAAGAATTAGACGAAATCACACAATCAGAAAATAAATAATCAATTGAGATATGAGATTTTGTGAAAAAAAACATTCAAATCAAAAGAGATTAATTGTTAAATGAGAAAAAAGGAGAAAGTTTGATTATAAATAATAATAATAATAATAAACAGTTTGAATATCAGATCAGGGATTAGAATATCAACACTTGTGTGGTATTCACTGAATACTATTCAGCAGTATTACAATTATAAATATCACATTTATGATGATCAATCGTAAATTCAAATTTCGGAATCTTCTTCAATAGTCGTATCAGCTCTTGGTTTCGAATGTTTGTTATCATTTTTCATTTTACATGATGGTGATGAAGCACCATTTGATAAGGGACATCCATTTCTATCTTTCAGTACTGATTCGATTTCATCGTCGGATTGGTTTCTCCAAAGGAAACAGTTTTTCTTTCTACCCACTGGTAATACTAATATACCAGATAGCATAATTGTAATTCCGGTTATGTAAAACGCGTTATCATAGTTTCCAGATATGTCAAATATCCAGCCTAGATTTTATTCAATTAATGAAATTAAAATAAAAGTCAATAACAAAACATACCAGCAAGTGGTGGACCAATCAATGAACCAAATCCCTGTACCAATAATAACATTCCATAGGCCGTTGTGAATGAATCCAGCGAGATCAATTCAACAAGAATAACTGAAACTAATGAGTAATTGGCCGAGATACAAAATCCATAGATGGCCGATTGAATGCTTATGAGATAGCTATCAGTTGTCAACGGTATGGCAGCCATGACTAATCCGCTTATTGATACAAGAATGGAATAAATGAAACTTGCATCTAGCCATGGTTTATCTCCTATATATCCGACAAAAACCTAAATCATTGAATTGAACAATTAAAAAAGTACAATACTTATATGATTAAGAAACTAACCACTCCAAATGTATTGAAAACACCGATAATCGAAATATATTGTGATGCGCCATCTTTATCTGATGCTCCACTGGTAATTACTTGATCCGGTATATAAACGTAGGGCACATCAATACAAACATAGAGCAGAAAATTTGACAAACAAAATATTGAATAACGAAAAGATTTGAAAATGGACATATCGATCATATTGATGAGAATTTCTTTTAAATTTTCATAGAAATTTAAACTCTATGAAAAAAACTAGATTATTAATCCATTTTTCGTTGATAAATTGGTTATACTTACCTTTTCTTCATTAATAGTAGCCATACTAGTTCGATAGATGTCAGGCGCTGAAGATGCTTTTAACCGGTATTTATTGATGACCAACATTGCGTTTCTATATGTCAAACTTCCGCGAGGCAATCGTAAATGACGCAAACGATTTATACGTGGTGTTTGCTGCTGATGTTGATTGAATAAGACATCATTATTATTATTATTATTAAAATGCTGTGATTGACGAGCAAAATTCAATAGCTGTCCAAAACGACTTGTACTGTTTTGTCTAGAATTAGTTGATGATTTCAATATTCCCCCATTATCTGTCGCTTTATTCGAATCCATAACATCGCCATTACTATTTATAATACCATTCAATTTGGAATGAGAATCCATGTGATGAGTAGAACCAAATTCAACAACTTTCTGTGTGGCTTTCGGTGGAACTGGGGATGATGAAATCAAAGGAACTGGTGTCGTATTTGATTGTAATTTAACTTTGGTTTTGACGGTCAGATCATCACATTGCATATCCCATGGAAGAAACATGCTTAATAAATGAGGATAGTGGCAAATCAAATTATGTAGATAACCACCACGACGAAATGTTAGTTCACCATAAATATTATTGGATTGCATTTCATTCTTGTTATTATTCGAAGAATCTTGGCTATCGTTATTTTTGATAAATGTTGGTATATTTATCAATGAACTGGTATGTCGTGGAAATGAATCATCGTTTGAATGAGATTCCGATAAGGGTCTTGCCATAACTGAATGCTGTTTCAGCAACAAACGATGTTGCTCTTGTGACAAATTACCCGTTATTGATGTGAGACGATCATTTTGATTGTCAATGTCAAAATTATCGTCAGAATCTGAAAGATTTGAATCCAAGTCCGATGTATCTCCACTGTTTGATGAGGAAGAAGAGGAGACATCGCCTGAAGTATCAATGTTAACATCAGGAATCAAGAATCCACAGCAAACCATGTTGAGGAAGACTCCGGAAAGTATGAGCAATGTACCACGCCAGCCATATTCTTTCAGCAATAAAATGATGAGTGGAGCAAACAGGAACGTTCCGAATCCAGATCCACAAACAGCCAATCCAGTAGCAAGTGATCGTCGACGATCGAACCAATATGCTACGCTTACTATTGATGTTACATAGCAAAGTGCCAGACCAAATCCAGCTAAACTGAATGCAAAAAATAAATGTTCTACGCAGGTGGAATATTGGCCAATAAAAAATCCAGCCGAAGCTAATAGAGCACCGGCAATCGTAACTTTGCGACAACCGAATTGATCGACCAAAGATGATCCGATAGGACCAGTTAATAACGGTATCGATAAGAAAAGAGAACCGATCCATGCGGTCTTGCTTTTTGATTCATTAAAATAATTTACCAATTCGACAAAGATGACACCGAATGATAGAGATACACCATCAGCGATTAGATTGATGATAAAGCTAGCAAAAACAACCATCCATCCCCAACCGCCATCCGGTGGTCGTGAATAGTTCAGTTGACGTTTATTTTTCTTTGGACTTTTCTTACTCTGATGTGTGTGCGTTGTCGTACTATTCGTTGCCGCTGATGATGTTTGCAGGCGATTTTGATGATGGGGTGAAGAATCATTGTTACTACTATTGGCACTTGAAATTGAATCCAATTTATCATTAATCACAGCAGCTTCGGCAGAAGACAATGATTGTATCATTTTTTCATCGTCTTTTGAATGATTTTGATACTGTAGTTGTGGATTAGTCGATAATTTTTCTGCCATTGAATTGTTAATAGATTTATCGTTCTAAAATAGATCGCACGGAACATATGTACAAAACATACGGAATGTATGCATTAAAGCGAAAATATAATCTATTGATCTATCAAGAAAAAAATCGATCAAACATACCTTATGGCCATCAAAAATTCCATTTTGTTCAGATAATTTTGTTTCATTCTCCGATGGATTATCATTATTGTGTTTAATTTTGTTATTGTTTTTGTTCATGACGATATTATCGCCATTAGTTACGATAATCGGTTTCGTTGCCAAATTCATCGGAAATAATGGTTCCATTTCTTTCGTATGCTGCTGCTTCCTTTTCATTATGACAACTGGTGGTAAAATTGTCAAATTGATCCCAATCGATTGAGAACGTCATGCAAGAACACCGATGATGATGATGACGAAGACACACAAGTAATAATGAAAAAAATCTTGAATTTATTATCAAATATTATTGCCAAGGTTATATGGGTGTTGTTTTTGATTACTAATGGCTCGAGTTCTATTGATTTTTCATTAGAATTTACATTGATCTTCATTACATTCAATCATATAAAGATAAACATGATAATCAAACAAATGAATTGGATTCACAATTATATTAAATTGTTTGAGTTTTCGTCGTTCCGGTTTGTGTTTCGAAATTTATAAATGACTATTAATAGTAATTTAATAATGATGTGTCTATATTGAGTATAAAAATTTTTTATATAAATGAATGATACTATTAAGGGATAAATAATCGTTTGAATAAACGTCGACTTACCTTTATCATTAAAAAATTTGAATAAAAAAATTGAATAAGAACAGTTGAGAAATTAAAGAGAAAAACGAAAAAAGGAAAACCCATTCATTAGACATTTATTCTAGTCGTGGAGTTAACTTCAGATGATGGATAATAAAGTTTTGGATTTGCAATTGAAAACAGTTATTGAAAGCTAACAACACAAGGGATTTTATAATAATGATATTGACAATTTCACTGGTACGTGAATTGAAACGCGAAACCAACGATGATGATGATGATGATGATAATGGTGAAATGATTGATGATAACGATTTGATGATATAATGGTTGATTATTGATTCCAAATATGGCAATGCTTGGAACATTGTCAAGAATCTGGAAAGATTTGAATTGGGATTGGGGGAATAAATCGAAAATTCGTTGTTATTCGACAAACTCTATTAAAGTTTGTTAGTAATCGCTTTATTCTTGAAATAGATGGTCTGAATTATTTAAAGTTCGATGACAGTTCTAATGATGATAATATGAATATAAAAAATAAATAAATAATATTTTTGTGATTAATAATTTTCTTCATTTTCTCGGTATAAATCAAAGTGAAAAGTTGAGAAAAAAAATAAATGATTAAAAGATAATGATCAAAGTACAAGCAATACATTGATTATCGTTACTTGTGGACAGATATCAATGAAAAAAAGAAAATTTTAAAATTCAAAGGAAAAGCTGGAACGATCATAATGTGAACAGGGTTCAAAGATTCGAAAAAAACATAATATACTTGTTTTGTATTGGTATTTGTTGTTTTAAAAAATCACAGAATAATGAAAAGTGTGATGTCATTGAATTTTTTTTAAATTTTTGTTGTTTTCTAATGATCATACCTTCCAGAATAAAAATAATGAGAAAAAAACACAAACAAAATTGAGTGTTTGGATTTCATTCATTCATTCTAAGTTGCAACGACAACATCGACAACGTTGAAGATGATGATGATGATGACAAAGAAATGAACCACTAGCATCCGTTCATTCATTCATTCAATCTTACATTCACAGCCGAATTATCCATGGACTAATTTCTTTACTTGAACATCATCATCATCATCATCATCATCATATCATAATACATGCTCGTGTCTATTTCATTTTATTTATTCATTCATTCATTCATTCATTCAGGGGAGATTAACGCACGCGAAAATTGATTAAAAAGATCTCGATATACATAGATGATGATGAACAAAATCAAGTGATTAAACATGCTAGTATATCATTATAACACAAAATAAATTTTTTTAATTGAAAACAAAATTCTTTCTGTAATTATAAATGAAGAAGAAGGTACAGAGAGGAAGGACGAAAAGGAAATATGAAAATATAATTTGAAAAAATAACTGTAAAGTAAAAAAGGGTATTTTTTTTTTTTATAGTATTTTGGCAACAATCTATTGTTGAACTAAATTAATACGACGATTATCATAGTGATAATAAATACAACATTCTAAGGATAGAATGTACATGTTATTCAATGTCAAATTTTTTTTTTTTTTGTTCATTCATTCATTTATACATACTTGAATCCATTCTATATGCTGTTTACAGAGACACAAATAAAGAAACTGAATAACTGAACTTGAATTTGGAGTTCTGCAATGATCGTTCCAAAATGTGATTATTATATCTTCTTTTCTCTAACTATCGTTTTTTTTGATCATCTCGAATATCAAATGATCAATATTATATCGATAATAAAGGTTAATCAGAAAATATTTGAAGACTTTTGCTCGACAATGCTATAATGGAAAACTATGATGATCATGCACATGTATTTTGCCAAACAACAAACAAATATGAAGCACCAACAGTCGCTAAATGATATTAAAAATATTACCTGTCACATTTAAAAAAAACGGTGCTTATGTGAAAAAATAAAAAATAAAATATTGATTTGTTCTTGATTCGTGACAAAAGCCAACAGGATCAAGTTCGTGCGATAAAAATTCACAATGGATGACAAAAAGAAACAACGTACCAATCTACGGAGTAAAGTGACAAAGAAACACGGCGACGCCGTTTTAAATTTGTTGGACAGAAACGAAACAACCAAAGCAGAAATAATCAAGTTAATCAAGGACCTAAGCGAAGTGGAAACCGAATTATTGGAAGTCGATTTCGATGAAAAACGTTCGAATCATACAATTGCAAATGCCAGGTTTTGGTAAATTATTTCTCGGAAACAACGACAACAACAACGGCATCGAATATGGAACGTACCATCAAGTACCAACGAAGAGCATTGCCGACTTTTGATGGTGATATCATACAATTTAATCTATTTTTTCGTGAATTTATGAGAATTGTCGATGGCGACTCAACGTTACGAATGGATGCCTTTTCAAATCAATTATAAATTTCATAGCCATGATAATGTTCTAAATAAAGAAAATTTTCAATTATGATGATTATGATTGAAATTGACAATCAGTAGAATTCATTTTTTGTGGAAAAATTCAAGGCACCAAACGGTAATTCATTCATTCATTTATTCTTCCTTAGTATTTATTGATAGGAAGTTTGACACTGACATATCATAAAAAATGATGAAGAGATTAAGAATTCAAGAAGAATTATGTTGAAGAGAAAAATGTATAAACAAACAAAAAAAAAGAATATTTAGATATTATGACGGTGAAGTTCACTACAAATACAGATACAAACACAAACACAGATGATATATATATGAAATGGATCGGACATCAATGAATTAGCGCGCAAGAGCAATCCAGGAATCGTTCCAATTAATGGACCGACAAAGAATATCGCATTTACATGTATATTAGATGATATTTGCTGGTTAGTAATCGAAGATTCATTGAAGATTTTTTTGATCAGCTAAATCATTTTCTATCACACGATTACAATTTTCGAATTTCAATTTTTGACGTTGGAATTATTATTGCTGAAGAGATAAAGTGTAAAAAAAATTGCCCCTATGTGATGGTGTTCAAAACATAGAATTTCAATGAAAGAAAAAAAATCCATCAAACATTAAAATCACAATTTATAAATGGATAATAATTAAACGGAAATACAAAGTTGAATGAATTTTCAATAATTTTTCCTCACCCTCTCTCCCTCTTTTTCTCTTTAGTATATTTTTTTTAAATTGAAAAAAAATTTCAACTTTTCCACTTTTTAGCCTCCATTAAATGCTGCTAGAAGATCGTATGATTTTCGATACTACTTTCAATCGAATTTTTTTATATATGCTTGACAATCATATTATATATCCGATATATATCGTATTCGATACCACACACATATTCACACATACACTTGAACCACTACGACTTATTGTTTTGATCATGTGTATTTTGTGTGTATGTGTCGGCAGCGTCAAATTTTCCTATTGAGCACTTAATATTGACCAAGTGCTAACATTGAATGCTGGATCATACAATATTTATTTATTTTGAATTATTATTGTCATTATTTTTTCGTGTACATGATCCAAAATTAAAATAATTTTTGTTTAACAAAATATATTGTGAATTGTAAAAGAAAATTCTACCATATTTTTTTACTTATGTTCGTAGATGTTGCATACTTTGTAATGGTATTGAATGTTGCCAAAGTTTAGTAATTTGAAATCGGATTCTTATCGGAAAAATTATTATAATCATAAAAATGATGTCCGAAATCATTCGCCGACCATCGGAACAATGTTCACCTAAAACTAGTCCACGTGGTAATCGATCACCGGTAGTTATACCTAGACAGGATTCTACCGGAACATTAAAAACGACTATATCGTTGGGCAAAACACCTGCCATCGTTCATAGTGGACCATTCTATCTGATGAAAGAATTACCTCGTATGTAATATTTGAATTCTCTTTTAATTTGTTTAGTAACTTTTAATATATTATTTCACTAATATAGCTCCAAGTGAATTGACAGGCTCAACAAATTTACTACAATACCATAATCTCGAACATTCTTTTAATAAATTTTGTGGTCGTAAAATTAAAGATCAGCTGAGTGCATTTCTGCCAAACCTTCCCGGCAATATCGATATACCAGCATCTCAAGATGACAGTTCATTAAGAAAAATGATAGAACGTCCACCAATCACATCGATCGAGATAGTTCCATTGAATAAACAACAATTGGATTCGGCATTTCGTTTACATGTTGGTCCAGTGCCTGATCAATATCGATTCATGAACCAAACAGTACAACGCAAAAAACATAAGCATAAAAAAAGTCATAAGAATAGATCTGGTCCAAATGGACCAGGTGATTCACCATTAGGTGGACCAAACGATCATCATTCAGCTCATTTACTTTCGGATTCGAATATGAATTCCGATCTACTATCGTCTCTATCCTCTAATCGTGATCGTGATTCACATGAGATGATGATGAAAAAACATAAAAAACAAAAACGTCATGATGATGAAAAAGAACAGCGAAGAAAAAAGAAAAAGGACAAAAAGAAAAAGAAACGCCATTCTCCCGATTCACCACCATATGATCCAAATGCATCATCTTCATTGCCAATAGATGATAGTCCAATGATGTCATCATCTGTACCATCATCAGTGATGATAGGTGGTGGTCCAGGAACACCATCAAATCCAACGGGCAATAATGGTCTAACCTCAACATCATCTAATCATCAATCATCAAACGCATCAATCACTGGGCCACAACAGCCATCATCAGCATCATCAATTACCACATTGCAACATTCAAGCTCATCATTGAATAATAATATCAATGGCAGTTCTTCTGGGCGGCCATTATTGTAAAATCATTCATCTATAATGTGGACCTCATTGTATAAAAAAAAAAAAAAAAAATTCTCAAAATGAAAATCTGTATGATTATGAAATGTAATGAAATTTTTTTTTCTTTACATAAGCATTTCGTCATTTTTTCTTATAAATAAAAAATATATAACAAAAATTTTTTCTCATTTGGTTTTCTCGTTGCTTACATCTTAATTAATCAATACACAAATAAATACAAGGATTGTGTCATGGATGTGTTTGTGTGTGTGTGTGTGTCATGATCAATTACGTTCAATAATAATAATATTACAATGAAACGAAAAAAAATGATGTATGAATAATTTAGATATATAGGCGATAAAATAAATCGGACAGCAAATCAACAAGTGTGGGTGTGTTTCAAGTCAAATCAAGGGATGAGTGAATATTCTAAATATATTTTAAAAAAATAATCATGATTGCTGGTGTGGACAAGGTTATTGAAGGGGATGAATAAACTGATCATGCGAAGAAAAGAAAAAAAAATAAACTGAAGACATGTTAAAATCATTTTCCTAACACGATAGTTTTGTCATGATTTGCAGGATGTGAATATGCTATGCACAAAAGCGTGTGTCAACAAACAAACAAAAAATGTGTTTAATGTCGAATCGAAGAGAAAACAAAGAAATGAAAGATTAATGTTTTGAACACTATTTTGTGGAAGAATTTTCATTTCGTTTCGAAGACGATGATGCGGATGATAATGACTATTTCGGTAGTGGTGTTGTGGTAGTCGGTATAAGATGCGAATGAGAATGGTGATTTTGATTTAGATGTATATTATTGTTAGAATCTTTGGCATTAGAATCGACTGTTGTTCCACATGTATTCGTTGTCGTGGTTTTCATCATGCTTGATGATCCATTCAATTGTTCAGAAAACAATCTGAATGGTTTATAATCCATATTTTGTTTCAATATTGAATCAACAATAAAGTTAGAGTTGACAATTTCTATTTTGTACATAACAAAAACAAGTTAGCTTTAAATGTATGCTACATGATAATACATGCATAAAACTTACCAACTTGTGGATGTTGAATTAAATAATCAGCTAGCAAAAGAAGATCTGTTTCACAAGTGATTATGACGATTTTTATCGGCCATTTTCGTCCATCGTTTTGTTCGAATAAATGCATTAATTGTCGACGATTAGGCATACGTTTCATAACCGCTTGGCCACCGTTTGCCTCGATAATTTGTATCAATATAGGAGGCGCTGGAATGAGGCTTGGTGTTAATAAGAACAGAATATCATTAAATAGATCAGCACGACGTCGTTCCCAGGATTTACATAAATTTAACTGATACGTTTGAAATATAAGTGATGATGATGATGATGAAGCCGATGATAATGATGACGACGAAGTGGATGATGAGTTAGATCTTTGATCTTCTATGTTTGTCATTGTGACCTGTTGATCTTGTACATTATCGTCCTGATGATTATCATCAGCTGCCCGTACATATTCGAATTGTTGTTCGGATAAAAAATATTCAGCTTTTGATGATTTATCTAGCCAGTCACTATTGACCATATACTGTGTACGAGCAAAGGCACATAGGAAATTTATAGAAATTTTCGGCAATAGTGTACGATTCCATTCTGAACCAATAACCAAATGTGTTGCCTTGAGGCAATCAGCTGGTTGTTGAACAATACGACCACCAAGATTTTGTATGATTTGTTTATAATGTTCATATTGACCAGGTCGACGAAGTAATCCAGCTAACAAGATGACATATTCATTTGATGGTCGCAATTGTTGCTTTAATTTCAATTGTACTTTTTGTTGATTCAAATCTAACGGAACTTTAAATTCTGAACAATTCGTTTCATTTGGTAATGGTGAAGATGATGATAATACTACAATATCATCGACACTCATGTCATGAATGTTTGAGCTGTTATTTGAATCACTGTTTGTTCCATTCATCATAATCATTGGAAGAGTACCATTATTCGGTGTATTATTTGATATTGATGATCCATAAAAGCTATCATTCGTTTGACAGCTGTTCTCTTCTTCGTGGTTGATAAGGTTTAAATTCTCCGATTCTGACTTGGCCAAAATATTATCTAACGAAGACATTATTACTTCTTTCACTATTGATTGATGATCTTCATTATCATCTTCGGTTTTAAATCGTTTTGTTGACATGAGCAAATCACCATCCGGATCATCAATATTCATATGGTCACCATTTGTCAGGGCACTTTTGATCACATTTCCAATGTCAGCATCTTCCAATGATCTTTTCGTACCATGTCGAATAAAATCAGAGGCATTATGTTCATCATTATTCGATGTGACTTCACCATTCACTTTTTTATCAATTTCTTTATTTTCTTTGGCATTAGATGCTGATAATTGCTCTTCATTATCTATCGGGTTAGAATCAGTTTTTTGATCATTTGGTTTTTCTTGTCTCTTTCGATCTTCTAGTTGTTTGACCATTTCTTGATGTTTAACAAGATCATTTTCATCATATTTGATCGGCACACGCCATGAAGACATTAAACCTTGAGCCACGTGATAGTCTAATCTGAAGGCATCTTTTTGCATTGCTGATTCCGAATTTTTTTCGGACTCTTTATTTTCTTTGCCATTCATTTTCGTTGACTGCATATTTTGATGATCAAAGATTCGATATTTCTTTGTTAGATTACCAACTGATATACAATCTCCATTGCCAAAAAGAACATCTTGTAGCCATGTAATGTTCACGACAGCCATACGCCACTCCATTGCTTTTAGATATTTTTCTCCTTCCGGCCTTTTATAAACAATTAAGAATTAATTAAAATTAAAATTAAATTTTTCATACCTTTTACAAATCAATACAGTATTCTTTTGAGTAAGATAATCTGTGTAACGAGCACCCGTTTGAACAATTAAATGTTTCAGCATTGAACGCTCATCTTGATTAAAATTTGTTACAGAGATCACCTATGAATTGAGAAATGAGATATTGAATTTTTTTTCAATCAAAAAACCATTTTATAAAACCTACATGATGTTTACAAGGCATCGTTTGTGGATTAAATGCTACAGGAAGATGATAGAAACGCCATGGTGGAAGTAATCTTCCCGATTCTAATACATCATTCAACCAGAATATTGACACATAACGATGATCACCATTTTGTTGCGGCAACATTTGCTGATATTGACAATGTGATGAACGCATTGGTAAATTTAAATGTTCGGTTATGACATGTGTCACACTACTGTTAGAAAGATCAGCAACCACTTTACCACCAAATTTTTCAATACGACGTTTCCAGCCACTAATCAAATTTGACGTGAAACGATTTTCAGCATATACAGCTGAAATATAAAAGGTACAGCCAATTAAACAACTTTTAGCTCCAATAAGAGATCCATGTCGTGTTTCATGTCCATAAAAACGTATGGCTAATGATTGCATATGTTGTTGCTGAAGTGATGATGTAGGGTTTTGTTGCGCGGCTCCTTGTTGATGATGAAATGGAATCATTGTTCTATGTGAATGTGGATGTTGCATATGAGGAGGAGGATGATGATATGGCGTATGTTGTTGATGAGAATTAGGACCAAATGATTGACGAACATGTCCAAGATGTTGGTTAGGAGGAGGATGTGGTTGAATGGCATGGTGATGAGATGATGAACCAGTTACATTCGAATGCTGTGAATGATGTTGATTGAAAGATTGCATGGGTGAAAGTATCTGATTTGAATGATGCATAGAAGAAAATGAAAGATTAGGATTAGGTACAACCGGGTAATTATGTAAATGTCCAGATAAATGATGTAATGCTGATGTTGGACTTGGTGTTGAAGGCGTAGAACCACCAGTTGGGAGAGGTGATGATGATGCCGATGAATGTTGAAAGGTACTGGTTTTTCCGGGAATGGCCGGTGAACTACGTACAGGCGAATGCTGTGATGGTATATGATGAGGTGAAGGATGAGGATAACGTTGACCCATGTGAATTGGTTGTGGACCGATCATTGGCCGTTGTTGCTGTGAATAATGTGCATGTTGATTATGAGAATTATATAAACCGACGGCCTGTTGTTGTTGACTAGGTAACATCGATGATGATTGCGGTTGGCCACCATAATGTTGACCAGGATGTTGATTATGTAACGAAGGTTGATCCGCTTGTTGATGAACTGGTGAATGATTCATCTATTTGAAACAATGGCAAATGAATAATAATGATGATTAATTTTAAGACTGTTAATCTACAAAATCTAATCTTAAAAAGACCCAAACCAAATAAAAAAAATAAATCATGCATTTAAAAATCAACAATCAAAATCATGCAGGTATAATGCATGCAATGGCACAGGTATACAAGGCATAATGTGTCCAAAGGAAATTTTTTGAAATGGTTCCCTTTCAATGAACGATGAATTCGTAGCAATAGTAGAAAGGGTTGGTTATTGAATTGAAGGTAATCTTACCACATTGTTTGTCGCTCCAGAATTATTCACATTATTACTATTGTTAGGCGAACACACAGTTACTGGTTGCAAGGTAATCTTTGAGTTTTGATGATTATGTAATGACGGTGATGATGGTGATGATGATGAACCACAGGATGCCGATGATGGCGTGATCACAGTGGTTACCGGATTGGTATCACTGCTATTTCGATTCTGTTGTTGTAGTTGTGAATTCAATCGATTATTCAATAGATTGGCTAATGCTGTTTTGGTTTTTTCATTCACCACTGATGACGACGATGATGAAATTGCCACCGAAACTGGTGCAGGTGTTCCAGGACTGGATGATTGTTGTTGATGATGATTGGGCGAGGGAGTGGATGATGGATTCGTATTCGTTACCATTATTTGTGTTTTGATCGCTGACTGTGGTAAATTATTAACTAAAGATTGTTGCTGAGATGATGCTATCGACAATTGAATCATATTAGAATTATTGTTTGGACTATTCATTGCCTGTATTGAAACCATTGGTGATTGTTGACTATGAATGCCGCTGTTTGCTGATTGCTGTACAGCGATAGTAGGGTCCTGTTGATGTTGTTGTGGACTATGATTAATATTAGCTCTAACCTTATTATTCATCAACAATGATGATGATAGATCATAAAATTGTTGCTGTTGTTGTTGCGGTGGTTGATTTGAAGAATTAGGCAGCATCGGTTTAGCCATCATTCGAATCATTTGTCCGGGTGGCACGTGTTGTTGCTGCTGAAGTGGAAATCTATGTTGTGGTGGCTGAATTGGCGGCCGGATCCAAGCCTGTTGCTGAACTCCAGGAGGAATTACTTGCGGTCTTGGATACTGTTGTTGTTGTTGTTGCTGATTGTAATCTGGTTGCGACCATCTTTGTTGCTGTTGTTGTTGTTGTTGTTGTCGAATGAATTGAATTTGCTGTGGAGTCATTGGTTGTGGTCCACCTGTAGGTGTTTGTGGTGGTCTTGTTGACATTTGTTGCATTGTATGACCTGTTAGTCCCATTTGTTGCTCTTGTTGAGAAGGATATGGTTGCATGGGTCTCATCATCATTCCGGTAGGTCGTGTTTGTTGTTGTTGCTGTGGTAGACCACCATTAGCATTATTCGGAATCATCATACCGGGTCTGATTCCAGGTTTAGGTTGTTGGACATAATTCATCATAGTCGGTCCACCACTAGATGGTGATTGACAAACAGGATGAGATTGTACGGGTGATTGTTGATTACTACTCATGATTTGTTGCTGTTGCTGTTGCTGCTGCGGTGGAACTGAAATCCTCAACATTGACATCCGTTGTTGGTTTTGAAGCTGAGGTGGATGTGAAGGAATATTCGGTGACATTGGTGATTGATGATCTCCTGTATAATTTGGTTGATTGGCAAACTGTTGCGGCTGTTGTTGCGGTGGTTGAATCATTCGAACCATTTGTTGTTGTTGTGGTTGATTTGTTTTATTCGTTTGGTTATTTACCATATATTGCTGTGATTGTTGTGGTCCACCAGGAACCATTTGTGGAGGTCTAGTAACATATTGTTGTTGCTTCGGAATCACTTGCCTTGGACAAAATTGTTGCTGCTGTGCATTCGGAGGAAATTGGGCTTGCTGTGGTTTTTGAGGGCGATATTGTTGTAGCATCATTCCTGAATTTGAGGGTGGAGACACTATTTTTTGCGACATCATTTGATGCTGTTGTGCTCCAGAAACATATTTTCCTCGATACTGTTGTTGATTCTGCTGTTGATACATTGCCGATTGCTGCTGTTGAATGTAGACTTGTTGTGGACCAGATGATTGATTGGGTAGCATTTGCGACGTATATTGTTGGCCAGAAGCTTGTTGAGGATGCGGATAAGATGAACCAGCAGCCTGATGAGTCGACATCAATTGCTGCTGTTGTTGTTGTTGCTGCTGCTGCTGACCCATTGGAGGCACTATTTTTCTCTGAGCTTGTTGCGATTGCTGCACTATATTCTGTTGTAATTGAGGCCCTGGTTTTTGACTTTTGATTGCATGGACCAATGGTTGACGAATTTGTTGTTGGAATTGATGCATCGGCAATCGTTGTGGATGTTGATTCGGCGACTGTTGCATCATTTGAGCATTTGGAGCATTGTTGTTTAGCATCGCTTGTTGTGGTGATTGATGTCGAATCGGTTGATGAGAATGATACTGTTTTGATGCTAATAATGATTGTGATTGGACATGAGATTGTTGTGATGGTTGTGAATGCTGAGAATAATGAGGCACTGGAGCTGTTGAGGCTGGAACTAACGAAGGCTTTGTTGGTTGTGATGTAGATGATGGTGATGATAATGTAGGCGGTAGTGAATGCAACGAAGATTCTATCATGGTGGTTGTGGTCATAGTTATGGGCACATCATTTGAAGATTTTTTCGCCGTTACCACGGCTTCAGTTGAAATGGACATGGTAACCGATTTGGTTGCTGGCGTTGCATTTGTCAGTGATGTTTTTGAATTATCGTAATCTTGCTGCTGTTCAGATTTTATCGAATGCTTAATGGTCATTGTATTTGATGACTTGGCATTTTTCATTGAAGAATTTCGTCCATGTACATTTTGATGATAATCAATCAACAACCTGGGATGATAGCGTTTCTCGTCGCATAGTTTTTGTTGTTGAATTGAATCGATAATCCAATCTGGTGTAACTATATGAATTTTTCCAGATGATTCTTTCATAGCTAATTCATATTTTTTTCCAAAAATTTTTGTCGTCAACAAATGTGTGCAAGTATGATCGAAATGTAATTGAAATTTTCCCCCATAATAGCTTAGCATTGACCATAGATTTTTCAAATCATTCAATGAAACCTGGCTAGCACAGGCAACAATGTTTGAAAATAATCGATTGCATCGATCATTGTTCGAATCGATCAATATGAATGGTTCGATAGGAAGCATTCGGTTGGCACGTAATGAAAGCCAAACCCATTGACTCTGAAATATTTTAATCGAATAAAAAATATTTTAGAGAATGTAAAAAATTCGAAAAAAAATTCATCACTCACAGTAAGGACTGGTTTTTCATAGATATCGATTGCTTCGCTAACACTTGGATGATCAGGATCATCTGCGATAAAATATGTTGCAGAATCAGATAGATAATTTAGAAACTTTGCACCATGTCCGACCATAATTTTTTTCATCTTTATAAAAAGTAAAAATAAGAAAAAAATTTTTAAAGTGATGAAAAAATAGCCAAATTATACCTTATCAGAATCGGAAACAGTCTCACAGAGAGAGAATTTGACATGTTCAAATAGATCAGCTGATGCATGTTGATCTAATATTTCATCAATATCACCATTATTATCATTATAATTTTGATCATAATTTGTCAATTGATGTGTCTGAAATTGAACATTGCCATCGGTATCGTTTGCTGTTGTTATAGTTGTCGTCGTTGATGTAATGCTGCTGGACAACAATTTATCCAAATCTTCTACTTGTACATCATCATCAGGATTTGAACATAATGCATCCATATTTTGGTCATTTCCAAGAAGAAATTCTTCGGACAAAACTTCAACAATTGCCGTATGTTCATCTGCGCATGGTTGTAATATTTTTTCTTCATCTTCATCATTAAGTAATTTCGAATCAATATGATGATGTTCATTATTTTTATTGGAGGCAGTTGATGTTAATGTTTCCGTTATCGTGGTCGTTAAAGATGATGATAATTTTGTTGATGAACAAGAATATTCCATCGGCTGTTGATCGTTTATTGACAATGGAATATTCTGTGAAGATGAAGTTAAAGGCATCTGATTGGAAGTTTTATAATTATAATGTCCATCCAATAATGGCGGTGGTGGTGTGGATGATGAGATCATCGATGATGATGACGAGGAGGAGGATGATGATGATGATGATGATAATGATGTATGATGCGATTGAATCGAAGAATCAACATCATGAAGCTCATTAATATTATTTTTATTATTATTATTATACGAATTATTGTTATTGTTATTTGACATTATTAATTTTGATTCATTTAGCTCATCTATATCCCGTTTTTCATCATTACAATTGGTTTCCAATGATGATTGCTGTTGCAATCGATGATCGCGTTCATCAGTAATTGAATTCATTACAGGATGATGAAGAATAGATTGATGGTGTTCCTGAAATTCTTGGACGGTATCGTTATCATTAATAGAATTATGGTTATTTTTATCATTGCAAGAAACAATGTCTGCTGTAACGGGATTCATTGACTGTATTTCAACAACATTTTCACTATTATTATTATCAATTGTGATCTGCTCGATTTTATTTTCAATCACAATGTTTGGTAAAGACTGTTGTGATGTCCTTGATACAGGATCGTTTTCATTGCTTGTTTTCACATGAATATCTGACGATGACGATTGTGTATCAATTTGCATTGCATTAATTTCATCATTAATCTTAGTGATGATCATATTCGTATCGGATGATGATAAATCCGGAGGAACATTCATATTCACATTATCATTTTTGATTATCGTCATCATTGTTGCTGTTTTTGTCGCTGGTTGTTGTTGATTATCACAGAATTCTTCAACATCATCATCACCATCATTATTAACATTATTTTCAATTTTAAGAACAGAACATTCTTCTTTATGTGCAATGATCGAAGAACAACAATCGATAGAGGATGTTGAGATTGCCACCGATGTTGGTATTTTAACATTATCATCACCATCATTTTGGTCTGATGTTGATGCCGACGTTACCGTCGTCGTTGACGATGAATTAGCTGATGATTCTTCAGCCATCCTACGAATCTTGTAGGATTTTTTTTATTTTTAAATGAATGGTCGAATATAATTATTATAGTTGCTTATAATAATGAACAATCATATGAATAATTGTTGTGTCAATTATATTTTGATTATGAAGAATAAAAACGAAAAAATTGCAACATGTATTCAAATTCGCCATCATCATCACTTTAATCTTAATTGATCAAATGATAAAATTATTATCATTTATAAATACATATCAAACACAAATACACACATATAAAACCAAAATATACGGTTTATATCAGATGAAATAAAACTGAATAAAAAAAAAACACACAAAAACAAGAGAAAACAATAAATGAAACCGAATTTTTTCAATCCATTCTCAATTCGGATCAATTAGAAATAAACAAAAACAAAGAATTTCAAAATCATAATAATTTATCAGATTCTGGAATCAACAAATTGATGAACGAATTAATTGATGTAAAAAAAAATATCGAATGGAACAAATTGATGATGATGGTAATGGTAAACCAGTCATATGAACCAACAAACCAATAGAACCGTATTATAGTGTGTATGTATGGTTGGTTCGTGATCACAGCCAAAGGGAAGAGAGATAGAGGGAGAACATCAACAACAACAACAACATCATCATCATCATCATCATCAACCAGCAACAGCAGCAGCAGCAGCAACAACAACAACAACAACATCAACATCACCATAAGAATATATAAAAAAATAGTAGTGGTTTTTTTCATGCCAGTAGTAGTAGGTGCAAATTCTATAAGCTATATATGCTACTACCATTTTTGCCAGAAATAAAAAATGATGCGAATTACAGTGCACATGCGTATTATGATATAGCATCTATTTTGTTATTAAAAAAAAAAGATATATTTGTGCGTAGGTGTTGTTTGGTAATAGTAGTGGCCTAACTATTTTTACTCGAACCGCTAGTTTTTCGAAAAAGGCGCCTTCCTTTTTTTTCTTTATTTTTTCATCTAATAAATTTTGCTAGGTCGATGATTGATAGATTTATGAGAATAGTTACAAAAAATGAACATAGATGGCATTTTTTTATATTGAAATGATGAAATTGTTTTAATTCGTTTTAAAAAAAACAAAATTTAAGAGGTGTTTCATTTTGTTATAAAACTTTCTGTTATATCTAATATTATCACGGAATATTTCAATCATTTTGATGTAATAATTCCTGAGCAATTCTAGATATTTGTTCATATGCATTCGAACAATGTCGCTGTAAGATATCATCAAGTGTGCGATTTCCAATATCCAGAATGACGTTTTTGATATTTTTTAAATGATTTTGCAATAAAATGGCTGATTCATGATCAACACCTTTGAGAAGTAGATACAGGAATAAAACAGCAGCTCGACGGACTTCTAATTCCGGATCCGTCGTTATTATTTGTTCGATCATTGAAATTAATTCAACCATGTATTTGGGCAATCCGTAACGAAATCTGCGACAAAATTCTCCCAAACATGACAGGCAACTAATTCGAATGGCAGGTTCGGATGATTTTATGCCCAAAAGCATTCCATTAATGAATTGGGATGAATAATGATGGGCAAAATCACCGATCGAATAAGTTAACTGAATGATTGTTTCACCAATTTTAAGACGATCAGATAATGGTCGAGTCTCTGTAGATATTAATTCATCAATTAAAATGGGCAGAATTCGGTCAGTATGACGTATGGCAAACGCTGACAAAGTTCTAATCACTGCTAGGTAAAGATAGGATTCTGAATCATGAAGAATTTTTTTCACTTCGGAAATCACTTGATCAAACATGACGGAAATTGATGGATGTCGATTCAATACTAATTTTCTGATTATGTTTAATGCATGTGCTTGTCCGGGCATAAAATCATTGTTTTGAAGATCTTTCAACGCTAATTGTAATGGAAGTAAATTTGAACAACTATCATGCTGTTGATTATGGTCGACAATATCTTTTTTCGTATAAAGTTTTTCAAATCTATGGTATAAATTTTCAGAAAGATCATGATCTTCAAGTGATAACCATTTTAATGTCCGGCTATTATGTAAAAGAATACCGATTGCATTGTGACAAGGATGTAGGTCATTCAAGATTGTCATAACCGATTGATTTGATTCCTCAATAGACAATGAATAAGGTTTGATAATATCTGAATTTGTTTCAATTTTTTCAATTAGAATGGATAATACACGTAAACAAATCGATAATGTTTCAAGCCATATCTGAATATTTTGCTGAAAATCTTCTAAATCTTCATCATCGTTTTGTTCATCAGGGATCTGTATGATTTTTTGAACAATTCGTTCTAATGTATTATTTAAAAATTGAATGGTTTTTTGACTGGAAATAATGAATGCTTCACGTTCATCTTGTTCACGTTTAGATATAGTCTGTCCGAATAGACGATCACCAAATGGTCCTATTAAAAATAGTACAACTGTGGATGGATTTTTATTCATCAATTGTTCCAAAAGTAGGAAGAAAAAATTAAAACGAAAATCGATGGCCATCTGATCTAATATCCAAAGTATGAATGTTGCCAATAGATTTATTTGTGCCAATGAATCAACAGGTTCTTTACATTTATCTGAATTTTGATTGATTTTTATTCGATGATCTATTCTGTTTGATGATGATTGATCAATTTCTATACGAAAATGATTTATCCACAATGATTGTTGTGAACATATACAATCATCAAGCATATATATTGATTTGGGTATTTCACGCAACATTTCTATGATAAGTTTTTTACTATCTTCCTTCAAAGGTATATGAAGAATTTGATTTTTTTCTATTTCAAATTGAAATCTTAGATAAAAAATGGCGGGAAAAAAATCTGATAATTTCAACAAACAAGATCGGTATGAAATCAAACGATAAATGATTTTGATTGTTTCTTCGATGGAAAATTCATGTTCCATACTATTAAAAGATTTTATTGTCGTATCAAATACCATTTTCTGGATTAATGATGGATCGATTTGATTTAATGTATCAAGCAACATAGCAGCAAATTGATAATAAATTTGCGGTGAATGTTGGTGACTACCAGAATGATCTGATTTTAAAAGTTCAAATAATAATTGTGTAATGATTTTTTGTCGATAGGGTAATTTTTGTCGGACAGGAAGATTTACAACCATAGTAACCATTGCTTGCAAACGATGAACAATCGTAGTTTCACGTTCCGATTGGCGATCCGAATCTAATGTGGCATCGATTAATAATTTTAGACCACCTGAAACGATTAAATGATTACGAAACATATTCGAAATGATATGGAATAATTTTTTTGATTCAGAATTATGACCACCATGTTGTGACGATATGGCTAACAATGCAACGAAATTACGTATAACTAATAAGCGACATGTTTGATCATTGAAATGATTTTCAAGAAATTTAGTTTCCAACTGATTCGTTATTGATTGTAATTCTTCGCTGAGATTCACATTTGATGATTGTGATCGGTAAATAGTGGACAAAGCCAACAAAATTGCAAAACAATCTTTACGCAATGTTTGTATGATTAGTTTCACACAATAATGTTGCTGTAAGTTTTCATTTTCGATCAACAAAAGCTGTAGATAAATCAGATAAATTGATTTCATAATGGTCAATTGTTTTTCAATATTTTCATAGTCCAATGACCATTTTATGATCCCATCATTGTTGACAAGTATGGGATTATCACATTCAACAATGATTTTAGATGATTGTTTTTCTTTTTCCATAGAATCGAATATATCATTTGACAATGAAATCGGAAATATTTTCTCAAAGTTTAATTGAGACATTGAATTGGACAAGTAAAATTTTAAAATATTTGTGAATGATAAACGTAATGAATGACATAAGGATAATCGTATCAATGATTCTTCATTGGTGCTCAATGTTTTGGCTAGTGAAGATATCTCAGTTTCATGTGAAAAATGATTGACATTCATTTGGTTGTCCATAAGACGATTAACAATCACCAGACCAACCACTGTTTTAGTATGTATCATAATCAATGACAATCTGATGACCACCGCTTGTAGTTGTCTTATTTCATAATTATTCGTGCAACTGGTATTTGTTTTTGTCGTTGATAACGAACTTGTTGTTTGACATTCATTATTATTTGACAATAAAGTTTCAACATTGTTTCTCAGATTTTCCACTAATTTGACAAACGATTCAATCAAAGTTCGAAATTGTAGCTCCTGTTGTTGTCGATGGCCACCATGATCGTCGAAATGTTCACATGAAATTGATTCTTCGATTCTTTCATTCAGCAAATCAATTTCGGACAATTTACTCGTATACCATTCGTTCGAATTTATTATGTCAATGTCATTGTTATTGACCAAATTGATCCATTTAGCAAGAATTTGCATAAAATTTTCAATATTAGCCATTATCAAACGAATTCAAAAACATGACAAGAAATCAACACATGGAAAACATTGACATAAACACATTGTATAAACTTGGTGATGAAAAAGTATTCCAATAGCAATACCTACAATATATGAACAGAGAAAAAATTTTCTAAATTTAAATTCTATAGAATTGGATTTCGGTCATTTGCCTGATTTTTTATTCATTTCATTCATCATAATAATAATAATAATATGACTATGTTGTAAGAGAAAGATTTTTTTTATTGCAAAAAATGTTCTTGTCCATAAAGTTTTTTTTTGTTTTGTTTTCCAGAAATTCGTATTTTGTTGTTGTGAACTAAAGAGGGGAGAGAAAATTTTTTTTTATGGCGAGAAATTGGTGGTCGGCATATTCGATTCTCTGATGATGATGATGCCGATGTCGGTGCTTTTCAATGATGATTTTGTTGTTTTTAAATATTTTTTTTTGTTACCCCAACCCAGTTGTTCAACTTGTTACTTCGAAAAAAAATGTGGAATTTGTTTTTATTTTTTGTTGTTATTGTTGTTGTTGTTTTGACTTGGTCTAAACATTGATTAGTTAAATGAATATAAAACATATAAAAGAAAAAATATTTAACAAACACAATCAAGGTTCGAAAAACGAGTAAGATTGAGCAATTAAAATTTGAAGCCTTTGCAATATATAGTGTGTGTGTGTGTTGGTTAGTAAATGAGCGAACCATTTTTTCGAAAAACGATCAGATACTTATAACGAAAAATTTTTGTGTGAAAAAAAAACTTTGAGGTCGGTTTATTATGACGATGATAATGATGATGGTCATCAATGATGAAATTTTTTTTTTGTATGATTTTTAAACAACTAAAGCAAAGAGAGAGAGAGCGAGAAAACGGTGCAAAAATGTCTGAAATGTCATGAAAATTATTTTTCAGAATATAAAGTTTCATGTGCGTGAAATAAAAAGTGGAAAGAAGTGAGAAAGAATATTACCTGACTACCTATCTCTCTCTCTCTTTCTCTCACTAATAAATTTGAAATAACAATTTCTCTAAAGCGAAAACAAGTCCTAGGAAATTTTTTTTTGTTTGTGTGTGGCGCGAGCGGTTGCAAAAATTGATCGTTTGATTTTGATGAATCGAATGAATTTTTTTTTTCGTTCCTATCTTGTTAACGTAGAAAAAACGAATTCGAATGATCGCCAATAATATTTGGCTTCTTCATCAACACACACACACACACACACACACACACACACACAATTCGGCGGCAGCTTTTGACCCAGAAAACGATTCAACAACAACAACAAAAAAAAGGGGACCAGGTGTGGTATATACCTTATGTGTTTGTGTGTCGTTTGGTACATTTTGGTCGGTTGGTCAATCAACCAATACACATAACCACCATAAAGTGAAAAAAAACGATGACGATGAACGATGATTAAAACATTCACTATTGGCGACCACCAATCGATATAAATTTCAACAATATGCTAACTAGAGAACCTGAAGCCTTGATTTTGCATAGCCCCACAAATTATTAAGAAGAAGACGAGAAAAACCCAGGAGGTTTCATCGGGTTTTTTCTCACTCGATCGTTTTCTCCATTTGGAACTTGTTGTTCATTGATTATTGTTGTTGTTGTTGTTGATGATGATGATGATCAAGACATAGCCGTCGTCGTCATTGTTGTTATTGGGTTTGGTCAAAAACCATTACCCTTTTATTTTCGGTCTCAATACCCCCCAATTCTTTATCAATTTGACCCAGGACCATTAATTAGGCCCAACATACAAATATACATGTCATGAAAAGAAAAACATTCACCATGTTTATGTTGTTCACAAATGATTAATATGTGGTGGTGGTGGTTGGGGATGAAGGTGGAAAATTCGAGGCGAAAAAGTTTATCCTTTCATATCTGTTTTTTAGCTCTATAAACTTGAAGTTTTTGTTCTTTTTTTTGTGTGTGTGTGTGTTGAAATGATTCGATTCGTGAGAAATAGAATCTTTAAATGAAGCCAATTTTCTGCCCAATTTTCTTTTCACCATAGTGTGTGTGTTTTGTTTGTGTGTGTCCAGTGTGTGTGTGTTGTCGGCAATTCGGGTCCTGGTAATAACAGGTTCATTTAGTAACAATAACAACAACAACAACAACAACAAAAAAACACTGAATATTTTTTTTAAAAAAGACATTGAGACACCACATAGAGATTCCTGAAACAAATGAAATCAATCAACCGTATTTTTTTCTATTTTGTTTTGTTTTGATTGATATAAGAAAATTATATGACTTGATTATTTCAAAAACATTCAATCCAATCCATTAATATTCGAATAAGTACCGATGATGATGATGACAGGTAACGATTTTTTTTCTGACATCTTTATTTTGGAAAAATTGGCGATGAAAATTGATCCATGAATTGAAAAAAAATGTTTTCGGTTAAATGAACGTTGTTTTTTGCAATCAAATTATTGTTTGCTAAATCTCAAATGAATTTTTGTTCTTTGAGATGGGTGTGGGCGGTGTTGAAAAAAAAGGTGTGTGTGGTCTTATTTTTGTCGATCATAATGATCATCAGAAACGTAGTCATCATCATCACCATCATCATCATATACAAAAAAAATTCTTTTCACAGAACAATGTTAAACAAAAATAATTTTCAACTCTTTTTTAAACATTTTTTTTCTGTTATTGTTATTTTCCGAATCGTTACTGTCATTTGACAATCGACTACCTATCGAGGTTTATGTTTGTTGTTGTTGTTGTTTGTTATTGTTATTGTTAATATTACTTCAAATTACCTGGTCATTTTTCAATCAAATTCCAAAATACCTTTTTAATATCCAAGTCGTTTCTCCTATATAGGCCCTAATATAGACAAGAAAAAAAAATCATGGGCCAAACCTTTGTTGTTCATTCTTTGAATTCTCTTCTTGATCACACACACACACACACACGCACCAACACAAACTGTTAAATAAAATAAGAAGTGAAAAATTGGGTCCTGGAACAAACAGGTAAAACATTTTCAATTTTTTTTTATTCCATTCATTTGAAAATTGGTGAAAGAAAAAAAAGAAGCCGCCAAAGTTTTTGTCTCTATGTGTGTGTGTGTGTGTGTGTGTGTGTTTTTTGACATAAGAATTTTTTTTTTTTTTTTGATTAGAAAGTTTTGAATAAAAAAATGTTCTTTTTTCCCAGTGATAGATTATGAAAAAAAGGAGAACCATTCATATTCTTTCTTCTTACCATTTTGATTGTCGACATTTGACATAATGAATAAGATGAATAGAAATATATCAATAGAAATGATAGAAAATGAAGCAAAGTTTCAAATATCATCGTTATGGTTATGGTCGTCTTTGTCTTTTTTGTTCAACTGGGTTAAATTGGGTTTCTCTTTTGGAATTTAAATTCATTTTCATTGTATTACCTTTTTAACATTCGGATTTCATGTGTATTAGATTATAGATGTGTTTATGTGTGTCTGATCACTTAGATAATCTGATCGCATTTTATACTGATTTACCTCTGGTTATGGTCCGATGATATTTTAAAAATAAATACATTTATTTCTTCTTATGTGGCTTTGCTTTAAAAAAAAAATAATTATCATAACCATAATAATTGATTATGAATGAAAGCTGACACGAGCTATGAATGAATGATCATTAAAAAGGGACGATTAATTCTAGCCAAATTTGGTTTCAAACAATATTAACACAGAATTCATCTTAGACATAGCAGATAGATTATTAGGTTCGTAGCCATGATGATGTTTTGTTCGTTTTTTTTCTGTCAATTTTTTTTCCTTGGTTCTGCTACTGGTGTTTGAAAAAAAAAAAAATTGTTTTGAAATTTGTTTTTTCATCTTCAAGTTTTTTTTTGCTTTGCTTTGCTTTCATTTACTCATTCAATTCAATTCACTGTTCATTGATGCGAATCATAATGTTACCTTGTTGGTTTGTTAATTGTACAATTCCATTTCGTTCGTTCATCCATCCAACCGACAGATCTACACACAATAAACACACACACATTTTGAAAAATGGTCTTCATATGTATTTGGTTATCGGTATCGGGTCTTATTTTATTTTATTTTTGTTTCGTTTTTCATTTACCTGATTATATCACACACACACACAAAAAAAGTCAAATAAAATGAATGACATACAAAACTACCTGAACAATCAATTGCTTACGAAGTGGAATTAGAAAAAAAAATTTTCTTTTTCTTTAAGAAAAAAAATAATAGCCATAAAAATAGAAAATGATGATGACGATGAACCAAATAAGAAGAATGATTACTTACATACATACACACACACAAACACACGGTTCAGTGAATCTAAATGATGATGATGATCATCATCATCTACCAATGAGGACTTGTGATTCTATCTATCTATCTTTGATTTGTTTTTTTTTCTTTATATTGTCTTTTTTTTTGTTCTTATTCCAGTGTGGATATTGCCCACCATTCAAATTATCTTCAAATCGGGATTCTTGTATAGCCAAATTAGTCAAAAGTTAAATTACCTTTGGCAAGATGTAAATTTAATTACATCTTGAAATTAAATTCAAGATTCTATGGAATTTTATCATTTACAAAAATAATAGAATTTCTCAATGCCACAAAAATGATTGGAAGAACATGAAAAAAAATTTAATTGATCAATCTAAGTTGAAGATAAAGAGCGATAAATATAGTCAAGAGAGAGAGAGAGAGAGAAGGAATTTATCATACAAAATGTGAAATAATTTGTCATAATTGAATTATACTTTGATTATTTCTGTTGTTTATGTATGTATGTACGATAGAAAAAATATCTATATAAAGGATGTGTTTGTTTATTATATGTGTGAAAATAAAAGGATCAAAGGCTGAATCGGTATTTATAATCAATTTAAATAGTATAATACATAATACAATATAATTGCATAAATTACTTGCTAAAAGGAATTGAATTGAATGATTGAATGTATGAAATTGAAAGATAATAAAAGATGAGGATTAGTTAATGAAGAAAATGAAATTATGATCATTCATTGATTATCAAAATCAATGGATTTCTATATATTTATACATAATAATAATGGTTGATAATTAGAAGAAAAAACATAAAAGAAATGAAATTAATGATGAATGATAAATGCAGGGTATTTGAGAAAAGTATGAATAAATAATGAAGAATAGTATATAAATCAATAGAAAAAATTGTATTCAATGATTTTTGTGTGTAGAGAAAAAGAGAAAACGAATGATTAACAAAACGAATTATTTTATAACATTATCGATTGCTAGTTGAATTTTTTTTTTAAAAATTTTCTTGATTGGTTGATCAGTAGATTTGTAGCATTTCATTTTATTTATTGATTTGATTCCATAAACTGTTGTTTTATCGTTATCTGTCATTTGTACTATATTCCAGATCCTAAAAATGGAAAAATAAAGAAGAAATTTCGAAAAAAAAACATTTAAATTTTAGAATTTTATTTTTACATGTTTGTCATCATTGTCTCACAATCAAATACATACCAGTAGAATATTTCCGAATTTTTTCTTCTCATCAATAATTAGATGATAATTGTGCTGTTGTTGTTGTTGATGATGATGATGATGATGATGATGATTTATATGTTTGTTTCCATTGAATGGTAATATACATTGACAATTTGCCGTTTTCCTTGTCGTTATTAATGTCAAATTATTATTATCATTATTGTTCGGTTGGCTGAACGGTAACTGCTGTTGCTGACTGAATGTTGAATAATATCCGGATTTTTTCTGATACAACAATGGCTGTGGTGGATAAATGGAAAAATCACTGTTCAGGTCTGTCGACGATGATGATCGTAACAAGGGAGTCGTCATTGATGTGGATTTCATTCTCATCTGATTTCTATATTTCGGTTTACACATGATGATATAAACAAGAATATAAATCGTCACATAATAATAGAAAAAAAAACAGTAAACACAAATGATATGAAACGGAATTAGATCATTACCACTTAATTTTATTTCAAGTGAGCAAAAAAAAAATACTACTAACCTTAGATAGGCGTTGTATGATAATAAGATTACAAATACAAATACTATGGACACTGTGATGACACCGCCAGCAATACCGGCCTCCAGGATTTTTGATTCACGTGATGCTATATTTTTAAATTAAACGTCGGAAATAAATGAGAAGAAAAAAAAATTCACATGAAAAAACAATAAAAACATTGATAAAGAAGAATAATTTCCTCTCAACACAGGAAAGTATGTTTGGCACAGAGAAAAAATTGGAACTTACGCATACCAGGATATGAACCTTCAAGATCTTTGAATTCACATCGTTGTCCCATATAGCCATTGGCACATCTAAACGACGAAAAAAAAAGAATTTGAGAATTATAGAAAAAAAAATTGAATTTCAAATTTTTTTTTCACAGTTAAAAAAAATAAACTTACTCGCAATTATACAGTATAGATTCACCGATTCGGACAGAAAAACAAGTGGCACCATTTAAACAATACCATTTTGCATATGCTTCTGGACATGCATATGTTTGGAACGTAATATTTGGACGAGTTGTTGGCGCTGGTGGACGTGGTTTTGGTGTCGACCTTGATGAACAGGATTCTGTTCATTGATTTAATAGATAAACAAACAAACAACGAAAGAAAAACATGAATGAATGTTATGAAGAATCAAAATTTAATCATCAAAAAAAATTTCAAAAAAATGAAAAAAAATAGAATGTCATTGAAATACATCCGAAATGATGATGATTCATTGCCACAACAAAAAATAAAAATAAAAGTGAGAGTTGGGTGGTGACCCTTATAAATTTTCATTCGGTTACTCATCATCATCATCATCATCTCATAAATTGGTATTTTTATTTTTACAATAAACACAAGTATATTTAAAATAAACAAAATCACAAACTGAAATGAATTAAATGAAAAAAAAAGATTCCCTGTAGCAGTTAGTTTGTGATCATCATCGCTATAGGAAATAAGGCTCAATGCGTGCAACGATGCAAAACCAATCCAAATAACCCAAGATAGCAAACAAACACACACACACACACACAACTGATGTAATCATGGACTCCCTACCAACTGATGGTGAAACGAAAAAAATAAAAGTAATGATGTAAAATCATTATACCTGTTGCACATATTTTACACACGATTCATGACAGGAAATGAAAGAAAAAACATAAAATAGATATTATATACGTACGTATACGTACGACATATGTAAATTGATGATGATGACAAAACATGAATCAATAAGAACTAACAAAATAATGAAATTACCATTATATTATATAACAACAGGAGTAAAAAGAATCATTATCATGATGACAAACACACACACACACAAAATGATCATACGTGATTCCATTTATTGAATAACCAAATGTATAATTGAATAATGAATTGATTACTGTTTGCTGTATTTTTTTTATAAGTTTGATATAACGGTCTCTTGTTTATTTTTTATTTTTCAAACATTAAATATGACCCATTAATGTATTTTTTTTATTTTTATGACTCACACTATAATCCTCTCTAGTATTATAAAAGTGATGATTTGTTTTCTTTTTTTTTTTGTTCATCCTGCTTTTCATACAAACCACCTGATCATGATCACTATTAACTTTCATTAAAAATTTACCGTTCGATCCATGTTGAATCGATCAAAAAAAAAAAAAAAAAAAACAAAACAAAAAAAAAAAAAAGCAAAAAAAAAAAAAATTAGACCATATGTCCCCTCAACACTCGGAATACAAGAGTGCAAAGTTCATACATTCAGACACATACATACATACACACACCTACAGGCACAGCACAGCTGCCGATTTAAAAAGTAGGAAAAAATTTTTTTTTTTTTTACGAAATATTCGACATCACCATACCATGTGTGTCTGTGTACGTATGTGTATTATTTTCATATGTGGATCAAAATTAACAAACTCTATCACACATGCACACACACACACACACCTGGAAATGATAAATACACAAATATATGGTCATATGAATTTTTGGGAAATTTTTATTAAAAACTTTTGGAAAAACCATTATGGCTAAGGATATCAATAATAAACATAGAATGATGAATGATAAAATAAGTTATTATACGGTGACAACAAAGTGAAATAAATAATTTTTGATTTGTTGATAATTTTCGATTCGAAGTTATCTTGACTTATGGAATTTGAAAAAAGTTCTTGAGTAAGTTTTTGTTTGTCTTGAATAAACTACTTTTCTTTCTCTCTCTCTTTTTCTACTGGTCATCATCATAAGATTTATTGATATAAAAATATAAAGAAAAACTCCCACGTACAAACTACACACACATACCTGAATAATAAGAAAAAAAATAATTAATATTTGATTTCGTTTCATATTCAATTATCAAAAAAAAAAAAAAAAAAAAAATTAAAGGGTCAAAATCATCAATTTTTCACATTTTGTTTTGCCACGAAAAATAACTCATTCAAAATTAAGTTGACAATGTTCTTTTTTTAAAATTTGAAATTATTGTCACAGGGTAAATGATAAAGGATGTATGAATGAAAATCTAATTTTATTTTTCATCTTCATGATTGTTTCTGAATGAATACTCCCACACACACACGAGGAGAGAGAGAAACAAACAAAAACACTCCTACGATCATGATTATCACAAGAGATGAAAACTTTGGAGCTATCATTTTTTTTCCTCTAAAACGTTATTATCAAACACATCATTTTTTCTTCTTCCTTATTTTATGATCAATATGACTTTTTTTTAACGATACAATTTCAATGAGTGAAAATGAATAATATCTTTATTCTGAACACACGCACAGAGAGAGAGTAGATAGAATTTAAATGATATAGAGATCCTATAGTCAGTTATATTGAAATATATCCATTAGATCGTAGTTGATAATGGTTTAAAGACGGAAGACATACTAGATTTGGTCCGGATGATGATCGTCAACGAAATACTAACAACAACATGTGTGATCCATTTGATAAGTTTTTTATTTTGTTGTTGTTGTTGTTGATGATGATGATGATGATGGTTGTTGATAGCGCAACAGCTGTCATTATCATCATCATCGTCGTCGTCGTCGTTGTTGTTGTTGTCATCAACAATATTGGAAATATCCCAAAAAAAGAATATTTACACCACATTGATTTTTATGAACTTCCACAATTATGTTATTCACATAGTCTAGCTAATTCATTTTGTTGTAAGTATAAGTGTGTGTGTGTGTGTGTGTGTGTAAATGTATATTTGAACCATATAATTGTGTATGGCACGTGCCACACTTGAGTGGGTTAAGTATATCATCATAAAGATCAATTTATTCATTTTTTTTCGTTTGTTCGAATGACACATATGTTCATTGGTCCATCTTGTACTAACGACGAAACGAAAAAAAAACTGGGCACGTGTTTTTTCAACAAAAAAAAAGAAGAAAATTTAAATGTCTTTTGATCTTTTTTTCTTCTTTCTTTCATCATTGCTCTTCTTTTTGATGGTAGTCGTTATTCATTATCGATGACCATATGACAACCAATATGGTGGTGATTGTAGTAAGATTCGGGTTTCAAAGGCTATTTTCGGTCTATCATTCATTCAACATAAACAGGCCAGAAAAAGGGCCTAACATATGCTCTTTGACCTTTTTTTTAGTTCAATGATGTGATGGGTGGGTGGGTAATTGACTTGCTAGCTAGCTGTATATTAAGGAAGATGAGGATTAGACTTTCTTGGATTACACACACTACCAAATAATAAAATGAAAAATAGTCTCAGAAATCTAAAAAGACCTAATGGACTTTGAATTCAAATGAATTTTTTTTCCGTCTATTCTTCGTGTGTGTGTGTGTGTGTGTGTGTTGTGTTGTTACATGAAACAGCAAATCAAAACAAGAGAATGAATGAAATGAAAATTCATTTATGCTTAGGAAAATACACAGAAACATATTCATTTCCACAAAAAGAATTATATAATACACATATTCATACATAAAGTCAAAGGTCATATCTATCATATCGAGCAAGTCATCATCATCATAATAATAATAATCGGTAGAATCTTTTTTATGTGAAAAGAAACAATACAATCATCATCCATGGAAACGGCAATTTTGCATCCCATAGCATATATAGGAAAATAAAAATTCGAATCGAATGTTCGATATTTGATAAGCAACAAGTCACCAAATGTGTGTGTGTTACCAAAAAATGAACATTCATTCAATAAATGAATTCAATGAATTAATACAATACACATTTAGACATATACACTTGCTTGTACATTTTTGATTCATTTTTTTTGCCCTTATTATATCTCGGTTTTTTCGTTTGTCTATACATTTAAGGTTGGTGTATGAATGTATAACACACAACAACTCAGAAGGAAATAGACGAATGGAGAATTCAAAAGCTCATTGACCGCTTCGACTGAAATGATGATGACGAAAAAAAAAATAAGAACAGAAAGGAAGAACAGAAAGAAAACAATCTCGGCGTCTTAAAGTATAAATTGGTGCCGAAAAAAAGCAACAATAACAACAACAACAACAACAAGTGGCCACATTGAATTAGCATCAGGTAGAATGAATGAATCAGTGAACCTTGAACGGACAGGACCAGATAGCCATCCATCCAGGCGGCCACTGAGCCTTGATGAATACGAAATAAACATCAAGACAAACTAGATGATGAACTAGAACAGAAAGAAAAAAAAACAAAAGAAACTTGATAATTGGCAAAAAAGATCTTTATTGTCTTTTGCAGGATAAACTTGGCTTTATGATGATGATGATGATAATGTTTGATAACAATGAAACTTTGATGATTGGAATCGACAGACAGATTCGAAACACATTTCAATTCATGTGTTTAAAATTGGAATCTTTTATTTTTTTTCTCGGTTCGATTAACCGATCAATCGGTAGTTTTTTTTTTTTTTTTTTTGATTTGATTTTATTTATTTTCAACGAAACATTATTTGTTGACATGATTGTATACATGCATTATATGTATGTGTGGTCATTGATGATGGAAAATAAAAAAAAATGGTATTCGAAATGTATATCCAATCAAAATGATCATTTGAACAATCAACCATCAATGGCCAAGATGATAATCATCCTTATCATCAAAAAAAAATTCGAATTAAGTCGTCCTCATCTTGGCTATTGTTACTGGGGTTGTTATTATTGGCCGACATCGTTTTCGGTCAAATAAACACAATAATAACATATATATACATAAGATACCTAAGAAATGTAAAGACTATTTTTTTTTTTTTTTTAATTGTATAATAAACGAACACACACACACACACCGAAAGCCGCCATCATTTCATCGATTCAAAGTGAAAACAAGGAGGATAAAATTCGAATGGATAGAATAGATAGCTGAATAGTCATGGATGTCGGCATTACAAAACATCCACAATGACCTCCATCATCATCATCATCATCATCTTTATTGCCATTATCATCGATGATTGTAATATTATCGGCGTGGTTGGTCTTTGAAAATAAAAGAAAGGAGGAGGGTGAGTATGTGATGATTATAACATACATATTGATCAAAAAAAAAAAAAAAAAATTTCAAGAACCAAATAGATATCAGTATCAAGGGAAAGCAAAAAAAAACATCGCACAAACACTCACTAATCATTTGACTTTCATTCTTTTTTATTTGTTGCGCGTGTAAAACTCGTGTACGACAGCTGATAATTTTCATTTTAATACTCCATTCCAACATCATCATCATTATCAAGACGATGTATGAAGCAAAGCATAAATTTTAGTTCCAGAAAATACATCGAATGTATGCTTTTATCTTCAAATAAAGCTTCTAGCCTTCAAAATATCTAACTTCATCATAGGTTAGCATTTCAGGACTTTACAATCATTTCCTTTATATACACACACATGCAACACACATACTACGAGGGGGTGTGCAATGGAACAAACAAGATAAAAAGTTTTTTTCCTATTTTTTAAATAGTATATATTCGCCAGATGTTCGTATAATATCCAAAAAGAACACACACACACACACAAACAAAGATAGTTGCGAATGAACACAAGTTCACGCGACTAAATAGCAGAAGCAATAGCAATAAGCGGCTACCATCGAATATGTCGATGTCCTCGTCGAGACCGTCCAACTTGAACGACGACATCATCCTTGACGATGACGACGACAATGGCAACGACATTGCATAGCAAAGAAAAAGTTGACACGAGCTTCACGCGATCAAATATGTCGTTTAAGGCTTTACACCACCACCACCACCACCACAATCAATAGCCAACCCTGCATTGAACGAAATAATATCGCATTACATACACAATAATGATAATAATAAAAAACGGTTGTTGTTGATTATGGAACTTTTTCCCCTCAATTTCATTTCCAGAAGCAAACAACAGTTTGATAAATATATCTTGATTGGTTGAATGGTATTATTTTGGCAGCAGCAGCAGCAGTATGGCAATACATATAAAAAAGGTAAGTACTGTTTTGATGGCTGGCACGTGCAATCGGAACTGGGATATGAAAAAAAGCAGCTGCATAGTTCATTTTCATTTTTTTCAGGTAAAAATATACAACATAGAGAAAGAGAGAAACAAGACAAAACAAAAGGCAAACATGATGGTTGTTGATCCTATGGTCGTCATATTCAGGTAATTGAAATTTGATGTAAAAAAAATTGTTTATATGAACATGTTATAACTATGCAATCAACAAAGAAAAAAAAATTAAGACAATGATGGCATGTGTGTTGTGTGTGTGTGTGTGTGTGTGTGTGTGTGATATATGAATATTTTTCTAGATCATTTCCTATCTTTAAAGAAATTTTTTTTTTTTTCTAATCCAGCCAGCCAGCCATCATCATAATAATCATCACACAGGATTATCATTCTATCAGTAAATGTATATAAATTGTAATTAAAATAACGAATGATGATGATTATTATTCTAACCGAATAAGCGAAAAAAAATGAAAAGTTTCAGAATATAAATAGTATGAAAAAAAGATCAAACTCTTACCGACTGTATGTAACAAACTACTGAATGAACAAAGTAGAAGCATGGTTGTTATCAATAGTGTACGATGATGATTATGTTGATGACTGTTTGATTGTCGAGAGGATAATAATAATGATGATGATGATAATGTGAATATGGATGCAGATTGCAGAAAAAAATTTAAAAGGATGGTCAAAATATGATTTTTGTTGATGGCCATTGATGACGACAATAATGTTATTTCTGGCCATGTTGCTGTTGTAACGATATTTTTTGGCGTTGGTGTTGTTCGTTTGGATGATGATGATGATGATGATGATGATGAAGATGGCTTCAAGAATAATGATGATTCTTCTTTTTGCCTTGAATAACATAGCTGTTCATCATTTGATTTGGATTTTATCATCATCAATAAATTCGTTGATAATGGTCGTCGCCGTCGTCTACGTCGCTGTCTTAAAGATGATATTGTGTAGGAGGTGTGGGAGATTTGTTGTTGTTGTTGTTGTTGTTGTTGACTGGAAATATTTGTTGCTGTTGAATTCAATGATGATAATGTTGATGTTGATATGGATGAAGAATTAGAACAATTCGGCCTCAAACATGATGACAATGATGATTCATTTTTATGTTTAGATAACGGAACTTCACCATCATCATTAACAACAACAACCGGGATCTTATTGTATAAAGAAGAATATTCAACAGAACAATGAACAGAACAAAAACAACAAGATGAAAAGGAAGAGGAAGAAGATGAGAAATTCAAAGATGATGAAGAGGAACTGGATAAAAAGCGATGACATCGATAACAATGAGAATAATTTTGATGATGATCTAATTGACTATCGAAAATTTCTTCTTGAAAAAGACGATCATTGGTTAATAATATCGTTTTTTCCTGATTGATTATTCCGTTTTCCATGTTTAGTTCATTGATTCGTGGATGATGTTGATCATTATTTCCATCATAATCATCTAAATTGGTGATAAAACAAACGAAAAAATTGTAGTTATGTAAAACAAAACAAATGACATATTGGCATTTTTTTTGGTGATGTTTTTGACAGGTAATAGATTTAAGCGGGGAAAAAATCGAAATGTCAAACAGTACAAATAATCAAACAAACGAATCATCAATACGGCAACATTGTCAATTATGTTGAAATATGTCAACAACAACAACAACAACAAATTAGAAATAGAACCACACCCTGTGAATCAATAAATCGATCATCAATGATGATGATCGAAGAAAACACAAGAACAAAACAGAAATATACTGTACCGACTGGACCATCATCCCTCCCAACACACGAGCTTACAATCGGAAATGTGAACATCCATTTGTTTTGGATGATAATGTTTTTTTTAATTGCTTCAATCGTAAAGATGAAAACATGAAATCATTCAGTTATTGTGTAGAGAAAAAAATTCCACTTCCGTAATTTTTTTTTAAACACATCCGAAATGACACACGGGAAAAACCTGATCAAATGTTACTAATAATAAACAGCACTGACCATGCAAACGATCGATGAGGTCATTGTTTTTTTGGGTTAATTTTTTGCTTTTGTCTACCTGGATTTTATTTGGAAGATTTCAATAGAAAAAATTCCAGATTGCCCGTTTTTTAGTCTGCTTTGTCTCATGTCTATTTGTTCAACTAGCTGCTGCTGGATGGCTAAATTTGATATGAAAATTTTCGATAGTTATGGTTGGATGGGTTTTCCATTCTTTTTTGTTGTTGTTTTTGTTCAGAAAAAAAATTGTGACATGTATGTGATATATGCGGATATCTTTTGGTGCTATCTATTTATATATCAACCATATAGGGCGACCAGCATATAATATTTGGTTTAGTGCATATGACACCTTGCATATGTGTGTATCCTAAATTCATTGGAAATGACAATTTTTTTTTATTTTAACCTCTTCTTACCTCTATTATAATGATGATTATCATGTTGGTTATTCGCCACCATCGATTCTTCATAATGATGATGATGAGGATGTTTATGGTGCCTACTCGTTGACAACAGAAAACTTGATGTAGACGATAACGATCGTTGTCGTCCAGAACTATGATGATGATGATGATGATGATAATGATTTTGATGCGTGGATGTATTTGTTGTTGAATATGATGATGACATATTTGTATTCGACAATGTCGGTGGCTTCAACATTGATGGCCACAATAATGGCAGTTTTGTTGTTGATGTCATCGTTGTTGTTGTTGATTTTTTAATAAAATTTCTTAAAAAATATTCCAAAATCTGGCACATTAAATTTGTATTATTATTCGTATCAATATTATCATCAATAATGGTTCCATTATTTATCAATGGATGTTTAGTGGGTAAAATCCTTTGTAATGATGATGATGAGGATGATTTTGAACTTTTTTGTTGTTTTGTATGCTGTATTAATGTCGTTGCTGTAGTCGTCATTTTTGCTATTCTTTTTTTTTCTTTTGTTTTGAAGGCACACAAACACAGAATGAAACCGAATAGAATCGGAACCAAAATTTAAATTTAAAAAATTGGCGGGCAAATTAGATTGATGAGGCACGATTTGGTATATTGATACTTCATAGATAGAATTTAATAATTAAAAACAGTTGTAATCATTATTGAAATTCATTTTCAGAATGAGCACTACACATTCTTATTGAATTAAAAAAAAATTGATAAAACACAAACAACAGACACACAAACAAACAAATGGAATTATAAGCTAAACATGACTTTTTCAAGATTCAATTTTTCCGCGCACACATTTAACAATTCACATACACAAACCAAATGTTCATCCAACCAGGTTCGAACGTAAACTGGCTTAATATTTGATATGAGGTTGGAGATTTTTTTTTCACTTCATTCATTCTAAATGATCTAAACGATATATAGCTAAATGATATGAATTCAAATGGTTGAATGTAGTGGTAGTATTGATATATTATATACATTGGCCAGACTAGCGCAACAATTCACGAATAGACCTACAACACTAAAGTCTCGGTATAGTATTGTTCGACGGGTGATAGGGGCGGAAAACCAGTCCAAAATAATAATATCAACAGTGTGTCCATTTCGTTCATGTTATATGCAAGCGCAACTAGTAGTAGATCTCACACATTCTTTTGTTCTCACACTTACTTGACTGGATACCAAACCCGGGTACTACTACTATCTAGATTTTGGTAGTGGTTTTATTCAATCCAAATTCATATTTTGAATGCATGGTTGAATCTGTTTGGACAGGATTGATGATGATGATAATGGTGATACCAGGGTCCTGTTGATTGTACGATCAAATAAATTCTTTCATTAAACGTAGAATATTCTAATTTACGCAATATTCGTATTTCTGGTAGATTCTGCAGTAACATATTTATCAGATAAATCGATTTATTATTTCTGATGTTTATTGATGTAAATCCTATGAATTTTTTATGATAAATTTGTATTGTTGAAGGAAATGGAAAAGAAATATTTCCATTTAAATTTTGTTTTTTTTTTCATTACAAAAGTAAATGTTTCTTTCATTTTACCAAAAATAAATAAATTCAATCACAGATGTTGCAATCAGTATTTTTCACTTATTCGTGATGATGAAGAAGAAGATTGTTGTTGTTCCAGACCTTTCATATGCCACAGGTGCTATGGTTTTTTTCTTTTCATCTTTTTGGTTTTGATCGTTTTTTTTTTTTTGATATTTTTTAGTTTTCGAATCAAAATCAACACCAAGGATCATTATGATTGGTGTGCGGGAGGGTGAGTGTCCTCGTTTTTTTTTCTCTGGTTTTTTTTTGTTTTTGCTGCTGTTGTTGGTTGTTGCTTTTGGATCCCGTTGTCATTGTTGTTGTTTACTTTGGCTCGTGTTCAACACGTGGCACATACGGCCATGATGATGATGGTGACAACCTTATGGAGAAAAAAATACCCTCACCTATACCTCAACCCCCATTCTTAGTTGTTGATGATGCTGATGGTCGATCACCTGCCCGTTAACCACCGTGGCTGATTTTTTTTCGCTGACTAGTCTTACTCTCTTTTAGTGATCCAAATCAAACCAAAAAAAAAATTTTTTTGTTTTTGTTTCATTTGTTGAATAGAACATTTCCAGCATCAACCAGAAAAAAGCAGCTGGTCCATTCTCTTTGTCCTGAATTGTGTTGGCCTTTTTTTTCCTCCTTCTCCTCCTAAGACCGCGGTCATGATTTTTTTTTTGTTGGACACGTGCCATGCGGACTATAAGGGTCGTCATATATATTCTAACGCGTGCAACATTAATTTTTTTTTATGTATAGAAGTGAAAACTATGGCTCGGGTCGGGCACACTTCAAAATTTTTTCGTATTTGTATGTGCAATGTGTCGTCGACCATAGAGTTTTTTTCGACCCCAATTGAAAATGACCAATGACCTCTACCATTATCATCATCAACAACAACACACAGACACACGGTACTTTTTATTTTGTCGGCAGGCAGGCATTTCTTCAGGGAAAGCTTCTTTAATTCAACAATTCAATAGTCTCTCTGGTATTCACCATAAAGCCATAGTTTGTCGTCATCGTCGTCGTCGCCTAACATCTGTTGCTCTGGATTTTTTGTTTTCACATTTTAAAATTTTTTTTTAGTTTTTTTTGTTAGTTTTTATATACCCTCTCTTGGCTGTTGTATGTGTATGTATGGCTATCCGCGAATGAACCAGTCTTGTTCCTATTTTGAAAGAAAAAAAATCACTAATAATGTAATAGTGAGGACCACCAATGCAATTTGGTCAAAGCTGTTTTTTTCGGATCTTCTGGATTGCCGTTGCTGCCAACGTTGTTGATGATGACGGAGCAATAAAGTCCAAAATCTTACCACCAAACATTCATCTCTTTTTTTTGTTCCCCTCATTTAATTCATCTGCATTTTTTCTTTGCTTCATTCATTCATTCATTCATCTGGTTAGTGTTGTTGCTGCAACATTTTATATAGATCAACATCGAATTCATCGTACACCCACACACACACACACATCTGGCTTATAATGGCAGATTTTTTTTTCATTTACTTTTCTTAGTGTGTTTCAAAGACAACGATTGACGTGACTGGCCATTGAATGGATGGATGGATGGATTGGTGGTTGATTGGTTGGTTCATTTCCCTCTTTTTCATTGATCATATATGTTCATATTTACCTGGCGCCATTTAGAATCTGTTTTTTTTATCGAATTTAATAATAAAAAAATAAAAATAAAAACTATACTGTACACATCTGTACACTGTAAAAACAATAGAGAAAGAGAGGTATTTCAATGAATTTAAATATTTTAGAAATAGGAAAAAATTCTCTCTCTCTCACGCTTGTGATTGTATTTGGAGCTAAAGTCCACATAAATACTGCCATGTTGATGATGATGATGATGATGATGATGACGGGTGATGGATGGATGTAATTGTAAATATGTGTTATGGGCGTATGTATGTACATTACATATGTTACTGATTTACAAAAAAAAAATACACAAACGTGTGAGTGTATGTTTGTATTTTATTTAGAAGTTATCACGCCTACCCACCTACGCATTTTATCATGAGAACAAAATATGACCATTGCCATTTTTATTAACTGATTAATTCAAATTTCATTCAATTTTCGTTTCCGGGCAACCCGGTCAGATGGCGTTTTTGGTTTCGTTGTTTTTGTTGATGTATCTGTGTGTGTGTGTGTGTGTGTGAAACGAATTCGTTGTTATGGCGCCATAAAAATTCTGAAATTATGAATTACTAGATGGATTTATTTATCATTGTTATTATAACAATAATCACATTCTAATACATAAAATAGCCCACCAACAAAGTTATAGGGAATATAATCAAAGGAAAAGATGTTTAGAAATGATTTTTTTTCTGGTTTTAGATTTGAATCCATTACAATATAACAATGAAAAAAAAATCAAAAATCCATGATGGTGATATATGACTTGCATTGACCCCTGTGGTGGTATAGCAGTGTGTGTGATGTGTGAAGATATGATGGTCAATTTTTTTCATAGTTATAACTTTCTCTTTAGCATCTATAAATTGTAAAAACAACTGGAATTAGAACAAATCCGAGAGAATAGATAGTTTTGTACACACTTACTGTTGCCGACAAATTGCTCATCACGAGTGCACACCATCCAAATTGGCTATGGTGGTCGCACGCGAGTTTAAGATTCTTTAGATTTTAGCTAGTTTTTGGAGAAAAAACAGCCAAAACGATTGAATGCAATGTGTGGCGGCAATAATCATCATAAATGATTGCTGCTGATGATGATGAAGCTATGCTGCTGCTTAATAGTAGGTTGATGATGATGATGATGATGAAAAAAAGACAAGAAATTGACATTATAATCAAAATATTTTGATTTGGCCGATTCTTTTCTACAATTTCAGTTCTGTTGTCGAAATTGTACAACAACAACAACAACAAAACCGAACCGAACTGAACTTTTTAAAGATTGAAAGAAAAAACGAGCAAAAGGAAAACTTTTTGACAGCTAGTTTGGCTTTGTGATCAACGTCGATTTACCGCCGCGAATTATGATAATAAATTATCGAAGCAAAAAAAAAAATTTCTTTCAAGAATCATCTTTGTCGATAGTGTTTCTTCATTTTGATTGTTAGTTAACATGTCAAGCTCATAAAATGTATGTTGTTGTTGTTGTTGTCCTTTTTTTTCTCTTGAATGTTCAATATCACATCAGGGAGGTCTACTTTAATAATGAACCATGATGATGATGATGACCTGATGAATGAGAATTGTTGCGAAGAAGATAAACTCTGCCTATCCTTTTTTTCCCATTCAAAAAAAAAAATAAGCCGAAAAGAGAAATTCCTTATTCCATATGATTGATTTTCAATCATTCAAACTATATATTGATTAGGATTTATTTCTCTCAATGATTAATGATTCTATACACGTTATATAGTCTAACTAATGTTTTCGATTTGAATGTAAATGTGTTAAGGTGTTAATGATGACAACAAACTATAACTAATTCATTGTAGCATTTTTATATCAGCCACAATTTTCATTGATTAGATTATTAATAATCCGATAATCGATCATTCTTTTGATTTTGATAAAAGAATTGTGTATTATTTTGTGTGGCGATAAACAGATGAAAAGAAAAATCCTTATCAAAAGGTTTTTTTTCAACCATAGAAATTCTTCTATTATCAACAGTTGCAGTACTGCTTTATTTCACCTACACAAAATTGTAGAAATTTATAGCGTTTTTAATCCTGATTTGCATCACAGTATTGAAATATAACATCGAAGCTGAACAGAACAAAAGACCACACATAGTTGGTTTATTATTGTTAGAATCCATAATTATTAATTATATGTTTTGAAACAAAACAAAAAAAATAATTAATAAAGTATCTTTGCCCGAAACGCAGACAATAATAATAATATATGGACGAAAAATAAATGATTAAATCCTGGGAGAAAATGAAAATATTTCAATGAAACAGAAAAAAAAATCTGAAATACACTGCTTCTATTACTAACAATGGCTTCTTTTTGGTTAATAATGTCCCATAATGAAAGTCAAAAAAAAATACAATTTTCAGTCTTGATTGATTGTTCAAAAAAAATTTAATGGAGATTCATTACGATTGATGAAATGAATTGGTTTCTTCCTCATCATCATTATCATTATTATCAAAATATCAATCAAAATGAAATGTCTTGGATCGAAATAATATCTATTTTTATTCATTTTGGATTTAAATTGTCATGTACAATTATGTGAAAATTTCAAATAATAAAACTAAGAATAAAAAAAACAATTTTTTCTTTAACAAAAAAAAAATTTATAATTTTTTCCGCAATAGGATCATTCAAGCCGATTAAAAATGTAGACTGTATGAATAATAATGTGCCAATGTGATTGAAGCATTGTCCATATGAATATAATGATAGCCGTAATCATTTTTTATCATCATGATTATCAATTCAAAAAAGCTATGAAATTGTCCTACATTTCAAAAAAAACAATGTGTGTAACAAACAAATATAGAAAATGTTGCCAATTTTAGGAATGACAATAATCAAACAGGACAGGTAGACAGATAAATAAAATAATAATAATAACTTCTGTCCTTCAAAAAAAAGAAACAAACTCATCATAGAAAATATATGAATCGAACAAATCTATGACCTGGATATTCAATATAGTAATATTAATGATGATGATGATTATGATAAACAGATTTTATTAGGTATAAATGTGTCTGTGTGTGTCTGCGTTTGACTAGCTCTTTACTTGCCCATTTAGAATATTAATTGGAAAAATAATAATTCATCTTTTTTTCTCTCTTCATAACTTGAGCCAATGAATTTTTCAGGTAATTAATTAATTAGATCATATACCTGGTAGTAGTAGTAGTAGTAGTGGTAGTGTGGCGATGGATAATTTCTTTCCATATTGCTAAATTTATCATAGATTTATCATTTTTTTCTATTTCTAGCTTTTTTTCATATTTAATATCACATATATTAATTGTAATAACAATTTTAATCACAATGTGAGATCAAGAGAAAACCTTGTGTGTGTGTGAGATTAGTTTTTTTTATGAAATGATAGAAATCAAAATTTAGATTATATAACAGTATATGAATTGTTTGGTTGAAAGTTGTTTTTATTGAAATTAACTAACCAAACAGACAAAATCAGTATATATAAGAAATATATGGCTAGACTCTATTATCATGCATTCCATCATCATCATCATCATCTTCATTGACTTGATGATTTGATTGAGACTATTAAAAAAAAAAGATTAAAAGAGAGTGAAGTAAACATTCTATTGGATTTCAGTGCAAAAAAAAATTGCCGCGTCTAAATTGACTTGTTACATTTTCGCTTTTTTTTCTCTCTCACTCAATCTTAAGCTTCATCTATTTGATATTTCATATATTCTATTCATAAAGGCATTATATAACTTTAGAAATTTAAAGACTTTATCGGGTAGGATTCGGTGTTTCTTTCATATTGTTGTTGATCATTTTTTTTTTGATGTTGGCAACAAAAATTTTGATTGCTTCGAATCAAAAGCATATGAACAAGAAAAAAAATCATTCACATACATATTGAATACTGTTCTCACAAGTTAGATCTACATGTGTGTGTGTGTGTGTGTGTGAAAAACCATAATGATTCTATTCTTACTTCAAGTCTAGTCTTAAAAAAAAAATTTCACGTCCATATATAACCATTATGAACAGGTATATATGTTAGCCAAATTTTTATTTTATTTTGATCGAAAAAGATTGAATGCAAAGCTACCTAGTCATTCATTCAGTCAGTCAGTCAGTCAGCAAGTCAGCCAGTCAAATTAATCAACAACAACCCGGATTTACATATATACGAAAATCAAGCAACAGAAAAAAAAATTGGGAAAACAACACAATGGAAAAAAAACAACAGCAACGATAAGACAAGAAGCAGAATATAATATTGGAAAGAGATGGTCTCTACACACACAATGATCAAAACAAGTGTCGGCCTCAAAGACTCTCATAAATGATGATGCTCTTATCTGGTATGTCAAGCAAAAATTCCTTATATACAGCAGTAAAATATGATGAACTGGGAACCGAATTTTTTTTTTTTTATTCATCTATAATTGGATCTTGATCCTTGAACCAATATGATGATTTTATTTACTATTTGTTTGTTTGTTCAAATCAAATTAATGTTCAAGAATATTTGATGACGATAGATGCAAATTGATGGTCTCTTTATTTTTTTCGAATGAGTATTTTTATCGGAAAAATGAAAAAAAAAATATCACAAATTAAATGTATGTACAGAAAAAAATAAGAAATGATTTCTTAAATAATTTATGCTTTCAAGAATTGTCCAATAAATTTTCCGTTTCCTCTAGGCTATCGGTTTTGTTACTATCGATGATCATCTTCTTATATTCATATATTGGATTTGAAAAATTTGTATTCATGTAGTCTACAATTAATTCATCTTTATTACAATCATCATCAAGGATCTGATGTTTTTCTGATGATGTAGTTGGATTGTTACCGGTGATCAATACTTCAACCACTGAAGTTGTTGGTGTATCCGTAGTTGTTGATAATTCAGTCGGTGTCAAATTGTTCATATTAAATATCGGATTCATTATTTCAACATTTGGTACATCAATGGGAAGATTGTTTTCGAGAATACGTCGATGTTGAAATGCCAGTTCACTAAAAAAAACATGGTAATTATTTTTCAACAATTTCACAAAAAAACATACCTTTGCATCTTTCTCCTCAGAGAATACTGTAATCGAACCAAACAGAAACCAAAAAGAACAATGCCCAATAAAAAGAATACGGTATAAATAACAATATTTAAAGTTGAGTGACCAGTTGATTTGGTATATGATTCAGTTTTGGTATTCGATTTAATATTCATTATTATTGTAGATTCTGATTCTGGATTATTTTCACTGAGACCAGTAATCCGATTCTCTGTTGTTCTTTCACATCGAAATCCAGTGAATCCATAAGCACATATACATGTTGGATGATGGAGTGGAGAACTTTGATGGCAAGTACCACCGTTCAAACATTCGAGATCATTACATGTTTCTGAAATAGCTGCTGTTGCAGATGTTGATGATTCAACCGTATTATCGTTAGCTGAGTGAATTTCACAATGTGCACCGGAAAAGCCAGAATCACATTGGCAACGGAATCGAATATTTGCACCGTCAAAATTTCGAATATTATCTGCCTGAGATTTACGATCAATATAGCAGAGTCCATGGTTGTTGCAATATTGTATAGAACAAAGGTGTAATTCACAATGTTTTCCAGAAAACCCTTTAGGATAAAAAAAATATTAAAATCCTTTTATAACTTTATAAATCATATAATTAACAATTACCAGGAGGACAATGACATTTGGCTATATTTATCGAATTATTCATCAAACAATGACCATCATTTTTACAGAATAAATCGCCACATATTTCACATTGTTCACCAAAAAAACCAGACGGGCAATTACAACGAATGGAACTATCAGCATAATTGTCCAGACATTCACCATGATTGAAACAATAATCTTTGTGATCATTACAACTTTTCACTTCAATTTCACAACGATCGCCTTTCCATCCGAATGGACACATACAACGAATATGACCTGTGTTTGTTAATGTTGTTGATTGTAGACTTCTTTCCCGATAGATTGAACTCATATTAGACATATCAATATAACACATGCCATGATTTTGACAATAACCAGCACAACGAAAACGTTCACATTGTGTTCCTTCATACATAGGTGTACATTCACAATAGAGGCTATCATCGTTTGGATGATAACGACAACGGCCACCATTCAAACATGGACATTGTGTTTTGGTTAAATCTTTATTTTCTTCCGAATTTCGATCATTTGATGGTGGCATCGTCGGTACTTGAATGCATTCGGCTTCATTCTTAATTGATAATATTTTGCGGAAACCATCGGGACAAACACAAACCGCATTTTGTGGTGTTTGAGCAATGCAGAGAAAATTTCCCTGTGAACGACAAGGATTTATTTGACACGGACTAGTGAAATTTTTTTTCTGTTTCCATTCATGAACAATGACCAGGTCATTGAGTTTTGGTATATTTTGAACCAATGATGTGAATTTTTGACTACCAAATTTGTTTAATTTCAATATCTGATGATTTGGTAATGTGCTAACATAGAGATAATCTTCCCAAACATCGATACGATATGGTTTGTGCTGGAAACGATGTAAAGAATAAATCTGTCTTCGATCACTTCCATCAACACGAATAGTTTCGATAATTGATGTTTTAGGATCGGTATAATATAGGCGGCCAGCTTCAAAATCTAAAGCCAAGCCAAGTGGCCATTCAATATCATTACTAACTAATGGACGAAATGACGATCCATCCAGTTGCGCACGGCCAATCTTGATTGTACTTGTATGACTCCAATCTGACCAAAAAATGAGACAATTTTTTGGATCGACAATTAAATCATAAGGTTGTTCAAGCGGTTGAGAAGAGATCAAAGTTTTTCGCTTATCACCATCAAAAGTTGTCAGAATTATAGCCGGAAGAGATGAATCAATCCAATAAACATAACGTCCAATCCAATCAACTGCTATTCCTCGAGGATTGTTATCTATTTTGTTGACTATGGCAATTGGATCGCTTATATTTGATTTTAATGATGAGGTCGATGAACTTTTTGAAAAATGATATTCAGGATTGAAATTGAACATTTGATCCACAAAAGATATATCGATTCGATATAAACTTTTCTTGTGTGGATTAGTCCAAAAAATACTAGATATATTCGAATCATAGAAAACATCAAACGATTCAATGCGACTGATAAACGTTCGATTAAGAGATAAAGTTAGATTAAGATCCATTGGTGATGAAAATGCGAATAAATTGTACAATTCTTGAACTATATTCTTGTAAGGATTTACGATACGAAATCCGGAATCGGATGAAACCAGTAAAGCAGCTTGACGGCCATTAGCTTGACATGTGCTTAATTGGTTGACCGATGATGATGATGATGATGCTGATTTGGATGAATTATCATTATTAGCAACATTTAGCATGGATATTCGAACATAGCCTTCAGAACATGTGCACATAAAATGATGATGAAATTGTATTTCAGTATGATTAGATGAGAAAGTTCGATTTGATGATTGATGAAAGTGTTTAATCTTAGACACACAAGTCTGTGAACACAATCCAAATGGACAATTTTGTTGGTGGACATGAACAGTTTGATCTACAACATTCAAACCTTCGCAGTTCTGCTCATCTGAACCATCACCACAATCATCGATACCATTACAATGAAGGGAGATATCAATACAACGCTTATTACTTAAGCATAAGAATCGATTTCGGTGATCGGAATTAATGGCTGTGCCTAATAAACATTCATGTTTGATTTCTTCACATATTTCGGGAATTTCATCGGAGCCATCACCACAATTATCGCTGCCATCACAAAGTCGAAGTTTCGATATGCAGATTCCATTTGTACAGCGGAAACGATTCACCGGACATGCCAACCGAGAACATAGAGCAAGATCTTCATCACTTCCATCAAGACAATCTTTTTCGCCATCGCAACGCCATGGACCATATATGCATTGTTGATTGATGCATGTGAAATCTTTGGCTAAACATTTATTGCTACAATTTACTTCATCCGAACCATCCAAACAATCATGATCGCCATCGCATTTCCATTCGGGTAATATACAAATGGTACTGTTAGGACAACGAAAATGATTTTTTTCATCACATTCAAAATGGCAATCAATTTCATCGGAATAATCTGCACAGTTAGGTTCACCGTTACAACGTAATTCATTTTTGATGCATTTATAGCCTTTATCACATTGAAATTCATCATGCTGACATGTCGGCAGTGTACAATTACGTTCATCGGATCCATCACCGCAATCATCATCCCAGTCGCATCGATAAAACATTTGAATGCAATGATTGTTGTCACAATGAAAATGATATTCATCATCACAAACCAATGTTGTATTTTTATCTTCAATATTTTCACAATATAATTCATCTTGATGTGTTATGCAATCAGGTTCACCATCACATTTCCAATTATAAGGTATACAACGGCCAGAATCACAACGGAAATGTAGAGGGCCACAAGAGCGTTGAGTACAAGCTTCGTATTCATCTGATCCATCACCACAGTCATCTTCACCATCACATTCCCATTCTTTTGAGATACATTTCTTGTTGGAACATCTAAATACCGTTTTTGGACAGCCACAATTAATTTCATCTTCACCATTAGAACAGTCATTAATGCCGTCACAACGATTCGTAGATGAAATGCAATATGAAGTTATGTTGTTAAAAGTGGGACATTTGAATTGATTTGGCATACAAACATGTTGTTCACAATTTATTTCATCAGAACCATCAGCACAGTTGGAAACTCCATCACAAATCTGCTGTGGTAGAATACATTCTGGATGATTTCGACATTGAAATTGGCCAGGATTACAATGGAAAGGTGGACAATTATCTGGTTCATCCGAACCATCCAAACAATCATCTTGTGTATCACATTTCCACCAAAATGGAATACATTTGTAGGTATTGTTACAAACAAACTCAGAATATGAACAATTGCTGCGACAAGAATATTGATCTTCATTGAGAATATAATTATCTGGACATGTACAAGCACCAGATAATTTGCCTTTATGTGACTTGAGCAAACACAATGCTAAACATTTATCGGTTTGGTTGTTTTCATTGAATGAAATGCATGGATTTTTCATATTTTGTGGTAACGATGGTTGACGATCAGAATGCCAAACAACAATATCCATTGGTCGATGAAAAGTCATTTGTTGAATAAAATGTTCATATGAACAATTCAAAGCTGGACATGAGATTACTGAACTTGAATGCCAATCGGTCCAATAGAGTCGTGATTCAAAATAAGACATACCGGAAATATGTCCCGTATAACGTGTTTTTTGATTGACAATCACCAAACTATTTTGTCCGTCAAAATCAATCATGGCTATATAATCTTCACGTGTATCGGCAAAATAAAGTTTTCGACGTATGAAATCAATGGTCAAAGCATTAGGCCAACCAAGGCTTTCTTCGAGAATTATCTTTTGTTGGCTACCATCCATTGATGCACGGGCAATATTTGGTTTTTCACCCCACTCGGTCCAGAACATTAATCCTTCCAATGGATTTAACACAATAGCACGTGGTTCTTCAAGTTGCTGTCGAATGAGAATTCGACGAAATTTGCCATCCAATTTGGAAACTTCGATCGTAGATTTACCTTTATCGCACCAATAAAGATTTCGACCAATCCAATCGACAGCGATACCATCCGGGCTTTGAAGTGTGTTTGAGTGTAAAATTTCAACTTTCGCTTTGATATTGTTTGAATTGGAAAAATTTTTGACCATCCTCCGTCAGATTATATGCTTTTAATTGACATGATTTTTTGATGTAGGCTGATACTATCGTAATCTCTGACCAATACACACAATCGGTTTTCCAATCAAAATCCAAAGCCACGACATTGTTAAGACCACCAAGCAATATGCTTACATCTTTACGTTGACGTTGTTTATCGACAGGTTTTAATTGATAAATACCATCATGGGTATTGATCAATAAACGTGTTTCTTTTGATGATGTACTTCGACATGTGACACCATCAGAATCTAAAATATATCCATCGATACAATAACAAACATATGAACCAATTGTATTGCGACAAATTTGTGAACAAACATTTTGTTCACATTCATTTATATCACGGCAAACACGACCACCATCTTGAGATTCGAAACCATCGAAACAACTACAACGATATCCAATTGGCATATCTTCACATTTTTGTGCACAGACAAGATTACTTTCACATTCATTAATGTTGCATTGATTTTCATCAGAAAAATCCCCACAATCATTATCACCATTACAAATACGATCGTAATCAATACATACACCATTATTACATGTAAACTGCCTATCTTTACATCGCAATGATGATCCATCAATGTTTAATGTCGAGGAATTATTATTGGATGATCTAGCACAAAGTTTGGCCGCTTCATCATCACCACCGGCACAGTCTTGAATTCCATTACAAATCCATGAACGTGGTATACATTTATGTTTGATCGTGCAACGATATTCATTTGGTGAACATAGTTTTGGTTTCGATGGTGTTTGTCTTTGACAAAATTCGGCAGTCTCGTCCGATCCATCACCACAATCATCTTGGCCATCACAAAGAAATTTACTGTGGATGCATTGAAAATTATGACATTGAAATTCGTTGTGATTGCAGATTAAATGTATGATTCCATTGGCATGACTAGACACTTTAGTAACATTTGAGGAACAAAAAGTTTTATTTGGATACATCAACTCATCCGATCCATCGAAACAATCTTGTTCACCATCACATATCCATTGCCGTGGTATACATTTTCCGGTGGTTTGACAACGAAAATATCTTTCCTCTGGACAAACATTATGTCGACAAAATTCAGGTAATTCATCTGAACCATCCAAACAGTCTTTGTTTCCATCGCAACTCCAAATGATTGAAATACATTCATTACTACCACAGCGCATCTGATCTTCAGAGCAAGAATCATCATCATCATCATGATTTGTGGTAGAATTTGAATCCATGATTATTGCCGTTTCTGGTGCTTCACTTGGTTGTTGATGTTTATGTTGTTGTTGTTGTTGTTGAATTAAGTGAGAAATTGATTTGTTGAAATTGGAAAAACAATTAGCTTCATCGGAATTATCCCAACAATCATTTTGACCATCACATATCCATTTTGGTGAAATACAAGCGGTCGTACGTGGACAATTGATCATTGGTTCATTGGTTTTATCATCCTTTGTGCAGTTTGGTTTAACACAATCAAATTCATCCGAACCATCAGACATTCAGGAGCATAATTACAGCGTAGGACATCTGATATACAGATACCATTGTTGCATTTAAATTTTCCTTGCTGTCGGCAATCGCAATGTTTTTCATCACTAGCATCCGGACAGTTAATGGTACCATCACAAATTTTTGATGCCAATATACAACGATTATTTGGACATTGATGATAGTTTTGTGGACAAATCCTATTCGTACAATATAACGGATCTTCATCGGAATGATCTTGCGGACAATTGGCAACACCATCACAAGTCAATTCAAACGGTATACATAGACCCATTTTTTTGCATTCAAATTCTCCACGATCTAATGAACAAGAAGAATTTATTGAATGACAACGTCGACCATCACTGCTTATAATTCGGCCTTCAAAGCAAGAACATTCCGGCATATTAATTGTAGTCAGATTTTTTGCAACACAAATATCTTCACAGCCACCATTTGATAAAAGACATGGATCGTATGGTTGAGAAGATACATTGCAGTAATTTTCTAATGAATCTTGATGGTCTGGTGAAATGACAACTAAACCCATCGGTCGTATGATGTTTCGTCTAAGGGTGACAACATCAGCACCAGAATATTTTTCACATCGAAATACTGAATGAGCTGCCCAATCGGTCCAATAGAGATGATCTTTATAAATGGCTAAACCAAATGGATGCTGAACAGTTTGTCTAAGTAACACGACACATTGAATGGCGTCAAGATCACATTTTTCAATTTTATTGAAACGTGCATCTGCCCAGTAGAAATGTTTTTCCTGTTGATCGATAACCAACGAATTGGGCATACGAATGCCATCTGTGATGATTGATTGTTGACCAAAACCAGTTACATGAGAACGTTGAATACTTGGATTTTTAGCATTCCAATTAGTCCAATAAACAAGTTGACGACAATGATCAATAGCGATACCTCTCAATCGATCTTCTGGTGTAAGTTTGATAATTTTAACCACTAAACTTCCATTCATAGCTGGTTGTTTCGATTTAATATTGACAGATTCAGGAACAATAGTTAAATTTAGTTTAGAAACTGAAGAATCAAAATTCGAGGTCCAATAAAGAAATTTCGACACTGATTCATAGACAATTCCTTCAATTGGACCTTGTTTATCTAGGAGAATTTGATGATCAGATCCATTAAAATAACACCAACTAACTGTTCCTCGTTGAATATCAGTGTAAATAATTCTTCGTCGTTCATAGTCATAAGTAAGTCCGATAACATTTCGGATATTGGCGTGAATAATTGGACGATAGGGAGAGTTGGCGACATTTGGTTCCAGATGATCAATAAATTTAGATGAAAATGAATGATGAGTTAAATTATAATTTAGTTCGTTCGATGGCGTTATGCGAATTGAATCAATTTGATTGATACGTGAATAAATTAAGAATGTATCATATTCTAAACAGGATCGATTATCGATGGGTGAAACATATCCATATGAACATGAACAATGATGGCCACGATCATTGCCAAGATAAAAACAAAAATCCTGACAGCCACCATTTTCACGTGCACACGTATTTTGTGGATATATTGGTCGACGATAATAAACCATAATGTCTTTGATATTGTCACCAATGTTCATGTCCAATAAAGTGACACCAGTAAGCTTGATTGACATTGTTAAATTGGCACCATTAATAAATTTATCAGTGCGAATAGCAAGAATTGAACCACCATAGAAATTTGTATCAGCCAAATATAAGAACCGATCATAAACAGCAATCGAAATCGGGCTACGAATATTACTCAACACAATGTTGGCTTTAGGTATGTTTCCGGCTGTCGGTTCTGCCAATGATAATTGCACAATAGTTTGATCGGATAAATCAGCAAAATATAATTGATTAGCTATTATGTCTACAGCTAAATCATTGATCGAATGATTTTTATCATGTGAATACAATGTTTTACGATTTGAACCGTCTAAGAGGGATCGTTCAATTCGTACAGAATCCTTATGGCCTACGTCTGACCATAGAAGAAGACCAAGACCTGGATGAACGGCCAACGATGTTGGTTTGATTATATCTTGTGAAATGATAACCAATCGGCTTTGACTTCCATTCACTTTAATCACTTCAATTAATCCATATTGTTCTTCAATCCAATAGAGATTGTATGCATTCCAATCGAGAGCAAAATCGATTAGCTTGTCAAGATTGTTTATTAAACGATGATATGATGATGTATCACGAGCAAGTCGTGAAATTGATCCTTCATCCGAATCTGCCCAAAAAAGCATTTCATTGGCTGAATCAAAATCGATCGAAGATGCCAACATGACGGACGATATTGGAGGTAATAAAGAAAATTCTTTGCTAGAATTTTTCTTTTTTTCATACTGTTGATTCAATGGTTCAGTGTCATTTATAGGAGTGATCGGTATCCCTCTTATACCCCAATTCCATGAATACATTAAGAATACTTGCTCACCGATACACTTGGTTTCATCCGAAGGATTTACTCGAAAACCGATAGTGCAAAGACATTTTCGTTTTTCCTTTGCAATCATTACGCAAAGATGTGAACATCCACCACGGGATTTTGAACATAAATTGGGACCCATACGATTCTGTGCTTCAGCATCATAAATTCGAATGCTAAATAAATCTTCAGTATCGTTTAAGAACATCTGTTGATCGCTACCGAGGTTTTTGTCCATTGTTTGTATATTTCCATCATGATGAAAAAATGCAAATAATTTAGAACCGAAAATTGTCACTGATGTCGGGAATGGGTTATCATCAAATTCGGCCATGAAAATAGTTTTAATTTCTTGTGTGTTCAATTCCATAAATTGTATAGATCGGGATCCTAAATTTACCCAATATAATCGCGAACAATTGAGGTAGAGATCTAAAATTAGACTAGTCGTTTGATTCAATAATGATGAATGTTGATTTTTACTATCTGCCAATATTAATAATTGTGTTCCGTCCATACGTGAACGAACCAATTTAGTTCTATGGATAAATTTTTTCGTTTCATTTGGTCCGATAATTTCTTCCAGCGAATAATCTGACCAATAAATCCATGCATTCAATGGATCAATTGCTAATGATTGGGGATTTTCAAAATACTTTTCCGGTATAATTTCGGTGATGAATTCGCCATCAAGATTACAGGCAAAAAGTTTTGAGATAATATGTTTATTTCGACGATTGTTAAAATCTCGCCTTGCTCGATTAGATGTATCTTCATTATCATCTTCATAGATAATTTCATATTCATCATTATAATCATCAGCTGCACCGGAAAACATTAATGGTGAATTGAATGAATCTCGATCAGGTTTAGATATAATAAATATGTTTCCCGCTATCCAATCAATTCCAAAAGTTTGAGGATGCTGAATGACAGTGTCGATTACATTTTCAATGGTTCCATTCAATAAGGAATAACGCTTAATTTCATTCGACAATAAATCCGCCCAATAAATATGTTTGGTTCGTGCCACATAATCCAACTGGATTGGATGAACAACTTTGGGAAGAGAAATAGGTGAAAGAATAAAATAATTTGGTCGAATCAAATCAATGCCTCGTACATCGTTCTGTTTTGACAGCATGAGAAAAGCATCATTGAAGATACAGTTTCGTGAATCTGGTCCCAAACGCATGGCAAGGGGACAATCACATGCGAAATTATCGCGTGCCGTACTTGATAATAGACAGAGATGCGAACATCCACCATTATCAACCATGCATCGAGTATAGTTGATCGAATTGAACTGGCGGCTAGGATGAAGAATTTTAACATCAAATGGCTGTGAAAATGTTCGAGCAATGACCTCGACTTTGGTTCCGTTCCATTTGTTGGCTCGTACCAATGAATTTGTACGCCAATCACTCCAATAGGCATAATTTTCATACAGTGACATTGCAAATGGATGAGTGAGAAAATCATTTCCAACTAGAATGTTTCGAAAATCTTTGCCGTCATAACGTACTGTACTTAACGTATCAGTTTTAGCATCAATCCAATAGATTCGTTGCAAAACAAAATCCAATGTTATCCCGTTGGGCCATGATCCTGGTTCGACTTGAATCACGATATGTTGTGCTGTACCATCCATAGAAGCTGATTCTATTCTAGGTAAACTTGAATCCCAATCCGTCCAGAACATAATAAAACGATTCGGATCTAAGGCAATAGCTCGCGGATTAGAAAGATGTTCGGTGAGAAGAGTTTTGCGAAAAGAACCATCGATATGCGCGACCTCGATTTGATGGAAATTTGAATCCACCCAGTACAAGTTATGAGCCAACCAATCGACAGCCACACCTTCGGCAAAACTTAAACTTCCTTCAACGATCGCTTCAATGTTGGTAATTGTTGATTGTACTAATTCACCACGATATAAACGATCATCAATCACATCGGACCAGAATATAAATATTTGATCAGTATCATATAGATAATCCAAAGCTATTGAATTTTTCAAGCCAGAAAGCAGGAGATTGGCTGAATTTGTTTGCAAATTAATAGAACGAATTTGATTACGATTGGAGAACAAAAGAATAGGCGATGACTGCAATGTACTTTTACAAGTGAAATTATCTTTAGGATCGAGATAATAACCATCAATACATTCACATTTATATTGTTGAATAGTTGGCGCAGAAGAATTTGATGTTGGTAGACATAATTGTGAACATACAGCCCATTGTTGACATGGATGAGCATCGGTACAGCTGACACCATCGACAGCCAATGATAGATCGGGCGGACAATAGCATATATATCCAGGATCATAAGGAACATTTTTACAATGCCCTTTGCAAATAGGATCAGAGATAAAACAGACGTCATCGGAGCATAAGTCGCCTTCATCTGATCCATCAAGGCAATCAGGATGATTGTCACAAAATTTAGAAATATCCAAACAAATTGTACGATTATTGGAGCGATCAATACAGGTGTGGTTAGGATGACGACATGATTGTGATAGAATTGATATGTTTTCTTTACAATCATATTCATCTGAACCATCGGGACAATCTTGCACACCATCACATCTGACAAGATGATTAAAACATTGCATCAATGGTAAACATTGAATTTCTCCAGATCGACAATTCAATTTTGTACAATTAAATTCATCAGAATAATCTGCGCAATCTGGTGAACCATCACAACGCGATTCCAGTGAAATACAAATTCCAGTAGTTTCACATTGAAATTCTTTTTGATGATTACATCGAAGATGTGAATGTTTCGTCAATTTAGTATAATTTAGTGAGATCATCTGTGAACAATTTTTTTCATCACTACTGTCGATACAATCAATTATACCGCTAAAAGTAGAAACCAAAAGATTAGATGATGTCGTTAAAAAAACAAAAACAACTTACTTGCATCGTAAAAACAGTGGTAAACATTTGGAATTTGAATCGCAATGAAAATGAGTTTGATTGGCATTTCGTTCCGAGCATTTATTTTGCTGTTTACAATCTAATTCATCAGAACCATCCTTACAATCATCGTCGCCATTACACATAAATTCATAAGATATGCAACGACCATTTTTGCATTGAAATTCAGTAGATGCATCACATTTCTTATAGCCTATAAAAAAATAATGATATAATATTGATATTAATCATCGTGTTTTCAACTTACTACAATTGTCTTGTTCATCGGAATGATCATCAGGTCCGCAATCAAAATCCGAATCACACACCCAATTACGTGGAATACATCTGCCGGTAATGCTTGCATTTAAAAAACATTGGTCCACAGATTACTTTGGTACAATTTTCAAATTGCATTTCATCCGTTCCATCCATACAATCCTTTTGACCATCACAAACCCAATGTGGCATCACGCAACGATTTTTGTCACAACGGAGATAGTTTTCGTGACAATGCAGTTTTTCACAAATACTTCCAACGCTTGTATCTTCATCAGAACCATCAATACAATCGATATCACCATCACAAACATGACGATTATCAATACATTGTGATACGTTTCGGCATTCAAATTCTCCTTTTTTGCATAAAGAAGGTTTGGTGTAATTTTTCAACACAATACAACTTCGAGAATCTAAAGATGATAATTGAAAACCGTCAGAGCAATAACATTGAGGTTGTTGACCGATTCCCAACAAACAAAGATGTTCACATTTTGCAATGAGACAAGTATTATTCTTAGATCGTTGTCCGAAATCGATAAATTTTATATCATAAAGTGGAGGATTATCTTTGAAAACAATCTTGACCTTGTTAGGATCTAAAAGATGAAAACTTTTAATTGTCCCTTGACGATAATCAGTCCAGAATAGATGATTACGAAAATAAGCAACACTGTATGGTGATCCAAGATCAGGTCCTGCATAAATAAGCTAATAATAAAAAGTAAACGTAAATGGAAAGAAAATTTTAACTAAAAAAATAAGTAAATACTTTGCGATTTCCCCCATCCAGATCGGCACGTTCCAGACGTTTAAAGTATGAATCACACCAATAAATGTGTTTTTGATCAATAGCCAAACCATTTGGATAGGTAAGATCTTTATTTACAATAATTGATCTTTGTTCTCCATTCATTAATGAGCGTTCAATTCTTCCAGAATTATTCGAATTAAATGACCAATCTGTCCAAAACATCCATCCATGATTATGATCGAGTACCAATGACTTAGGATGATTCAAATCATTGGATATCAATGTTCGTCTTAGTGTACTATTGTCTAGATTGACTACACAAATTGTTAACATTGCGCTATCAGTCCAATATAGATTTCTTCCGATCCAATCAACGGCCAATCCTTCACATCGAATAATACCTTTGTCTAAAAATATTGATACTTGACGTTGATGATCTTTTTCAGTATTGGACAAATTGACTACAAAACTATTGATTACATAACGTTGAATATTTGAATAGAAAACAGTCTCGGTTTCAACGTCATATTCAACAGCGACTGGTCTTGTAGATGGCATCGTTGAAATAGTTATTGGTTGGCTAGTTAAATTCTCACCAATATCTGGCGTCCATGTATCCGGTAACGAAATTACTTTGATTGAACCTGGGCTAGCACGAACATATAACAGCTTTAATCGAGAACGATCGTACAAACATTTGTTTGAGGATAAATCTAAACGATATCCACTTGAGCATTGACATTTTGCCATAGGGATTAAATTTTTTTCATATTTCACTAGACAAATGTGGTCACAGCCACCATTTCTAACGGAGCAAGGATGCAAAGTCTTTGTGATAATTGGATGATGTTGCCGATGAATGATTCGTAATTCTTTAGCAGATTTTGAAGAAAAATTCATGACAACATTCATTTCATGTTGATTAAAATTAAATACATCAACAATTACGAGAGATGATAGCAGTTCTTCGGGAAAATTCGTTTCATTTTTGGTTATTAAAAAATACAATTTCTTTTCAAAAATATCAAAGTCGATAATTCGATTTGTCAAATCACTTTTGAGTAAAATTTTTCGATTATCACCATCATACGAAATACGTTCTAATGTTTCCAAATATGAATCAAACCAGTAAATATGGTTATTTGTTTGATCCAACGATATTAAACTTGGATAAACAATACGTTGTTGAACTAAAATCTTCATATTAGTTCCGTCTAAATCGAAACGTTTCAGTAGAGCATTTGGTCCCCATTCAACGGTGAAAAGATGGCCAGGAGCATTGGTCGGATCTAATGCTAACATTTTTGGCTTATTAAGACCATGTTCAATTATATTAATGCAATATTTGAATTGAAAATCACAAACAAAAATTAATTCATTGATCGAATCCAACATATACCAATTATGTCCGATCCATTCATGGATCATTTGTCGAACGAACATTAAAGAATAAAATGGTGATTCAATTTTGAATGATTTTATTGAAAGTTTTGCATCATTCCAATCATTGCAAACAATTTGACTTAGGGTTTGATCATGATGAACCGTTTGTGATAAATCTAATCGAAAGAGTTGAATTTCATCGTAATTATGTTTTCGTACATAACAGATTGAATGAGCATCAAAATCATAATCGAAAGTTGAAATTATGGACTGATTTTGTTGTTCAAGAGAAATTTTCGATTCGACAGACGATTGTTTGGGATTTAGTATTTGAATTTCATTCTCAAAATTAATAGCCACCAACAATGGTAAAGATTCAGGATCATTGATAGCAATACATTTAGTGTTATTGACCAGTGAATAGCCTTCAATACATTTGCAATTAAAAGTATCCTTCTCATCCAAACACAATTGATCGCATTGTTCATCGTGAATACATCGATTAATTGGTACGCAATTGGTTTCATTGAATTCAAAACCATCCGGACAAAAGCATTCGGCTCCTTTTGGCAATGGTCGACAACCATGATCACATTTCAATGAATGACATAAAGTTTTATTATCTTCACAAAACTTGGCTTCATCCGAACCATCTGGACAGTCGGAAATTAAGTTGCATACATGCTCTAATTTTATACAAGTGATTAGATTAGAACAACGGAAGTAATTTCGTGCACATTGATTGCTTCGATGACAATGATAATGGTCTTCATCACTTGTATCCATCAATTGAATACCATTGGATTGGCTATTATTTTCATGTGGAATAAGGCCACAATCATCTTCACCATCACATAGCCATCCCATTGGAATACATTCACGAGAGTATTTACATTGAAACTGGCCATCAGAACATTGATGTTCATCAGAATATTCATTATTATCATCATTATCTTCTATAATAGATAAGGAAGTACGATGTATTAAATGCTCGATATCTAGTAAAATTATAAAATAAATTTGTTAAAAATCTAATTAGATGAGTTAAAATATTTTATATTTACCGCCATTTTCCATTCGATCATGATGAACTACATATTCATCACTACAGACCAGACTTAAATTAGAGATTATTTGTAATGCAAATATTATTGATGAAAGCAATTGATTTTTGGTGAAAAACATTTTCTTGTGCTTATTTTTCTGTTTAAAGAAAGAATTTATTGTGAAGAGATTGGTTTCAAATGATTGAGATTAATTTCTATTCGTTGTTGATATGTATTGTTTTGATCATTTCCATGATGATGATGAGGATATTATTTTGTTATCATTATTTGGTCGAAGAACAATCATATTCAATTGATGATAACGATGAACGAAAAAAAGAATGAACATGAACATGATTGATGGTTGCCGTTGATTGTCGATGATACTATTGGTTTATTCAGTTGACAATTATCATTGTTATCATTTCAAAAAAAAAAATTGTGGTTTTCTTGTTTTTTTAAGCTACTGATATGATTAAATGTGAGAAAAATCAATGATTTCTTTTTCGAATAATTTCGGCATGTAAGCTGCAATAAAAACTTATATCAAAGTTGATCGAGTATTTTCCCAGCTACTTGATTCTCAGAACATATAATTTTCGATGAAACTCACCTCAATATAAAATCTTTGAGTTTCTCTCGTGAAACATGAAAATAATTTTGAAACTTGTATAACAAATGTTTGCTGCTTGATAAAACACTCAAGAATTGTTGTCATAGATTGATAAAAGCGTAAACAATGAATTCAAAAGGTAAGAAAACGAGATAAAAATGCGAGATCAGAAATTTCAATTTCGAATGCCAGAATTTCACCAAGAATCCAAAACATGGATGCAATTCTTTCGAGAGGAGGGTACTGCACAGAGAGACATTGTGTATGAAAAAACATTGAAGAACAGTGAAATATAAACATAAAAATTATCTATTTAGACCTCTGTGGGCATAATTCTGCAGAAGAATCCTCGCGGGATTCAGCTTCGGAAATCCAAAAACGAAAGCGACATCTATTGTTGGAAAAGGAAACAAATTACATCTGTATGATTCTTGACAATTACAGCCGTTCGATGTTGATGATATTATTTTGATTGTTATATTACTGCAAAATTGGAATACATTTACAATGGATTTTACCAAATTAAATGATGATGATTTATCCAACAATAGTGACGATGATTCAGAAGATCGTCATGATTTTGAAAACGAAGAAATGGCAGGTGCTCACGACGAAAGTGATGATTCGGATGACGACGATGATGATGATGATGATGATGATGATGATGAAACCTTCATTGTTGCCGAAATAAACAAACTACAAGATGAGGTAAGATCATGTGAGTTGTAATCATTTATCTAATTATTGATTTCTTATATAGCTTTCACATAATCCTTATGATTATGACAAGCATGTTAAATTGATAGAAGCAATTAGATTGATTTCAATCGATCAGGAAGATGGTCAACTAGATTGTCTACGTTCTGCGAGAGAAAAAATGAACAAAGTATATCCATTATCACCGAAACTATGGAAAGAATGGATTCAGGATGAAATTTCCATTTCGAATACACCGGAACAATGTAAAAACATTATCGATCTCTACAATCGTGCTGTCTCAGAGTATCTTGACTTCGATCTTTGGATAGATTATGCAAATTATGCTATCAAACAAAAAAACCTACTTGGAATTGTGGCCATACACGATATTCTGGATAAAGCTTTAGCTCAAATTGGCCTACATGTTACACGTGGTTCTTCCATTTGGACATTGTATAGAAATTTCGAAATGTCCTTACTTGAAGATTTTGGAGAATTAGATGAACAAAAACGACAGGAGTTATTTAAAAAACAGATGCATCGGCTATACGAACTTTATTGTAGACAAATTTCATTACCATTAGAGGGTATGGAAGAAGTTCATCTCGAATTTCTTGAATGGCTTCAAGAAGTTGAAAAAACTTTTAAACTAAATCTCAAACAGAATGATTTTTCCAAAATCGAAACTATATATAATAAAGCCTTTGAGAAATATAAACTATTGGAAGAATATGAGAATCGATTGCAGAATTCCGAACCACCACATTATGAACAATATGTTAAATATTTGGAATTTGAAAAATCTAATGATGATCTGGCTCGTACACAATGCCTTTTTGAGCGTGCTATCACCGACAATTGTCTGCAAATTGATCTTTGGTTGGATTATTTGACATATTGCGATTCCAAGTTTGTTGTCGAAGAAATTATATTACCTATATACGAACGTGCGATCCGAAATTGTTATTGGGGTGGTACTATTTGGATTCGTTACTTAGAAGCAGCGGAACGTGTTGGCCTACAGAAATCTCCCAAAGATTTACAATCACGACTAACTTTGATCTTAGAACGAGCATTGAAAAATGTTTCATTCGATTATTATCTGAGTTTATGGATGGCATATTTGTCTTTTGTTCGAAGATTGACAAATAAAATCGGTTGGAACAACAATGAAGCTGTTGAAAATCTTCGCAATTCCTTTCGATCAGCCATCGATCAATTAGAGCCATACAAAGATGGTGATTATTGTTATGAAATTTATAATCTGTACGCCAATATTGAGGCACATTTTTGTAAAAATCTAACAAATAGCCGTACAATTTGGAATGAGTTTCTGGATAAATCCACTTCATTAAAATATCAAGCAAATACATGGCTTGATTATGGCCAATTTGAATTACTATATGGTGACATTGAACATGTACGTCAAGTATTATTGAAAGGATTGAATATTTGTAAAGATCTACCAGAAAAGATTGGAGAATTGTTATTAAAAGTAGAACGAACGTATGGTAATGATATCAATGTTATTCATCAATTGAAAGTTAAATATGAGAAAATTATGAAAAAAATCAATGAGAAACGTTTACGACAGCAAAATGAATCTCAAAAGCATGTTGAATATGGTAACAAAACGAAAGCAACAACATCAAAACGAAAAGCTGATAATATGGTAAAAGATGAACATTCGGTTTATAAGAAGAAGAAAATCAACCAACAAAAAGATGAACCAATTCGCCATGGTGTTACTGTCAAAACCGATGAATCGAAACGTGATGAAACAATTTTCGTCAGTAATCTAGATTTTAATGTTGATGAAAAAGAATTGAGGGAGATTTTCTCGCAATTTGGTGAAGTTCGCGATGTTCGATTGGTTTTAAATTTCAAAGGCTTATCGAAAGGTTATGCGTATATTGAATTTGTCAATATAAATTCGGTACATAAAGCATTGAAACATGATCGAATGTTGATACGACAACGGCCGGCTTTCATAACCGAGATGGATAAACGAAAAAGTTTTCAATATGGTCGAAATAAAGAGGACAATAAATTGTTCGTCAAGAATATTCCATTAGAAATTACTGAAGAAGAACTTTTGGATAAAGTATTCTCAGAATATCGTGATTCGATTGTCACTGCTCGTTTGGTTACACGTCGTGATGGTCGATCCAGAGGCATAGCTTATATTGAAATGAAAGATTCTAAAACAGCATCAAAAGTTGTACAAGAAAAAGATGAATTCGAATTGTGTGATCGTAAATTGACAGTGGCTATTAGTGATCCAACGAAATCCTTTACTGTCGATTCTAAGGATCAAAATCAAAAAACTACAATAAAATCGATAACAGGTGAAGAATTTCGAAAGCCTGGACCAACGTCAATGGTTCCATATTCTGTACTTCGAGTGAAAACCAAACCATCCAAAGTTAAACTTCAAATTGGAAATGAACAACAACAACCACCACCACCATCATCATCATCATCGAGCCAAGAACAAGAAACTGTTGGAAAATCTGGCTTGAATAATAATCAATTTCGTTCAATGTTTCTTAAAAAATAAATACAAAAACATTGGAAATATTTTTATGAAAAAAAAACTTTATTTTTCATTTTCATATTTAGATCATTGGGGAGAATTTCCCGATAACATTTTTGTCTCTTTATCGTACACATCATAACATGTATGCACAAAAACACACATACTTGTTTTACAACATATAAAATCAAATATCTGATGATGAATATTAATAAAAAAAATTTTTTTTAAATAATGTTTCATCGATCAATGGTACATCATTGTTGTTGTGTATTTCTGTCGAATCTTGGATCATATTATGCATAGATATTCAGTGTGTGTGTGTGTATTTTTATTTTTATTATAATATTATTATGTGATTTAGTTTGTATAGAATCCAATTCGACATTCTGGATAATAATACATTTGCGTGAACGTTGATGAATAATGGTAAAAAAGTAAAGAGAAAAAAGAAAGGAAAATATAACAAGTAATAGAAACTCTGTAAGAACACAAAAAAAAAATCAATCAAAATTCGTTTGGAGACGTGTGTGTGTTTATTTGTTTTCTATGAATAAAATGATCAAATAGGATAATAAGAATGAATTGACAAAATTCTTGTTCACAACATGATTGTAATTCGAGTGAGTGATTGAGTGGATTGGATGTGAATAGATAATTGTGTGCGAAATGATAATGCGTTAATTATGTTTCTACTTTGTTAAGTAATGATGTATATGATTATTATCAAGTTGAAATCAAGTTAACTGAGTGTAAAAATGTGGGCATTTTTTTTTTTTGGGAAAAAAAACTCAAGTAGTAAGAAAATGGAAAAATTCCTAGATCGATAAAGGAAAATGAAGTGAATATTTCTATTTTACTTCTAACAGAATATTTTTAATGTTTTACAATGATAAATTCATCAAGTTAGCATTAGAGAGTGAGAGTTAGAATGAAGGGAAAAAAGAGAATGAGAGATTCATCACAGTGATTTGTTGCTGAAGAAAATTGGAAAAAAAATCTAATTGTAATGATAATAAATGAAAATTTAATCATAAAAAAATATAATATTAGTTAGATCGAAGAATGAAAAAGCATGATCAGTGATATGAAATGTTTATTTATCATCATTATCATCATCATTTAAATCAGGAACCAAAAAAAAAAAAAAAAAATGTTTGAATTAAGTAAGTCAGCATTGAGAAGAATGATTTCAAAAAGATCAAAAATAAAATATTGAATGTGATGTGTATGTGGGTGTGTGTGTGTGTGTGCGGAATTCAATATTCAAGTATTGTTGTAATTATGCTGTTGGATACAATTAATAATTTTTTTTTTGAATGTCTGTCTGGGTATTTGGAACAACAATTTTGGAATGATTTCGAATAAATGAGTGTTTTTCATCAATATATATCAATATGATGATTATGATGATCATTTTAAGTGTGTGTGTGTGAGTGTATTTTGTGCAGTCTAAGTACATTTCGTAATCATAGTTTAGAATTATTATTTTCTCGATTGTAAGTCGATTGATTAAAAAAGAAAAAATAGAGATAGATTGATAGATAGAGATATGAGATACATGCACCACAACCAAACAAATGTGCGTGGAAAAAAAATTCTGAATAGAGAATCGTCCAGTGTGTTTATATGGGAGATAGAGATGAGAAAAAAAAAAAAAAAGATCATCAATGATCAAAATATATGGAATATATCAATGAACTAATTCAATCAAGGTGAGCATGGAATTTCATGTAGATGACTATTTTGATTATTATTGTTGTTGCTATTATTATTGTTATTAATGGCATTTGAATTCATATCATTAGACATTTTAGTGGATAATTTTTTCATCGAATGTTGACGAAGTAGATGAGTATCATTATCATCATCAATATCATTATCATTACCATCGACATTATCATTATTATGAACATCAATATCTGATGTTTCATCATCACCATCGCCGCCATCATCATCACCTACATCAACATCGTCATCATCATCATCGACTTCAATATCTTCATCATCTTCTAATCCATGAGTTTTTAATGATAATCTTCCAAATGTTGATTCATGTTTACTATTGTTATTATTATTATTATTATTATTGATATTGATATTGATATTTTTATTATTACAATTATTCTTAATCAACATCATTGATGCTGAACGGCCACCAGAACTTCGAACGGATGTTAAACATGGGCGTTTATTGCTAAGTATATTTAAATTATTATTCTGTGTGGATGATGTTAGATCCAATGGCGATGTATTATGATTATCTTCATTGCTTGAGGGTGAGAATCCGGAATCATGATCTCCAGGAATTTTTTGTGAATGACATTTAGACATTAGTTCTGAAGTTGCAGCGGCTAATGATAATTCTCTATAATCACTTAGCCTTTTAACGGATAAATCAATGGGGCCATCTTGTTCGGGTGTATCACCATAGAATTCACGTAAACCATTGGTCATTTCTTCTACAAGGTCTTTTTGGCTTGGTACCACTGTTCCGATGCTGGAATTCAGTCCAGGTTGTTGTTTAAGTACGGCTTGTTGAAGAGCTGTTGCTGTTGGATTCAAAAATTGACTGGCTGCTTGGTTTAACAGAAGTTGTTCATTTTGTAATTTTTGTAATTCTGAAAAACGCTTTCCCAGAACACTGAAAGCATTCGCTGCGTTATTGTTCTGTAAGAATAAACGAGAAACGGCTGCATTCAATGGAGATAATGGTGATATGGGTGCTAACGGTATCGTTCCCGGATTAAAACGACTGGCTAAATTATTGAATTCTTTTTGAAAATCATTGGCATTAAAAGGAAGACTATTAATAGCTTGTTGCTGTTGCTGCTGTTGAGCGGCAGCGGCTGCTGCAGCAGCCGCTGCCGGTAGATATGGATTCGTGAATGTATTGGCCATTTTGGCCGAATCAAATAATCCCGGATGGAATGGAGATGAAACAGACCTATGGCCACCTAATGATCCTTCAGAATTAGTCGTTGATGGTGAAGCGGCTAAGCGTGGTGAGATACGATGTGAATGTGAACTATTATTATTATTATTATTATTATTCTGTGCAACAGCGGCAGCTGCTGCTGCTGCCGTCAATTCATTGAAATTATTAACGACGGTTGATGTATTCCGTAATTCATTTTCTTTATATTTGGCAAGAAAATCTTTACTATCTCCAATTTTCATATCGACATCGGATGATCCATTCTTGACCTGGCCAGTTAAGCTTAGACCCTGTTCGGTCATACGATTAGACATTTCCTGTTGATCCTGTATAAGACAATGTATTTTGAACCAATTAGAACGGCGACCATAACGAGATCCTAGAAACAAATGAACAAAATAAAAAATTATATTAATATAAATTAACAAAAAGTGTGAAAAATAAATTCACCAGATGGTGATTTAGTTTCGAAAGTGGAAAAAAATTTAAAAATAAAGGAAAAAATTGGCACAATTGCAAAATTACCTAATTATTATTATGGGTATAATCATTAAAAACTAATGTACACCACCAACGCTGTATCATAATACATCGATAATACATAAACACACACATTATAATCATCACATGATCCTATTTTTTTTATGGCATAAATTTCAAGTTCAAGATAATTTATTATCACATTTGAAAACCAATTCAATTCAATTCAATCGTCGAAGGTGAACAAAAACAAAAAAAATTGTAGAAGAAATGATCCAAGAAAATTAAAAAAAAATTGCATCTTAATGTATATTCAAACGATGACAATAACAACAACAACAAAAACAAAACCATAACCAAAAAAAAAAAAAAAAAAATTAGAATGAATTGTTTCGATGTGGATTTAATAAAATGGATAAAAATAGAGATTTAACAACAACAACAACAACCAATTCATTCAACCTTTTTTCTGTTTTGTTTGTTTGTTTGTGAAGATCATGAGTGCGTATGTAATAATAATAATGATAATAATATAACCTTGAAATTGTTATGTTTAGATTTTGAATGAATGTGAATTTTGAATTTGGATGAAATCGATCTTACATGTACCTGTGTGTGTGTGTGTATGTTTAATTGTGTATTCGTATTAACCTCGAAATCATTATTATTATTATTATACAACTGGATGAATTGAAATGAATCAAAAATTGCAATATGCAATAAACGAGATTATATATTCGACATTTTTGTTCTTCTTTTTTTTCATTGGTTTGCTGCATTTATCCAATGAATTCGATTCGTTCATAAAAAAAACCCTTTAGCATCATTTTTAATGAACGTTGTCAAATACTTTCATTGAATCATCTCTAATCAGTTACTATTGACGTATTACATAAATCTAATTTCAATTTCAGTTTTTTTTAAATTCATAATGATAAACAGTGATGTAATTCAAAAACGCGTGCAACGAGTTAGTGAAAAAAAATCGATAATAATAAAAAAAACGGTATTCGAACAACAACATGACATACATACAATAAAAAGTGGTCGCAATTGAAGATGTTTATCTATCAATCTATTATAAATATGTTCAAGTGATGATATTTCAAGCAAAATATAAACGGTAAAAAAAAAATATTTATAATTTCAAAGAAATTGAAATCAAAATGACAAACAACATAGATCAAGAGATTGAGATCAAAATGATGATGATCATTCGAAATAAAAATTCAACAGCAAATAAATCTTTCGTATAAATACACTGAGTGTATGAGGAATATTTTCACGTAAATTTATTTTCTTTTTTTGTTGTTGTTGTTGTTGTTGTTGTTGAACGATTTCATCGATGATGTTTGACATAATCCGAATAATTTTTTTTTCTGAGTATAACGAATCATTTGATTTTTTTTTTCGTTCATCCAAAATTAAATCGATGATCAATTTTTTTTAAATTTAAGGTGTGTGTTAATTACATCATAGAATTTGGTTGGATAATTGATGCTAAATATTGTGTAGATGTGTGTGTGCGTTGGATAATGATAATGATTGACACTTTATTTGATCCAAACTGAATGCTAATGTGACGAGGAAACAAGACAAAAAAAATGAGAGCCCATCTTCATCCAAAGTGAACATTTCATTTATTGATATTATCTTTATTTCAACTTTTACATACATATACGAGCGTGTGTGTGTGTGTGTGTGTATTGAATTTGAAATTAAGATTTTTTTCAAATTATAATGATCATCATCACCAAATGAATTCTTATTTCATTTATTCATTATTGGAATTCACATTTATACATACATATAGTGTTTGTTTGTTTTTTTTACGTGTTGTTTCTAGGCGGAATCCGATTTGATTTGAAATCTTACAATCTTCAAATCGTACAAAAGCAAATAAATCGATTGCTTTTTTTCCTATTCGTTTAGGAATAATGAAAATCAATAGAAGGTCATCATAATCAATGAAAATTGAACATTGATGATGATTATATCAAACGTAACAATTGTGGTAATTTTAAAATAACAAACCTTAAATATTATAATGAGATTAGATTCATTTTTTTTCTCGCATAAATTTGGACATATATCTTTTTAATTTTTTGTTCAACTGTCTGACCAATTGTTTTGTTCGTTCGTTCGTTCATTCATTCATTCATTTATTCATAAAATTGTGATGTAATGTTAATTAAAATGGAAAAACAAATTCAATAACAATTATCAATTCAATTAATCAAATTCATACAAATAATTCATTAAATTGAATGGCCAATTTCCGTCAAAAAAAAGTATGAAAAGTTAATTACAATCAAACAACAATAGATGGCGTATCTTGTGAGCTAAAATTCAACTAAATCAACATTTCATATTCTGTCCGCCATTGATGATGGTTGAAAGTAACCGGAATTTTTTTTTCAAAAAGCTACTGGGCTTTTTTTTGTACAAATCCTATTTATACGGAAACTTTTCTATTTGATTTCTTAATTTTTTTTTTTATTTTAATCAACTTATATATTCACACAAGCATCCTGAAAATAAATTAGATCTTCGGTGAAAACCAAAATGAGGTTGTGTATTTTGTCCCCTTCTCATTGACCATTCTTCATACAATTGATATTTCATATTTTTTTCATATTCAAGATTTTTTCTTTTCTTTTTTTTTATATGTTCAAAGATTCAAATAATCGACTTAAATTATGATGATGATCGGCAAACTAAAAGAGGCCAAATAAAAAAAAATGAAAATACATCGATGATTTACATACGATAAGTGTGCACAACAACAACAACAACAACAACAAAATTCGGTCCGATTGACCACGATCATCATCGTGTTGTATCACACACACACACACACACACACACACACACAATCGAAGATTCGATTATGTTACGATTATTGTTTTGAGAAAATTTTTCCATACATTTATTTTAAACTTTTTCAAAAAAAAAAAAATTTTTTTTTTGTTTGGCCAAAAAAACTGATGATGAAAGAAAAAGAGAGCGGCTCAATATTGCAATTGAAATGAAATATTGATTTGAAAAACATTAATTTTTTTTCTATTCGTTCTTTGTTCAATCTCTTGTTGCCAACACCCATTGTGTGTCATGATTCAATTCAGCCATAAAAAAAACATCATTCAATTCTGATCCATTATTTTTGTTTTGTTTACAAAAAAAAAAAAATCATTTGTCGTCATTTTTGTTTTCTTCTGATGACAACAACGACAAAGAGGTAAAATTTTTTTTTTTTTTTTTTTTTTGAAACAAACATTAAAATAACTCTCAAATCAGATTTTGATGATGACCCGATGAAATAAATGAATCCGGTCGGTAGAAAAAAAAATCAATTTGTTCATTTCATGTTAAGTATTGGAAAATGATATAATAAATTGTAGGAAAGAAAAAAAAACTGAAACTGGAAGTGTGTGTGTGTGTGTGTGTGTGTCAAAACATGTTGTTATTGTTGCTGTTGTGTTTGAATTATAAATTCAAAACGTGATGCATCCGAAAAACCGATGATTATGGAATTATTTTTTTTTCAAATTCGAGTAACACGATTTTTTTTTTATTTTATTTAACCATCGATACTCGATCAAAACCAATCAGGCTATAATTAATCTGTTTTTCTATTCTGTTTCGTATCATTCACATTGGATCTCATATATGTGAGTGTGTGTGGCCCAGAAATAAAAAAAACATAAACGATCGAGCGAGTTAAACATTGGTCGTATATAGATTTTAGTACAAAAAAATGGCCATAAAAATGGAAATCTAATCCAGCTTTTTTAAAAAAGATACTAAGCAAGGGGATAAATTCAGTGAACACTGCTGGTGATGGTGGTGGTGGTGGTGTTCATTTTATTTAACTATTTATATGAGAGGCTAATAATCAAGATCTGATTTGATTTTTCAATATATGTTCATATTAATTGGATTATTATGATTATCGTTTGACCAGTTTTTCATTGACTGATCAGAAGCATGTTTTGCTTCATTTTCGTTGTATCGGCTGCAGAAACAGAAGACAGACGAACAGAACAGACGCGAGCAGACCTGAACGGGCAGGGCGACGAACGAACGACATTCCTGGCGGAACAGACGAACAGCAGAAATGAGCAATGAAACGAACGAACGAACGAACATGGAACGAACGAACGAACGAACGAACAGACGAACGACGAACGAAGCTGAACGAACACAACAAACGAACGACAAACAGACGAACGAACGAACGACAAACGAACGACAAACGTAATTGAAAATGATCATTTGGAATTCCGGTATAACGAAGCGTAATGTATGGATGATGATGATGATTAGCAATGTTATGCAAAGAAGACCAAGAAGAAGAAGAAGAAAATTAACAAACACACACACATACACAGGGCAATAACAAGTGAGGTCGTGATCTATACCACTTGTTGAGGGATAGCATCGTTTCATTTTTTTTATATATTCGAAAGAATTCCTTGTTTTATTACAACAATCAATAAATCGTATGGACATTTGTGCAAAAAAAAAATCAATTAGTGTGTATTTTTTTTATACTCGTTTCAACAAAAAAAACAAGATTCACATTCATATAAATCTTGTTTTTGTATGATGAAAAAAAAAGAAAATATTTGCTTTCATTGTCCATTCATTATCATTTCAAAATGGATGCGAATGAAAAAAACATGAATTTGATGAATTCATATTAATGTCTTAATCAAATGATGATGATGATGTGATATGAAATGGACATTGAATGATAAAAAGGAACAACAACATTTGTTGCGCGTGTTTGAATAGTTTTAGTATTTTTTTTTTTTTTTTTTTTTTTTTTGCCAAAATAAATATCAACCATCAAATAAGGAGGATTTATGAATGAGGAAATTTATTCAAATGAACAAAGAAAAAAAATATATATATGTTATTTACTAGATATTATCATCATCTGCTCTATTGTTTCATTTCTTCTGATGATGTTATAACCATAATTTTCATTTTCTTTCTTTCTACTCAACATTGAAATCATCATCATCAAGAATTGATTCGACATCGATACACACACACACAAAAAAAAAAAGAAAGTCAATCCATGTCGTATCGACCATACATATGTATTCAAAATACATTCATTTTTTATTCAATGCATTTTTTACCATTTACCGAAACGGTGATTTATGATTTTTCTCAAGATGAACACATTTCAATATTTATATATCTCTTTCTTTTTCCATTCGTTTTTTTTCGCATAGTTGTTTTTTATGCATTTATTCGAACCAACCAAAAAAAAAAAAACATGTGTATGTGTTTTATAATCATTTATTGAATCAATATTCATAAAGAAAGAGAGAGAGAGAGAAATTCATATGTTTCAATCAAAATAATTTCTCCAAATATCAAGTATATATTGGTCATCATCAAAATGCTGTCTTATTGAAATTCTCAAAGAAAAAAATACGTTTTGTTTTTTTGTTTTGTAAAAAAAAATGTAAAAACACACACATGATGATGATGACTCTATTTATTAGATGTTGATATAGAAGCCAATAATGAATAATATCCAGAACATCATCGTCATCATCATCATCATTATGATTTAATGCAAGTTCGTGCATTATTTTTTTCCCCCACCTTCACCATATGCAGTACAACGTGAAAATGTACGAAAAAAAAGAAAAAGAAAACAAAAAAAATGAATTGATGATATAAACAACCAACATTAATAACAACGGGAAAAAAACTAAAAAAAAAATTTTTGTTTTGTAAACATTCATCTCTTAGAAACAAAACAATCTTTATGACCTTCAATAATAATTCTATTTATCCGCTTGTGTCGAACAAAACATCATTTTTTTTATTGCAATCGATCTTTTTTTGTGTTTTTTTTTTTTTTGTTTTGTTTTCTTTTCTTTTTCAGATATATGGAATATGAATATGAAAAAAATCAAATCTTTCATTCATTTAACAAAAACAATGATAATTAGTATCCCAACCTATCATGGCTCATCTGTGAAAATAAATATTTTAACCAAAAACAACAACAAAAGCATATTGATGAATAAAATGAATGAATGAATATGATTATAATCGTGTGTGTCTCCACCATCCAATTCACCTGTATCCATCATAATCATTATCATATGATCATTATCATCGTCAATGATCATCATGATTATTATGATCATGATGATGATAGAATAGATGGAAAATCGATTCGAATCAGATTTAGATCATTTGTTAATATTGAAAAGATAGCCAAACAAAATCAAAAAAAAAATAGATGAACAATATGTGATGATAAGAGAAAACCTGGTTGTTTTTTCAAATCGAGTCAACAGAAAATTCATTGAATCATATCCTGGACATTATCAATCATTGATGGTTGGAAGAAAAAAAAATGATCAGAATCTTTCACATTTTCATTGAAAATCGTTTTTTTTTGTGACAACACTCATCATATATCACTTATCAGACATTTTTTTTTACTAGATTTATTCAAAGATTTATAAAAAAAATATATATCAACACAACGCTGATGATGATTATCATCAAGTTTCGATTGAGTTGAAGTTTGTTTGGTAGGAAAAATATCAAATTTTTCCATGTAAATACTCATATAACACAAACAAATCTGTTATAAAGGTAAAACCAAGGATCAACCGGATCAAATGATGTTTAACTATCACTAATGGAAAAGAAAAAGTTTATGTGGGCCCATATATATATGAATATGTTTATTGTGAATGAATATAAATAAATAAATAAATTTATAGAATTGCTTTTTGTTGTTGCTCACTCATAGCTGTCATTTTGAATCGTTGAATGATTCAAGAATCTTTATATTCTATTGATATTTTGGTCATTTTTTTATTTGGCTATGGAAATCAAACTAATCGGCTTATATTTATATATAGCCAAGAACTAAGATGAAAAAAGGAAGAAAAAAATGGATGAACTCCTATGGAGTGCTGTGTGTTTGTGCGTGTGTGTGTATGTATCATATTATTAGATTTGATTAAAACTGACTATTGAGAAAAAAAACGTGCTAAATCTCATCATTTGATCAATTGAAAATTGAATTTATATCAAATCGAAAACGAGAAAAAAAAATCAATAATTGTTTCTCTTTCAAATGATAATCGGTCAATTTCAATCTGAACACACACACACACACACAACACACAAATAAAGAACGTGAAAACATCAATCATGCAATGAAATAAATTCTGACAAACAAGGAATCAACAAAAAAAATCACAAAAATAAAACTTGATAAATATCGATTTCGAATGTCAATCAAAATAAAAAGAGAGAGAAATAAATAAAGAATAAAAATTCTACATATACATACCACTTTTGGACATGCCAACCATTAAACATTTTTTAAGACGACAACTTTTACATGATGTACGATTTTTTTTATTGATGACACATTCGCCATTGTTTTTACATTCACCCAATGCAGAAAGATTATTATATGTTCGTCCAAAAAATGACTGTATAATGATAGAAAAAAAAAAAAGAATTAAAAAATGATGATGATGATGATGATGATACAAACAATTAGCACGAAATGTAAGAAAAAAAACTACTGGATCACAAACACAAATTATCACCAAAAAAAAAAAAAAAAAAAAAAAATAAACATGCTCTCTCTCACATCCTCTTTGTGTGTGTTCTTCAAAATTATTTTCAACATTCTATCCGGAACATTTACGTTATCATCATTTATTATAATACAATTAATAAAGCCGAACCTTGCAATCCAATGCAAAATAATAATAATAATAAAAAAAGATTTTCATCAAAAAAAAAAAAAAACTCAATCATCATCGTCATATGAATAGTCAACAAAAAAAACTGTCATTATATACAATTTACTCTACCAAGAAAAAAAAATGAATTCTTTGTTCTTCATCAAAACATCATCTTCATATAACTAGACCATCCAATGACAACAACAAGACAAACAAGATCCAATTATCTTTTGTGTCCACAATATAATCATCCATGATAGAAAACAGAAAAAAAAGATGAAATTCAACGAAAAGAAAAGAAAACAAAAAAAAAATGAAAATTCCAAAGGATAATTATATTTTTTTTTTGTGAAGAAAAACAAAACGTACAAACTATATCCATGTAATATGATGCTGATGATGTTATGAACAATTCTATTGTACAAAAAAAAAATAATGTCGATTCATCATTGTATCATAGCATCTCAATTGTTGCTGCTGTAACAAGATGCAATTGTTTTTTGTTTATTCGGTAGACAAATTAAATCACAACAACAACAACAACAACAACAAAATGATAATAATTTCAACAAACAAACAAATTGTCATAATCAAATATTTAAAATGTAGAACCAAATAATCATAATACTTGCTATATACTAGAACTGAATCATATTTCATTCATAATTATTATGAATGAATGAATGAATAAATCATAACACCAAACCAAACAAGCAAAAAATGAAAATAAAATAAAACTAGACAGGTATAATGGAAGGTATCATTTTTTTTAAAAATCCAAACATACACACACACAAATACAAACACTCAAGACAGATGCCAAAAACAGAGATTAGATTTTAAAAAGATTTTAATAATTAAATTGAAATTAGAGTCTTCTTTTTTTTATTAACATCCATCCATGTTTATGTTTGTCCACTGTCCAAATGTGTATGTTGCCATAACAAACAAAATATATTAGATGGATAATGGATAATGAATGAATGGGACACAAATCAAGCGAAACGATTTTTTTTTTTTTTTTGTTTGTTTGTCCACCTCATCACAAATATACCATTTATTTATATATATATATATGTACATGGAGACAAATCATCTGTCTGACATATAATATATATACGTAATTATGATGATAATAATAATAATAATAAAAAAGAATTGTAATTTAAATTTTTTTCTTTTTTTTTAGAAAAAAAAGATATATTTTGAACACTAAAAACAAATTCATCATAATTTTCTAGCAAAAAAAAAAAATGTTTGTCATGTTTTTTTTGTGGAATCAATTCATTCACATAAATCGGATCAATGAAGCATTGGATCACGAAAAATAAACGAAAAAACAGCCAAAAAAAATTATCTCTTTTCATATATTGTATCGTCGGTGAATATTAGTATTATTATACAATAATGATCAATGATTGTGTGTGTGTGTGTATGTTTCGATTGCTCAATTAGTTTTTTTTATTATTATTTTACCATATAATTCAACAACGTATAAAAATATCCTGGACGCCCAATCAATTTCATTGTCAGTTTGTCCATATTGATCAACATCATCATAATCGATCGATAAATTTTTTTTTTTTTTTTGATTTTACCAAATCGATTCATATATAATCAATAATAATAATAATAATAATTAAGAAAAATGAATGATAAACAAATCGATTTATCATTATGAAAACTGTATTGTACACTAATTATCTTCAACAATACTTAAAACTAAAGAGATTCAGCTCATCATCATCATCGTCTTGTTCATTCATAGGATAAGAATCGGTCAAAGTTTATTAGCCAAATAATAACAAGAAAAAAACAAAAAAAAAGTTGCACTTGTGCTGATATGACCTGACATAACATTATTTGACCGGCTTTTTTTTTTTGTTTTTTCTGCTGCCAAGAGAAAAGCAAAGCAAAAAAAACATGATTGAAGATCATAAAAATCAAACAGGAGGTCATTTTGACCCGTAATTGTTGGTTGGTTGTTTGTTCGTTTGAATGTAGTTCCTAATATCACACCTAAATGAATTCAGTTCAATCAACAACAAACACAGGGTAAAAGAAAACTCAAATGATTTTTTTTTCTTTACCATCTCCTTTTAAATTTCTTTATTGTTGTTGTTGATGATGATGATGATGATGATGTTCTTCATCTGATGAGTAAATAAATGTATTGAATGTATTCGCAAATAACTTTGTTGTTATTTTTTTTTTTTTTTTTTTTTTTTTTCGTTCGTTAAATGGAAAAGAAAAATGTTGGTGTGATTTTTCGTTGTTTCATCTGTCTCTCTCTCTCTCTCTCTCTTATATATACAGACCGATTGTTCCCATTATGGTCCTGAAAAAGAAGAACTTGTGCAAACTTTCTAACGATTCATCATTGCTAAGTTAGTGTTTCGTGTTTGAACTAAATATTCGAACGAATTTTTGATCCTTTTTTTTGTTTTGCATTTTAAGTGTATATACACATTATTATCGCATAACAAGAGAGAAAGAAAACTGGTGATATAATTTGTTTTATCACCAATTATAACAAAGAAAAAAAATTGCACCATTTTGAGAAAAAAAAACATCAAAGTCAATCAATAAACATACAAACACAATGATGACCATACAGTCTTTTTTTTTTTATTTTTTGCATGGCCACCATCATCATCATTGAATATTATGATGATCATATATAATCTTGAAGCAAAAAAAAAGAGAGCAAACAGAATATATAACCGGGAAACAAAACGAAAAATTTTATTCTCAACAATTCGCTCTCATCGTTTTAAGACTGAAAAATTTCAGACTGATTTGTCAACAACAATTCTGGCGCCAAATCAATGATTATTTTATTCAAATTTTGTTTTCCAAAACAAATGTTTTTCTTTTGTCCGTTGTTGTTGTTGTTGCCATAAATTATTCTAAATTCGTTCATTGTTCAATATTTAAAGATCAATGAATTGAATTTTTTTTTTTTTTTTTTGATCATCATCAAAGTTCGATGATCTTAGGTAGGATTTTTTTTCTCACATGAATAAAACGGGAACAGAAAAATGAAATGAAGACAAAAGACAAATTTTCACTAGAAATAATAATAGATGAATAAACAATAAGGGATGTATATGAACGAATATGGTGAAAATATATCAATTCGATTCGGACATTGTCACGGGTACCTTCGGGTCATTTTATTTTTTTTTTTTTTTTTGTTTCATACATTTGTCAGTTTGACTCAAACACACACACACACTCAGCTTTTAAATTTAAACCTTGATATATTTCTATGTGATCGATACGGTCAAATGTTAATTTATTTATTCAAATTTTATTAAAAATTTCAAACAAACAAATAGACAACAACAACAATAAAAAAATAATCAAAGAATCCAATAATAACCGATCAATGATCGGTTACGGATCAATAATTCTTCGATGATGATGATGATGATCAAACCAAGATATCAATCATAATTGATCAAAGATGAGAAAAACAATACAATTCAGATATTTAAAACGGGCAGAAATAATATTTATTTTCTCACATTCCTTATAGCTCCATTTATTATATATATATGAAAATGACAGAGGAAAAAAACGGAACGCAATAGAAAAAATGATGGAATTAAAAAAAAAATAAAGCAATGTATGTGTGTGAATAACTGGGCTGAGACTGTCAAAACTTTGTTTGTGTTTTCCTTGTTTGGGAACAAAAGCCACACATTTATATAATGAATGAAATAGTTTTTAGATTCGATAATAAAACTCCCACCAATTCACATTGCATTTTAACGTTATATAGCAAAAAAAAAAGAAACAAGATCATCATCAACATGGTCGGCGTCATCATTTTTCATCATCATCATCATCATCATCGTAATCACACCATGATGTTGATGATTATCGACGAGAACGATGACGCCATTTTTTTTATATATATAAATGTTCAACACAATAAAAAAACAACAACAACAACCAATCAATGATGACTAGCGGGGACGGCATTCAATGTTTGTGTGTGTATATATTCAAAGATACATATACAAACAATAAAGAACAACAACAACAACAACAACAAGACACAAAGTGGAACGATGAATGAATGAAATGGAAAAAAAACAGAGCAATCATACATAAGGCGGTCGAATTTGATATGGAGAGAGAGAGAGACTAGAGACTAGAGACTCGATAAAAATAAAGAAAGAAAGAGTAGTGTACAACCAAAAAAAAAGAATAATAAAAAAAGAAAAATACTTTGCTCTCATTCATTTACGGTTAATAATAATAATAATAATAATAATCAGACCTATAATAATAATGATGATAGTGATAATGAAACGAAAAAAAAAAATATATCTAACCAACCAACACACACACACACACACACGTTGAATTCATGATAAATGATTGTAAATGATAATTTAGTTATGGTCTAATTTTCAATAATAATAATAAAAAAAATTCGTGTATCTGAGAAAATCTTGCGAAATCAATTTTATAAACAAAAAAATCGATGATATTAGAACAGGTCAGATGAAGATGCACATAAGACACACACACACACAAGGATCATCATCAATAAAATAATGTGTGGCTTATGGATTTTTTTTTGTTCTTTATATTGGATCATCATAATCAATATATGGATTATAACTAACCAACCAATCATTTAAAATCATAATATAATATAATTACATACAGATCGTGTATTGATCGATATTAATATTTTTTATATATATAAATTTTATATATAT